ATTGCTTTTCACACTTTGTTTGTGAGGTGATGACTCATGTATCTACTTACTTATCACATGTTTCATGTTATAACTCATCTTAAGGTGCTTTCACACCGTATCATGCTGCGTCGACTTTCAATGCAAAGTCAATGGTGACATGTATGTGCATCTCGGGATGCACGCACGGACTGCACGGCAGAGGCGCAGGAGCGGAAAATCAACGCACGCAGGAGATAAATATTGCTGAGCGTTTCCCCGGGGCGCACATGCAGCGACCAATCAGAGAGCAGCAAAATGGTCACGGGGACATTAGTCTGAACGAGCAGACTGAACATACTGTAAACAGCCAAAACAGGTGCTTCATCAGGACTAAACCAGCACTAAACCAGGACTAAACTAGGACTAAACAGGACTAAAACCAGGACTAAACCAGGGTTGACAATGGGGGACATGGTGCTTGTGAACATATATGTTGTCATGCTCCCGTGACTTTATGCAACTGCTTCGAGCGTGTTCGCCGATGCGGAGGCACCGTTTAATAATAAAATAAACGTATTGCGCACCTCCGTGAACACATACTGCTGTTATATAAAGTCACCTCCGTGAACACATACTGCTGTTATATAAAGTCACCTCCGTGAACACACACTGCTGTTATATAAAGTCACCTCCGTGAACACATACTGCTGTTATATAAAGTCACCTCCGTGAACACATACTGCTGTTATATAAAGTCACCTCCGTGAACACACACTGCTGTTATATAAAGTCACCTCCGTGAACACATACTGCTGTTATATAAAGTCACCTCCGTGAACACATACTGCTGTTATATAAAGTCACCTCCGTGAACACATACTGCTGTTATATAAAGTCACCTCCGTGAACACATACTGCTGTTATATAAAGTCACCTCCGTGAACACATACTGCTGTTATATAAAGTCACCTCCGTGAACACACACTGTTGTTATATAAAGTCACCTCCGTGAACACATACTGCTGTTATATAAAGTCACCTCCGTGAACACATACTGCTGTTATATAAAGTCACCTCCGTGAACACATACTGCTGTTATATAAAGTCACCTCCGTGAACACATACTGCTGTTATATAAAGTCACCTCCGTGAACACATACTGCTGTTATATAAAGTCTCTGGACACAGACACGCTGCAGAGCTGCATTATTGGAGAAGAACTTTGCACAAAAACTGCGTTAGCATCAAAGCCTGCCCGCTACTTCCGCCATTTCCGGCGGGCACAACCGCTGTCCAGGACTTCTGGTGTGAAGACCCCAGCGTCTGAAACCTAGAGAATGTGCGTCTGGTGCGCGAGGTGTCAGAGTTCCAGCGTTGGCGGTGAGAAAGCACCTTTTGAACTTTTGAGTAGATATTAATTATGGGCAAATGACACCAATTCTCCGGAGCTTGTGTCGCTCTTTCCGAAACAAATTCCTTTGAAACACTGCATTGGAGCGTGTATCAAAACAACCGGTCACGTGACAAACCTGTCAGTGTCTCAGACTCTGCAGCCGCTGCTTCACTGCTTCACTGCTTCACTGCTTCACTGCTTCACTGCATATCATTGGTGTCTGTGTTGAAGAGTCTCATTGGATCATGGAAGAGTTACATCTGGCTTCCTTGCTGATGTGTCAACTGTTGTTTTTGAATAAAAAAACCTGTGATATACGCACAGAGTTTAGTCCTTTTTTTCTGTAAATTGTTTTTATATTTAAATACACTTGTATTCAATATAAGGATTGCTTAAAAATTGGCTTATTGCTGTATGGTTCTGTAAAGTACAGTACGGGAGTATTAGGAGATTGTTTTATCATTGTTATAGTTTTATATAGAATAGTTTATATCATAAATCATATATTTTCCTAAATGTATTTAGAAATAAATAAATAAAATATTGCTTGTATTTTATTGTTTTTTATATAAAATGAAAGGGGGGGTTAATCTGGCCAATGGGGGGTTAAAATAGCCTAGGCCAGTTTATACCCCGGGGTCTATTCTGGCCTAGGCTACTTTACCCCCGGGTATATTCTGGCGAGGGGTTAAACTTGCCTGCTACACCGGCTTCTTAGGACCTGCCTTACTCGCTGGAGGTATTTGGCAGTTGCCGCTTTCCTCATCACCTGTTCGAGGTTGCCATTTGCCTGTGGTATACCGAGATACTTGTAACTGTCCTCAACGTCTGCTATTGTTCCCTTTGGGAGTCAGATCCCTTCAGGATATATATAAATACATCTCACTCCCAAAGGGAGGGATAGCAGAAAAAAAATAATAATACATATATTATATTATATATATATATACATTTATACATATATGTATTTTATATATAAATACATTATATATATATATATATATATATATATATATATATATATATATATATATATATATATATATATATATATATATATATATATATATATATATAACATATATATATATATATACATATATAAGGCGGGACTTCCCCGTTGTATTAGAATTATTAAAAATAAAATTTAAGGCCAGGAGGTCAATTTAATACAATTCTTAAAAATGTAATTCATTTAGAGTTCCAGACTTCACTTCACTATCACTAGTATTTCTACTTCCACTATCCAACTGTGTTTCATTTCCAAATAACCAAAATACATATATTTGAATTTTCGAACAAATGAGTCACAACGTTTGGTTTTGCCGTTGCACAAGATAAAAGTGCCCCATAATCTCCATTCTCTGCTGATGCCTGGAAATGTAGCCTTTGAATAAGACCCGAGAGGCTTAGTCTGCAAAGAGGTGAAGCAACTCTGTCATTTCAAAGCCGTTTCTCATCGCGCTGGATTTTAAACTGTTGCACAACTTCAGCGTAGCTCTGGTGACGGTTTACCTCATTCATGTTTGATGTTTTTACCTCATGTCTAAAGTGTTGTAACTCTTGAAACCCCCACATTCGAGGACAGGAAAGAGGAGAGTGAAGAGGCAGCCGTGATGTTTTTAGCTGAATGCCAACAAGAGTGATCTACAGTATGATTCAGTTGATATAAATAACTATAATATAGGCCATGTCTAAAAATACAAAGATATGTTATTTAGTGATGTATTTATTTATTTATTTGATGTGGATACAGCAGTTACATTGGAGCAGTCTGTTAAAGCCCATTGGATGCACTTGAATGTACTATAATTAAAGTATATTCTAGCAATAGCAGCTTAGTCCAGTCTCTTATAAATGCACATTTATTTATCTGTGTTGCAAAAATTATCCTAAATATGCGCTATTATTAGCTGATTGTAGTTTGTCGGAGAATGCGATAGTAAAATAACCTGTTCTGGTTCAATCCAAATATCAAGAAACTGAAGCCGGAGCAAGAGGAATGTTTAGTAAATGTCATTGAAGCAAAGATGTTGTGGCTCTACTCCCCACGGGCTCCGTTAGTGGCAAAGGAGATGGCTAAAGCTAGCTAAGCTAAATTCTAAAGCTAGGCTAAATGCTATATGCTATCGACTCACTCGGGCTCATTACATACGTCACAGAAAACTCAGATCCAATCGTTTCAATCTGCATATAATGAACCCCTGGGGTTAGCTCCATAGACCCACACAGTCTGACTGAGGCTCTGTCAGACCTGAGAACATGTACCGCTGATTATTGTTTCCCTTTAATGAGTATTGTTAAAGGTATATAGGAAGATTTTCTACTCCCGGGTGGATCACCAAGACTATTGGTCCTACCAACTGTCAATCATTCAGGTGATACGTCAAATAAGACCAGAGAGTTTTTCAAAAAGTGGAGAGGGCGGTTCTTTCTTAAATGTTGGGAATATCCTCATACAAACCTTTAAGTGTCCAGGTCTGTAAACAACGTATGGTTCATTTGAATTATTTCCTGATATTCTGTTTTTACTCATTTACTTTGCCAAAATAAAATACTCCATCAGATTTATAATAATGCTTAATAATGAATTGGTTTTATACAGCGCTTTTATGGGCTCTAAATTTGCCTATTCTCAAGACACTTTGGCCTTATTCACTCTCTATACTGTGTGTGTAAGGTTACACTGGAAGCACAGCTGCCCTGGGACAGACTGAAAGAAGTGTGGCTGCATATCAGACTCATGGATGACGTGTCTTGCCTAAGGACACAACAACACAGCTGCCATATCAGGGCCCCACTGTGTCACCTGATGTTACAGTCATCACCTACATCTGTGATGTAGGGAAGAGGGCCACTGTAGATCAGCTGACTGGTCCAGGGGCCAAGCCCGGATTGTAAAACTGTTTGGCCTGGATTCTGGTCTGAGCTGTAGAATTAGCTACGACAGAGCTGAAGTTGGCTGAAATAAAAAATTTCACCAGCTTTATTAACGCTAGAACACTAGAGCAGTCAATTTGACTCCTTTGCATTATGGAAGTGTAATTATTACTACTACAAATAATCAATTTCATAAACATAGAACTAAACTGCACTGGTCCTGGACTGGTTCAGAGCCATCTCAGCTTGACGCAAGTGCTAGTTACCATAGCAACACACTGTTTAACTGCAACAGTTAGCATTTAGTTTGGCTGTATTTCATTTATTAACTAGTTTTAGCATGAATCAAAGATGTATTAACGATTAAAACGTAAAACGAATTACTTAATTTTAATAAAAGTAGTGAAAAGCTAAAACTGCTGTTTGCAGGATTTTTTCAGAACTCTGTTAATTTGAATGGGAGCCGTCAAAATAACTGCTCTGGGAACTCCAGTAGTTACTGAATGGAATGTTTTTTGACACAACAATAAACAAAGGTTAACATGTACAAATAAAGCTTTAGAACGAGGAACAACTTGTCGATATTGGCTGAGCTAAAGTTGGCTGGATGACTTGTGAACTTGTGATCTCCAAGACTACTGTGTTTTAGCCAGGCAGAGGACACAGAGGGCTATTATACTTTAGAGAAATAATTCATAATATAGATTGTTCCATTTCAATTACAACATCTTCTGTTAGTAAATCCATTCTCGACGTTTCCCAAAACTCAAACCGCTTTCGCTTTTCGCCCAGAGCCCCTCGCAGCTTCCGTAGCCGCGCTGTTTACATCAAACGGAGCTTGGAATTTCCCCTGCACACACCACTTCCGCCTGCTGCCAGTGACAGCCGAGGCCCGAGCGAGCACCCAGGTACTCCCCAGCCCCCCGGCTCTGCCCACATCCACCCACAGAACAGCGCGACACGCTCGGCCTCTCCGCGCGCCTCTCCCCGCGTCGCCTCGCGCCCAGCTACGCCTGTGTCCGGACTGTCGCGTTAGCATTAGCACAGAGCTAACGAGGATGCTAACGCTGCTAATTTGCATGACAACAGCGAACACTAATATTAGCTTCCTCCAGCCAATCAAGGTGGCACTGGGAGCGGGCTGTAGCTGCGTGTCTTCGGGGTCCTCTGCCGTGGGACGTCCCGAGTGAATATTTCGGTTCTCTTCTCTTGTTAGCGTTAGCATCGTCTTGTTGTTGTTGTCGCGGAGGTTAGCAGCGGCAGGCTTTTGTTGTCTGCGCTGCCTCTAAACGCACAGACATCATTGAGGTGAGGCTTGTTTTGGTGCTATGGCATGTGTCAGTGGTGAATACGTTTGGAAACTGGCTTAAATACTGCGCGATGCTGATTTTGTTTATGTTGTTTAAAGGTATATTGGAGGATTTTCTACTTCCGGGTGGATCATCAAGACTATTGGTCCTCCTAATTGTCAATCCTTCTGGTGATACGTGCTCGTCAAATAAGACCAGAGTTTTGTTTAAAAAGTGGAGCGGGATGTTCTTTCCTAAAATTTGGGAAAATCCTCCTTTATACCTTTTTAAGCTATGTCTTATGTGTTTAATATTATAGCTATGGACATTTTCCTTCATATAAGTAGTAGAGTGCGTTATTACAGAAAAAATTGCCTCAAAAAATGTAGCCAATGTATTTAGTTCTTTGTCAGATTTGTGCAGATTTCGAGCTAATAAATGATATTTCAATTGTTAATATTGTATTGTAAATTTGTGGACACTCGGTGAAACTATATGGGACTGACACGTTTAACATGTTTTTATTTACAAGTCGTGTGTCTCTTTAATCTATTACTTTATATAGTTATATATATATATATATAATATAATATACTAAAATCTGAAGTGCACAGACCTCATTTCAGACCTAGTGTTACAGAAAGAAGGACCTTTTGTTTAGGTGATAATATTTTCATTCAATTCAATGTTTTTTCTTGTATCACCCTGAATCCCGACAGTAGTTTTCTCGGCGGACTTAACAAATGTTAATTTGGATGTAGAAGGAAGAAGTTGGTATGTAATTTATCATCGGCATAGCCATTTTTCTATACATTAATATTTATTTTAGGCTTATTTTATTATACATCTGAATGATGCTTATACATGTTATATGTGCACTTAAGTTTAAAAATGGCTATAGATACATATATATTACTCTGACCAAAGTAATGAGTTATTGACTATTGTGTACATGTGTGTGTGTGTGTCAGTGTGTCTGTCAGTGTGTCCGTGATCAATTAGTGGGAGATTATTAATTGGATTAAATGTTTGTATCCCTGAAGGGCCGTAATTATGGGACTTTTACGTTTATGTTCTAGATGAGTTACTACATGTTTGATTTATTCTGCTAATTATGTAGTTACAATGATTTAATCAGTCTTGCTCTTGTGTGTGTGTGTGTGTGATGTTATGTTTACAGGATCATAACAATTCCGTTTCATTACATAACATCTATGCACTTAAACATTATGAACTTTGCTCTCTGCTCCTTTTGGACCAATGTGTGTTTTTCTATCATTGCATTTCTTGTGTTTGAACTGTTTGCTTCTCTGATCTGTGTTGGAGAATCATTAACTTTGTCTGGTCCTCTGAGAAAACTACTGTTGTGATTTAGGACGATAAAAAAATACATTGAATGGGATTGTTTCTGGTGCTGCATCGAGAACCGTAAATACTAGCAATATTCGATTAGTGTTTAGTATTGCGATGATGATATTGCGATATTTTTGTCTTTCATCTAAAATTGCATCTGCATTGAAACGCAAGAGACAAATAACAGAAATAAGCACAACATTAATGAACCTCAAATGCATATATTTATATACTTTTTATTTGTTTGTTGTTCTTGTTGAATGTTGTGTCGTTTTGTTGTTTTTAATAAAGGTAAAAATATATATATATCGCTCATCTTTTTGTCATGGATATCGCACGTACCAATATCGCGATAATGATATTTTTCCGATGTATCATGCAGCCCTATGCTCACACTCAGAGAGCAGCCGTCCTCCTGTGGACTCACCACCTGCAGAGGGTCAGTGAGGGGCTGGTGCTATTAGACCCCCCGGATCATGCAGCCGCAGTAAATCCCACAATTTGCCCTGTTGCACACTTCATGTATTATTTTTCAATTTAATTTCAGTTCAATGGTTTTGACGGGAAAGACTTAAAAATATATTTTAAACTTTTTATTGCTCTTGACGAGAGAAGAGGAAATGGCTGTTTTGGTAAAAGTGTCCGACCCTTGGTTTACAGTGTGCTACAGGTTTGTCCCAATGAGAACATTTTAGTTTTTACTGAATCCAGACTTATTGTCTTAGGAGGTGTTATGGTCTGGTTTGTTGCATACATTTACCAAAAGCCAACTAGTCTAACCATAAATGATATTATGTCAAAGATGAAGGCGGAGAATCTGTTAGAAAGTCCTTCAGCTTCATCTTTATCCGAGGCAATGGAAACTGTTTTAGTTTTTCTCCTTCTCTGACGAAGACTTTGTGGTGTATTGCAGTGTCGTGGAGTGGGCAATGTGTATCCAGTGAGCCGTGGCCATGGAGGGCAAGGGTCCATACCGTATTTATGACCCGGGCGGGGGCCAGGGGGAGCCCCGTGAGCAGAGCTACAGGCAGCTGCTGGAGGAGAACAGTATGCTCCGAGAGAGGATGAAGGGCCTCAAGAGCCTGGGTGAGTACTGCTCTTAGTGAGGGACCATCACACATTTCAATCATAACGAAGCTACTATATTTAGGAACGACCCATGAATCGTCCGTTTTAGAGGAAACTCAGGGCCGGATGCAGACCTGCAGCAGGGAGGGTCAGACGAGGGAGGGTCCACACCTGCGATGGCGAAACATTCTCTAAAATTCAATGAATAAGCGCCATCAGCTCTTGTTCAAAAGCCTCTCCTGACACTGGCACATGTCATGACGCTTTGTATTTATTTATATCATAGACCTAAAAAAAGATGTCATGCATCATTAACAAGATTAATATAGAAATATAGTCAATTACAGCACTCTGGAGAGGGGCTTTCTCTGCTCAAAGTGGTGTCTCTCCCTAAACCCTCCCCCTAACCCTCGTGGTGGATGTGTGGGTTCCAGGCGACCTGCTGGAGGAGTCCCAGTCGGAGGCGTCCCGTCTGAGGCAGAGAGTGGAGGAGCTGGTGCGGGACAACGAGGCCCTGAAGTCCAGCAGCATCGCAGCCAGTCTGTGCACGGGAGGGGGCCCTATGCACGCCGACATCCTGGGTAAGAACCACTCTGACTGCAGTGGGTTTGGACTGGTCTGACCGCTGTGGGTCCAGAGTCTTCAGACTGGGACATGTTTCTGCTTGTTTACCTTCATGGGTCTCCTGCAGATACCAGTCAGTTCTCACCCTCTTTAAAGTAGCTTCCCAAAGAATAATTGTATAATAATAATATAAAATACTCTTTGCACTAACATTTGATGCTATATTTTATGGGTCTAATGCTGTTAATTAATTACCAGTAGACTGGTAATTAATTATTATTATTAATAAGACTAATGCTGGTTGTTTCATTGTTTTGAGAAATGTTTTTAAGTCAGAAAAAATTCACCCTAATCCATTGTACTCACCATTACGTGGACTGTAAGTACCTCTCTGCCACTTTTTGTCACAAAAAAGAATTTTGGAGGAGATTGGAGACACCTGTTCTACTTTTTTTGCCAAATTTTGCCCAAAATAAATATTCTTGCGATCATGTTTTGGGGCCACGTAGATCACTTTGGATGTTCAGTGTCTGTTTAACCCTGACGGTCTCCTGTGGTTGCAGCTAAAGTGGGGCTCCACGCCGCTCTGGAGCAGAAGGACGACACCATCTGTTTGGGGAAAACCCTGCAGCCCGAGAAGCCCATCGTGAGTCACATGTTTCACACTATTTACAGACCCTCATCCTCCACATGTGTCTCTGGCATGTGGCGGTGACAGTGCGAGGGGCGGGAGAGCAGTTTGATTGACAGATGTAGAAACATAGATGCTTTATTGATCGCTGTTGGAGTTCAGGAAGCAGCAAAACAAAACAAATACATAATTCTTTAGGTCACAGAAGCAGAGGTGGTGTAAATGATGGTTGACCTCTGGGAACACCAAGGGCCACAGTAAAGTGCCATAACTGTGTTCATGTGCTGTGTGAACGATGGGACGTACCACATTCCAAGTGACACTTCTTTTTCTGCAATAGATGGTGTAAAAGTCTGAGGAAGATATTTCTCCCTTAGACTTTTACACCAACTTTGACTTAGGCAGACTTTATTGATCCACAGGGAAATTGCATTGTCACAGTAGCTTGCATAGTATTCTTGTGTTTCATTAAACTGGCCAGTAGGGGGCGACTGAGCAGAGGTCGGACAACTCAGGTTTTGGTCCCATTGAAAACCATGTGAAGTCTGTTTTGGAGTCAAAGGCTCTCCTCCTGTGCGGTGTACGGTTGTTGGAACAGTCTTAATCGGGGACACTCAATTCTAAGGAAGTACTAACAAATATTTCTCAAAAGAGTCTGGATTTTGGACATTTTTTGGAAAGAAAAACAGAAGAAATGTGAAAAGAATGTCTGCGTTTCATTGGGGTGGCCTGCAGGGGGTGCTTATCTGGGAAAGCCTTGATCCACCTCACCCGCCTCATTCCAGTGATTTTTTCAAAGTGTCCTCCTTTATATGAGACCACAGTTGGAACATGAAGAAACTCTTGTCTTTCTCTGTTTGTGCGGTTGCTACAAGCGTACACCGCACAAAAAGATGCTTCTTCTTCTACTATATCTCCGTGTATAAACCACTTCTTCTTCTACTATATCTCCGTGTATAAACCACTTCTTCTTCTACTATATCTCCGTGTATAAACCACTTCTTCTTCTACTATATCTCCGTGTATAAACCACTTCTTCTTCTACTATATCTCCGTGTATAAACCGCTTCTTCTTCTACTATATCTCCGTGTATAAACCACTTCTTCTTCTACTATATCTCCGTGTATAAACCGCTTCTTCTTCTACTATATCTCCGTGTATAAACCGCTTCTTCTTCTACTATATCTCCGTGTATAAACCGCTTCTTCTTCTACTATATCTCTGTGTATAAACCGCTTCTTCTTCTACTATATCTCCGTGTATAAACCACTTCTTCTTCTACTATATCTCTGTGTATAAACCCGGCAGACTGCACAGCCAGGACACGTCCTGTCCTGTCCTACCTTTGTTATTCCACTGCTCTGACGTCAGATGAAACACCAGAATATCCCAATAAAAAATAAATACAAATAAAATAAAAATAAGATAATATTGTGAGAAAAACGTCTTAACTAGGGATGTAAAAAACTATGAATTTTCATGACCGACCACCGAGCCTCATTAACCGGTTGAAACCGGTTAACCGCGTAGTTTAAAATAGTTCACGTTCTTTTAAATAACAGCCATTTCGAGCCGCGTACTTTTCATAAGTGCAGCTGAGCGTTCTACGGGATCAGAGCCGAGACAGCGGCGCCAAAACCCGCAACAGCTTGGGCACCTTTGCGCACAGAGAACTGCTGTTTTAATCTTCCCATTCTTCTGTGCTGCGGCTTAAAGCATTTTTAAGCAAAAGACAGCTCGCCCACATGGTCAGGGCAGCGAGTGACGAGCCGCGTCTCGCAGGTCTCCGCTAAAGTTTAAAAGTGATCAGTGTGGAGCTGATGCCAAGGACCAGCAGCACAAACATGGTCCATGTGGTTTGACTGGAGCCGTGTATTTGCAAGAATGCTTTGGGCTCCGTGACGCAGAGGAGCGCAACAGACCGGTATGTGTGTGTGTACAATACATGTATGTATGTGTGTGTGTACAATACATGTATGTATGTGTGTGTGTTTATGTAAGCTATGTGTGTGTGTGCTATACATGTATGTATGTGTGTGTAAATATAAGCTCCAATGTAGTTCTGACCCGCACCAGTGTGCAACTAGCAGGCGGTAACAGAGGGGAGAGATGATGCGTGTGGATGTTACGTGTCAATGGAGGGGAGGGAATGTGTGTGTGTGTGTGTGTGCGTGTACATGTGTGCGTGCATATGTGGCGCGTACGGCGTGAGAGTCGGCCCAGAGTTTACTGTTACATTGGCGCACACAACTAGATAGGGACCCGCTCGTCACATCGTGCAAATAGGGCTTAAAATAGCGTTATGAAGAGACCTCCCCTCTCCCCCTTTTCTCTTTTTTAACCGACAGCTTTGACCGGTTAACGCTGTGACGGTCAACCACCGGTTAAACGGTCACTGATTTACATCCCATCTGTTAATATACAAGGTCTATATTTTTGCCTTTTGCGTGTTTGCAAACTTCTTTCTTTTGGACAGTTCTTGAGTGATTGCCAAATGTGACATGTAGATTTCTCCTGTGTGAATAAAGTCGCTTATCTTATCTTAGTATCGTGTTTTTGTCTAACACATAGATATTTGATCATCAGACTCGCTACACTCTGACTACACACTGACTACACACTGACTACACTCTGACTACACTCTGACTACACTCTGACTACACACTGACTACACACTGACTACACTCTGACTACACTCTGACTACACTCTGACTACACACTGACTACACACTGACTACACACTGACTACACTGACTACACTCTGACTGCACTCTGACTGCACACTGACTACACTCTGACTACACACTGACTACACTCTGACTGCACTCTGACTGCACTCTGACTGCACTCTGACTGCACACTGACTACACACTGACTACACTCTGACTGCACTCTGACTGCACTCTGACTGCACTCTGACTACACACTGACGACACTCTACACACTACACTCTGACTACACTCTGACTACACTCTGACTACACACTGACTACACACTGACTACACTCTGACTGCACTGACTACACTCTGACTACACTGACTACACTCTGACTACACACTGACTACACACTGACTACACACTGACTACACTCTGACTGCACTGACTACACTGACTACACACTGACTACACACTGACTACACTCTGACTGCACACTGACTGCACTCTGACTACACTCTGACTGCACTGACTACACTGACTACACACTGACCACACACTGACTACACTCTGACTGCACACTGACTACACACTGACTACACTCTGACTACATTCTGACTACTCTGACTACACTCTGACTACACTCTGACTACACTCTGACTACACTCTGACTACATTCTGACTACTCTGACTACACTCTGACTACACTCTGACTACACTGACTGCACTCTGACTACACACTGACTGCACTCTGACTACACTCTGACTGCACTCTGACTACACTGACTACACTCTGACTACACTCTGACTGCACTCTGACTACACACTGACTACATTCTGACTACTCTGACTACACTCTGACTACACTCTGACTACACTGACTGCACTCTGACTGCACTCTGACTACACTCTGACTACACTCTGACTGCACTCTGACTACACTGACTACACACTGACTACACTCTGACTACACACTGACTGCACACTGACTGCACTCTGACTACACTGACTACACTCTGACTACACTCTGACTGCACTCTGACTACACACTGACTACACACTGACTACACTCTGACTACACACTGACTGCACACTGACTGCACTCTGACTACACTCTGACTACACACTGACTACACACTGACTACACTCTGACTACACTCTGACTACACACTGACTACACACTGACTACACTCTGACTACACTCTGACTACACACTGACTACACACTGACTACACTCTGACTACACTCTGACTACACTCTGACTGCACTCTGACTACACTGACTACACTCTGACTACACTCTGACTGCACTCTGACTACACTCTGACTACACTCTGACTGCACTCTTACTACACTGACTACACTCTGACTGCACTCTGACTGCACTCTGACTACACACTGACTACACACTGACTACACTCTGACTGCACTCTGACTACACACTGACTACACACTGACTACACTCTGACTACACTCTGACTACACTCTGACTACACACTGACTACACACTGACTACACTCTGACTACACACTGACTACACACTGACTACACACTGACTGCACTCTGACTACACTCTGACTACACTCTGACCGGTCCCTAAAGCTCTGTGTTTACCTTTGTGGATCCACAGGAGGCCTTATCAGAGTTTGAAGTGGAGGGCAAGCCGGCAGACGCCTTAACCGTAAGTGCTTCCGTGTCGGTATCGGCCGCAGATCTGGGCAGTTTTTAATCAGTGAATACAGGATTTGGTGAAAGATTTTCTCAATCCATAGACAGTGAGTAATGAACCATGAACTGTATAAAACTAAAGTATTAAAATCGGTATTGGCAGAATGTCGGCATCGGGAATGGCTCGGTTTCTGATCAGGAGTCAAAAAACAGGATCGGGACGTCCCCAATCAGGACCCAGCACTGATGATGTCACAGTTTTGAGCCTTAAGGACTGTTTTTGACATATTTGATTTGATTTATTCATTCATTCGAGCAGAAATTCAACATTAATAAGTATTTACAATATTTTGATTCATTAGTCGTGACCTTTTGTACATGCCTTCGGTGCTTACTTAATATACCTGCACATGCAAATATATACATTTAAAAATACAATCAAGCAGCAGTATTTGCCCCAGTTTCACCATGTGTTGTATTTATAATTTCAATGTTTTTATTGAATTTGAAGATATGTTTGTTTGCTTTTATCCTATTTATTTATTTAATTTTTTTGTATAGCCCTAACTCAGTGTTCCCCAACCTTTTTGAGCTGTGGCACACCTTTCTCATTGGAAATAATCGCCCGGCACACCGCCCGCTGAAACTGAAACAGGAATGAAACACGGAAGCCTTTACTAACAGTGCAAGTCATTCTCATCAAAGTGTATTTATAGAAAATCAATCTTCTTTCTCCTAATTTTCACAGTATTTTGACCAATTCTGTGATATTGGATCATTTCCAAAGGTACACCAAACATCCTTTCAAGGCACACTAACGTACCGTGGCTCACTGGTTGAAAAACACTTCCCTAACTTATCGCCTTGGAGGATATTGCAAATTTGTCGAATCGCCAACAACAGATCAGAGAATCAAACGGTTCCAACACAGGAAATATAATAATAAACACATACAGTAAGAGCCATTGGTCCAAAGGGAGCGGGGCGGATTGTTAAGAAATGTCCATAAATATCTTTAAATCTCCTTAAATCTCCCGAGTCATCACTGTCCTTTGACCGTCCTACATCAGGTTAGGGCAAGGGCAAGGAAAGATGACAAAAACCCAGTGGGGAAATAGTGATAAACCTTTGCGGAGGCCCACATTGAGAGGACCTGAGGCTGTAGACCCAGGACTGAGGCTGTAGACCCAGGACTGAGGCTGTAGACCCAGGACTGAGGCTGTAGACCCATGACTGAGGCTGTAGACCCATGACTGAGGCTGTAGACCCATGACTGAGGCTGTAGACCCAGGACTGAGGTTGTAGACCCAGGACTGAGGCTGTAGACCCAGGACTGAGGCTGTAGACCCAGGACTGAGGCTGTAGACCCAGGACTGAGGCTGTGGACCCAGGACTGAGGCTGTGGACCCAGGACTGAGGCTGTGGACCCAGGACTGAGGCTGTGGACCCAGGACTGAGGCTGTGGATCCAGGACTGAGGCTGTGGATCCAGGACTGAGGCTGTGGTTCCTGGACTCAGGCTAGAAGAGTCTGGGTTCAGGGGTCCCCTTCTCCCACCATGACACAGACAATGGGACAGCGGATGTATAGCAATGCACAGACTACAGCTGAAGTCATAATGATGAGCGATAAAGCAGAAAGAGGAGAGGATAGTGCTCCTGTTTTTATATACTTACCATTTGCAGCTAGACTATGACTATGACTAAGGTGTGCTAACATGCTAACACTTGAGCATTCCCACCATCACATGTAAATAACCCACCTTCTACTCATTAATATAAGCCGTTAATCTTATGTTGTCGGTGTCTTACAAAGTCTCCAGTGGGGAACTTCCACATCCGACTTGTATCTATTCAGTGTCGCGTGACTAAACAAAGACGGTTGAAGGCTGGAGCTTGAGTCACTGCGGGGAAAGTCCAGGTCCCAGACTGACTGAACCTTTGTTGTATCAGGCCTGATCACAAGTGCAGCTTTTTTACACCATTTCAATGTGAATCAGGACGATCTACAACTTGGGTTTGGGACTTCTGTGAAGTGCTCAGAAATCTCAACAAAAATACTGGAATAAAAAAAAAAAATTGGAATTTAGTGGCCACAAAAGAGGTTGATTTGTTTATGCTATAATTACGCATTTCTTTTGACAGTACAGGGAAGTTAAACGCTCAAGCCTGAATTGCTCTAAAACAAATGAACAAGTGGACATACTAGAACGTGCACAGACGCTCTTAGGGCACGGTCACATTTTACAAACGAACTAGGCCAAGTGGCCCGGAGTGTGTGAGAGTGTGAGTGGAATGAAAGAATGAAAAGTGTGGCGTACGTTCAGGGCGACCGGAACCAGGCAGGATACAAGTGTGTGTGTGTTCTGGTGATTAAATAAAGACTGATTCTTGAATGTCTGAAGTATTATTGCAATAGCACCACACTGAGAGCAAGGGTCTGGACAGAGGGAGTTATTCACGCAGGAAATACTTTTCTTTGGCCCTGGAGCGACTCACCCCCCTAGACCACGGTCCAGGGCTTATATGAAAGGTTTATCACAAGCGGAGAATACGAAAGTGCAGGAAAGACGTGTGTAAAAATGCGTGTCATAACCAGTGGGGGCGGGCCCCGTCTCAAAAGTGGCCAAAATGGCGTGCGCTGACATGCTGCAATACCACCCCGGGCCGATGGGGGTGGACCCGGAATAAGAATTAGCCAATGCTAACATATAGCATTTACCTCTGGAAAACGTCTTTACAGGATGGTCCAAAAGTCGCTCTTGGCCCAAAGCTCCGTTCCACATGTGTGTCAATGCTGAGGGGGTGTTCTGGACCAGTCTAGTTTAGTCGCTGTGGACTTTTGAAGTTAATATGGAGTTCTCGCCGGCTGACGCATGCGCAGATGCGTTTTTTTCACAATTTTCTTGTGGGCGGGACCACTTGCGGCCATTTTGGATAGCTCCAGTAGAGCACATTTTTTGGCCCATTTGTTTGAACGGCGGAGACAGGCGTGACTACCTCTGTTAATTTTTACATTTACATCTCATTATTCATGAGAAAGACATTATTGATGTGATTGGCGTACGGGCCTTGACATTTACGACTGTATCGTTGAGAATATATTTGGTTGTTGAACTGTTAAATTCTTAAGAACGAGGTCACCATGTGATCACACTTGCAAACGAGACGGACTGGTTTCAGATCAGCTGAGATTTATCATTGCGTTCTATAAATGACTCATCCCTGTTGGTGTTCCGCGATACAAAGGTTTCTCTGATTTCACTGGAGGATACTGGAGAGACCGGATCAGAGGTTTGTTTTCTCTCTTCATTTTATTTCTCTATCCTGGAAAAATGTCCCTTTCTGGACCGTAGAGTTGTTGGGTGGTTATAGATTTATTTAGTGTCGTTCCCATTTGATTTAGCCTTTTTTTTAATGAATATATTGTTTGGGCATAGTCTTATCCGTGCTGCGTGTGAGGACATTCAAGATGCTCCTATTCTGACTAAAAATTGGTAAACATTTTCATAATTTCATGTAAAAATTTGAATATTTTTGCAGTGGCTTAAATGTAGTATTTAAGCCACTGCAAAAAGTAAAATAAAGTTAAGTAAACCTTCTGCCTTCTCTTTTTGAACTTTGTTTCTTGAATGATGTATTTAATTGTTAAAAAAACAGGTTTAAAACTGCTTTAACTAACTCTGGACTATGAATGTCCAAACTAAGGCCTGCGAGCCATTTGCGGCCCTCCGTGTCATTTAATGTGGCCCTTTCCCTCCCTGACCCAAAATAGTTGTTTGTTTTTGATTGTCTGGCGCTAATATACAGTATCTGATGAGTAAACATTTGTCATTCAGCCAACTTCAGCTGTGACAAATATGAACCAATACAGACACATTATACCTCATTTTAAAACCAAATCAAGTCTATCCAGATCCCTCCCTCTATGTGGGTCTCCCCGAGGTTTCTCACTTTTCTCCCACTAAGTTTTAGAGTTTGCCGATGCAGGAGGGTCTAAGGACAGTGGTGATGATCCAGGACACGCAACATTCAACAACATTTATGATATAATGGCCATCTGGACTTTATGGACCAATGGCTCTGTGTTTTGTATCATTGCATTTCCTGCCTTTGAACTATGATCTGTGTTTGCGAATCGACAGCTTTGTAAACTTCTCCGAGATAAACTACAGTTGTGATTCAGGGCTACACAAAGTTGACTTGAGTTGTGTGTCCTTGCAGGCTGGCTCTGTCGTCCCTCTGATCCCTCAGGAGAACCTGGAGCTGGCCTCTCAGCTCAAGCGCCTGGAGAGCTCCTTCAGTGTGTTCGCCGAGGAGTCCAACCCCAACCAGCTGCTGGCCCACCTGGGACGCATGGCTGTGGAGTTCCACCACCTGTCCTCCAAGGTGCAGAAGAACGAGCAGAGGACCTCCCTGCTGCAGGTACCCAACCCAGGGATTTAGATGGATGGATGGATAGATGGATGGATAGATGGATGGATGGATAGATAGGTGGATAGATGGATGGATACTTTATTGATCCCTGTAGGAGAAATTCAGGTGTTCAGTAGAAAAGTCACAGTCCACATCACACAAGCCACAAATCATCACATAAAACCGCTAAATCACCGTTAAAAACACACAGGTTTTTTTGAACCATTAAGACCATAAAATCACACGAGGGGTTAAGGAAATAAATAACAATAATGCATTAAAAATAGTAGAGAAAACATCCTTCAGTGGTCCAGTATGTGCAGGCTAAAAGAACCGTCTTTTACGTGGTCAGTGAAGAAGTCTGTCTCACACATTCAGGAAGACTGTTCCAGATTTTAGCTGCCTCCCCATGTTTAGTTCTGATTCTGGGCATCAGCAGGAGACGGTCCCTGTGCTCCTCATAGTCCCAGCAGGAGTCCAGTCCCTGTGCTCCTCATAGTCCCAGCAGGAGTCCAGTCCCTATGCTCCTCAGAGTCCCAGCAGGAGGCCATTCCCTATGCTCCTCAGAGTCCCAGCAGTAGGCCAGTCCCTGTGCTCCTCAGAGTCCCAGCAGGAGTCCAGTCCCTGTGCTCCTCATAGTCCCAGCAGGAGGCCCAGTCCCTGTGCTCCTCATAGTCCCAGCAGGAGGCCCAGTCCCTGTGCTCCTCATAGTCCCAGCAGGAGGCCCAGTCCCTGTGCTCATCATAGTCCCAGCAGGAGGCCCAGTCCCTGTGCTCCTCAGAGTCCCAGCAGGAGGCCCAGTCCCTGTGTTCCTCAGAGTCCCAGCAGGAGGCCCAGTCCCTGTGCTCCTCATAGTCCCAGCAGGAGGCCCAGTCCCTGTGCTCCTCAGAGTCCCAGCAGGAGGCCAGTCCCTGTGCTCCTCAGAGTCCACAGAGATAACATTCAGGATACATGTCGTCCACTCAACCTTCACTTATAGACATTGGTCTCTTCTCTTCATGGACCAATGTCCCTGTGTTTCTTTCGTTGCATTTTGTGTGTCTGAACTTAAGCGTTTGACCTAATCTTGACGTCCCAAACCACAGTACGTCGTCTTATTCTCTTAAAGTGGATTCATGACAACAACAAAACGTGGACACAACTAGATAGAGTCCTGTGAGTCACTATTTGACTCCTGGGTTAGGCTGCGTGCTGATTGGCCGGGTGGTCCTCGCTTCTGTTTTGAAAGCTAAAAAAGTGACAGGCCAAACATATGTCCATTACGAGTCAGAATTGGCTAAAGGATTCTATAATTTGGGCCACAATTCAATATTATCGTGATTCTTAACATATCACAATACAGCAAGTGATTGGATTCTGTGATATATTACGATTCATGTCCCTCATATTATTCACAAACATGGAGAAAAATAAGACTCAGGAACTAGTGACAGGCATTTTATTACAGCCTTCCAGCTTTATTTCCCTTCAACAAAGCATTTACAAACTACTATGTGTATGACTTTAATTACCGTGAAGAGATTTGACTGAAGTTCCAGCGTGAAGTGACGTTGTCTCTGGATTGCAAATGTACCAAGTCACGTAGTGTACCAACCCTCTTTCCTTTGCAGACGTTGTGCGAGCAGCTGAGGCAGGAGAACAATGAGCTCCGTAAGAAAATGGAGGAGGACCACCACATCCGGAACAGGGACTTGGATCAGCTCAGGTCTGCCCAGACTCTCTCACTGAGGCTAGGGTACGGCACATACTGAGCATCCGCATCATGCCACTGTCTATGCCTGACTTATCCATGTGCATTATGAAAACACCCCAATAGTCATTTAACAACAGCAGGTCTATGGAAAACTGGCTGAGACTTTGATTTCATGTCCCTCACAGACAGGAGAACCAAAAGCTGAAGGAGCTGGTGACTGGAGGAACGGCCCCGGTCCCGGTCCCGGTCCTGGTCCCAGCAGCAGTGGAGATGGGAGAAGCCAAAGAGGAGCCAGTGAGGGATGAGTGCACAGCGGTCCGGGTGAAGATGGAGGCCAGCACACCGCAGAAGGTACACGCTGAGATGGAGGAGAGATGGAGGAGAGATGGAGGAGAGATGGAGGAGAGATGGAGGAGAGATGGAGGAGAGATGGAGGAGAGATGGAGGAGAGATGGAGGAGAGATGGAGGAGAGATGGAGGAGAGATGGAGGAGAGATGGAGGAGAGATGGAGGAGAGATGGAGGAGAGATGGAGGGGAGATGGAGGGGAGATGGAGGGGAGCTTACATCAGCTTACTTCCACCTAAGAAACATTGCTAAAATTAAAAACATTGTGTCTAAAGCAGACTTGGAGATTCTTATCCACGCATTTGTCTCCAGTCGATTGGACTACTGCAATGGCTTGTTCACAGGTCTCTCTAAACAAGCGGTAAAACAGCTGCAGTACATCCAAAATGCTGCAGCTCGAGTCCTGACTAGAACCAGGAAGTACGACCACATTAGTCCGGTCCTCAGGTCTCTGCACTGGCTTCCTGTGGCTCAGAGAATAGATTTTAAAGTAGCTTTACTTGTGTACAAGTCTCTCCATGGCCTCGCACCAGGGTACATCCGCGACATGTTGGTGCCATATGAACCAACTCGGGCTCTGAGGAGCACAGGGACTGGACTTCTGTTAGTGCCAAGAGTCGGAACTAGACATGGGGAGGCTGCGTTTCAGATTCATGCAGCTAGAGTCTGGAACCGTCTTCCCGAGAGTGTGAGACAGGCGTCTACTCTAGCAGTTTTTAAAACTGAACTGAAAACAGTTCTTTTTAGCTGTGCATACAAGTGAATGATTTTACATTTGTTTTTATCTTTAATCTTTTTAATGCGCTATGATTATTTATGATTATTTATGATTGTAATCCCTTGTGTGATTTTAATTTTTTACGGTTTTTAACTACTTGTGTGATTTTATATATCTTGTGCTCTTAATCTGTCTTTTTATGTTTACTTAAATTCTAATGTTTGATGATTTATGCATGATGTTATATGGGTTGTGAGGCGCTTTGCGTTGCCTTGTGTAGGAAAGGCGCTCTATAAATAAACGTTGATTGATTGATTGATTGAGATGGAGGGGAGATGGAGGGGAGATGGAGGGGAGATGGAGGAGAGATGGAGGAGAGATGGAGGAGAGATGGAGGAGAGATGGAGGAGAGATGGAGGAGAGATGGAGGAGAGATGGAGGAGAGATGGAGGGGAGATGGAGGGGAGATGGAAGAGAGATGGAAGAGAGATGGAGGAGAGATGGAGGAGATTCCATTGTCTCTTTGAGAGGGTCACATTTAGGATTTTTTTTCCGGGGGTTGCCAGATTGGGGCACAGACCGCAGAAAAGTGGAACAGAATGTATGTGACTATTAGTTAATAATGAAACTAAAGTCCAACATAATTATCAAATACAAATGTATGAAAAAGAACGCTCTCTCCTCTGGTTTTGTTCACGGGGAGGGAACAAAAGTGCCGGCGGGCTGTAGTTTGGGGACCACTGCCTCCGTGCCACAGACGGCTCCGTCTCCTCTGGTGGAAATACATGTTTTAAATTCTCTGCCCTGTTGTGTTTCCAGAGCGGTAAAGCAGCAGAGAAAACACCCACCAAACATTGTGACGTCGAGACCTACGAGAAGAAGATCAAGCTGCTGGAGAAGCAGAGGAAAGACGTGAGTGCGGCTGTGTGTGTGCGGCTGTGTGTGTGCGGCAGTGTGTGTGCGGCAGTGTGTGTGTGCGGCTGTGTGTGTGCGCGGCAGTGTGTGTGCGGCAGTGTGTGTTTGCGCGGCAGTGTGTGTGTGCGGCAGTGTGTGTTTGCGCGGCAGTGTGTGTGCGGCAGTGTGTGTGTGCGGCAGTGTGTGTGTGCGGCTGTGTGTGTGCGGCTGTGTGTGTGCGGCAGTGTGTGTGCGGCAGTGTGTGTGCGGCAGTGTGTGTGCGGCAGTGTGAGTGCGGCAGTGTGAGTGCGGCAGTGTGAGTGCGGCAGTGTGAGTGCGGCAGTGTGTGAGTGCGGCAGTGTGTGTGTGCGGCAGTGTGAGTGCTGCAGTGTGTGTGTGTGTGTCTCCTCTGGTCTGCAGTGTGTGAACCTCCTCTGGTCTCAGTGATCTCTCTGGTCTCTGTGGTCTCTGTGATCTCTCTGGTCTCTGTGGTCTCTGTGGTCTCTGTGGTCTCTCTGGTCTCTGTGGTCTCTGTGGTTCTCTGGTCTCTGTGGTCTCTGTGGTCTCTGTGGTCTCTGTGATCTCTGTGGTCCCTGTGATCTCTCTGGTCTCTGTAGTCTCTGTGGTCTCTGTGGTCTCTGTGGTCTCTGTGGTCTCTGTGGTCTCTGTGGTTCTCTGGTCTCTCTGGTCTCTGTGGTCTCTGTGATCTCTGTGGTCTCTGTGGTCTCTCTGGTCTCTGTGGTCTCTGTGGTCTCTGTGGTCTCTGTGGTTCTCTGGTCTCTGTGGTCTCTGTGATCTCTGTGGTCTCTGTGGTCTCTGCGGTCTCTGTGATCTCTGTGGTCTCTGTGGTCTCTGTGGTCTCTGTGGTCTCTCTGGTTCTCTGGTCTCTCTGGTCTCTGTGGTCTGCATTGTGTGTGAACCTCCTCTGGTCTTTGTGGTCTTTCTGGTCTCCTCTGATCTCTCTGGTCTCTGTGGTCTCTCTGTGGTCTCTCTGGTCTCCTCTGATCTCTGTGGTCTATGTGGTCTCTGTGGTCTCTCTCTGGTCTCTCTGGTCTCTGTGGTCTTTCTGGTCCCGCTGGTCTCTCTGCAGTCTCTGTGGTCTGATCTGAAATGTGTTTTGTCTGCGGCAGGTTTTGGAGGTGAACAAACAGTGGGACATTCAGTGGAACGCCATGAAGTCCCAGTTTGAACAGAAGGTAAAGCTGATTCCATTCTTTTACTGGGTTTGGATCATGGTTCTGGACAATTTTGTCTCTCTTCAGAATCGGCATCAATCAGTGGACATCAGGCCTTTGCTATCTTTACTGGTTGTTCTATCAGTGTGTTTTTTAAAGTAGCTAGTTTGGTTGTATAGTTTAGTCTAGATTATTAATTTAAGATCACAGGGACAGTGTACAATAAACATTAACCTCAAAGGGAAAGATGCATTGTACCAGGTGATAGCTCATGGTATAGTCTCACCCATAGTCCCTGGGCTGATGTTATGATAGTACATTACAATAACAAACTAACCCTAACCCAGGCCTGTACACTTTACATTTGGCCAAAATACATAACTATATTAGCCATAGTCCTCCCAGAAGACAGTAGTAATTTTTGCGTTAGTAAGTGTGATACTGAGGGGCTAAAGTTTTAGTATGACACAGTGGCTGAGTGGTTAGCTCTCTCGATTCTCGGCAAAAAGGTCCTAGGTTCGAACAGGGCCTTTCTGAGTGGAGTTTGCATGTTCTCCCCTGTCCGTGTAGGTTTCCTCTGGGTGCTCCGGTTTCCAGACCACACAAAAAAAAACGCTGTAAATTTTTTTTTTAAATTATCATTATTATCATTGTTGATATTATTGGATTAGATTAGATTAGTATTTATTGTCTCTTGACATTATTATGACATATTTGCAGGTTTCTCCTCTTTTCTGTGACTTAAACTGAATAGAATGAAGCTTGATATTTTGTTGAAGTGTTGTGTTGCTGTTACTCTGTTCAGGCTCAGAACATATGATGTAACTGAAGGCAACAGGCGCATATCGCAGCATTGCCAGGTTTCTCGTGAACTCGCATCTAAATTGGTCTTAGTCTCAACTGCAGCCAGTCAAGCTAACTTCATTCACTACTTGGACTTTACTAAAGCTGGTGTATGAGTTAAAGGAGCAGTGTGTAACAAATCTGGCCAAAAGTGGTACTGCAGCCTCTCCCACTCTCCCTGACTCAGGTTGCCAGATATGCAGACGAATCCAGCTGGGACCATAACAGCTGAATAGACAAGAGTTTAGTCAACAACAAATCTATAACCAACACCTTTTTCACAAAGATAGAAATCCTGGTTTTATTCCTTGTTTTGTTGTTAATGATTTGAGAATCATAACGAAACTTTTTTTAGTTCTGCGCCACATAGTACTTTACCAGTGAGATTAGCTCCACGCGGTGAGTTCTGGCGCCCGGATCACAGACTTTCTGATTGGTGAAACGGTGGAGGGCGGGACATCGAAGATTTAGGGGCTGGAAAAACTAATTTAGAAATTCAAATATCTCTGAACTACTGTTATCAGTTAAAGAAGTATTGGAAAAGAACATGTTTTATTGATGCTTTTTGACAGATTAGGGCCCTTTTAATGACAACAGATTAGGGCCCTTTTAATGACGACAGATCAGGGCCCTTTAATGATGACAGATTAGGGCCCTTTGATGACGACAGATTAGGGCCCTTTAATGATGACAGATTAGGGCCCTTTAATGACGACAGATTAGGGCCCTTTAATGATGACAGATTAGGGCCCTTTAATGACGACAGATTAGGGCCCTATAATTACAACAGATTAGAGCCCTTTAATGACGACAGATTAGGGCCCTTTAATGACGACAGATTAGGGCCCTTTAATGATGACAGATTAGGGCCCTTTAATGATGACAGATTAGGGCCCTTTAATGATGACAGATTAGGGCCCTTTAATGATGACAGATTAGGGCCCTTTAATGATGACAGATTAGGGCCCTTTAATGATGACAGATTAGGGCCCTTTAATTATGACAGATTCGGGCCCTTTAATTATGACAGATTAGGGCCCTTTAACAATGACAGATTAGGGCCCTTTAATGACGACAGATTAGGGCCCTTTAATGACGACAGATTAGGGCCCTTTGATGATGACAGATTAGGGCCCTTTGATGATGACAGATTAGGGCCCTTTAATGATGAATTGACATGAAAATCTTGCATATTGCTATTTTAAGGCCTATTTATAAAGCACCATTCATGCAGAACCAACTCAGGTGCTTAAGACACAAACATTGCAAACCAATAAAACACTTTAGTGATAATAATGATAGAATGTGAGAAATGTAAGTGTATATATATCACATATGCATAATCATATAAATACATACACATGCAGAATAATAAAAACAATAATTTACCTAAGAGTAGGGATGTAAAAAACTGTGAATTTGAAACCGGTTAACCGCGTAGTTTAAAGGAATAGTTCACCGTTTTTATATACTGACATATGTTCTTACCTTACCTTAGACTAGTTAATACGTACCTGTCTGGTCTTAGTCCGTGCGCTCTGTCATGCAAACGGAGCAAAAACGGGAGCACAACCGCAGCCTCCTCTGTATACTGTATAGTACCAAAAGGTAGCTCCCGCTAGAAGCTACCAAACTCTTCCAAGTGTTCCCTATTAAATGTATATAGTTACGTGACGTGTTACACTGCAAAGTATAGTAACACAGAAATGTAACAGTCGATTTTCTCAGCGGATAAAACGGGTACTATATTGTGAGGCGTAGTAATCTGAGGTGCGCTACGTCCGCGCACTAACTTCTCTCCGGAGACTTCTCTCTCGCTCACTTCCGTCAATAGAAGCAGCGTGACTTGTAATACACACAGTAGCAGCGAGAGAGAAGTCTCCGGAGAGAAGTTAGTGCGCGGACGTAGCGCACCTCAGATTACTACGCCTCACAATATAGTACCCGTTTTATCCGCTGAGAAAATCGACTGTTACATTTCTGTGTTACTATACTTTGCAGTGTAACACGTCACGTAACTATATACATTTAATAGGGAACACTTGGAAGAGTTTGGTAGCTTCTAGCGGGAGCTACCTTTTGGTGCTACAAAATATACAGAGGAGGCTGCGGTTGTGCTCCCGTTTTTGCTCCGTTTGCATGACAGAGCGCACGGACTAAGACCAGACAGGTATGTATTAACTAGTCTAAGGTAAGGTAAGAACATTTGTCAGTATGTAAAAACGGTGAACTATTCCTTTAAAATAGTCCACGTTCTTTGAAATAACAGCCATTTCGAGCCGCGTACTTTTCATAAGTGCAGCTCTGCGTTCTACTGGATCAGAGCTGAGACAGCGGCGCCCAAACCCACAACAGCTCCGGCACCTTTGCGCACAGAGAACTGCTTTTTTAATCTTCCCATTCTGCTGAGCTGCGGGTTAATACCAAAACTTTCTAGCAGCAAACGACGGCTCGTTCACATGGTCAGAGCAGCGAGTGACGAGCCGCGTCTCACAGGTCTTCACAAAAGTTTAAATACAAGTGATGTGTGTGGAGCTGATCCCGAGGACCATAAACACAAACATGGTCCATGTGGTTTGACTGGAGCCGCGTATCTGCGCGAATCCTTTGGGCTCCGTGACACAGAGGAGCGCGACAGACCGGTATGTGTGTGTGTGTGTGTATGTATGTGTGTATGTGTGTGTGTGTGTATGTATATGTGTGTGTGTGTAAATGTAAGCTCCAATGTAGTTCTGACCCGCGCCAGTGTGCAACTTTGACGGTAACAGAGGGGAGAGATGATGCGTGTGGATGTTACGTATGGAGAGGGGGAAAGTGTGTGTGTGTGTGTGTGTGTGTGTGTGTGCGCGTGCGCGTGTGTGCATATGTGGCTCGTGCGGCGTGAGAGTCGTCCCGGAGTTTATAATACATGGGCGCACACAGCTAGATACAAACCCGCTCGTCACACCGTGCAAATAGGGCTTAAAATAGCGTTATTAAGAGACCTCCCCTCTCCCCTTTTTCTCTTTTTTTAACCGACAGCTTTGACCGGTTAACGCTGTGACGGTCAACCACCGGTTAAACGGTCGCCGATTTACATCCCTACCTAAGAGCACGATACATTTAACACAGACCTAAGATTTATGGACTGTTTTCTCGTGTTGCATTTCTTGTGTTTGAACTGTTTGATTCTCTGATCTGTGTTGGCAAAATCAACTGTTTTGTCCTCCGAGATTTACTACTGTTGTGATTTAGAACAATACAAAAAGCCCCCAGAGTTTTGTTTAAAAAATATGGTTCTAGTAAATCAACAAAGCCTCTAAAGCTCACTTAGAAAGAGAAAGAGAATTGGAAACAGTATATTCATACACATGAGTTTTCCATATTCTGCGTCTTGTCGATATAGAGTGTGTCCTGTATCAGGTTTGGTATCGTCTTGCATCACGAAGTAAAAACGTTTTTAAAGAAGCGGTAAATGGAATTATGTGGTGTTGTAGATCACAGACCTGCGGCAGCGTCTGGCCGACTCCCAGAAGACCGTCATGGAACTGGAGGCCGAGAGGGAGCAGAGGCAGAGAGACTACGACAAGAAACTACTGCTGGCCAAGTCCAAGATCGAAAACGTCCAGGTATCACGCAGCCTCGACACGCACGGGACCAAAGTCTTTCTGAACTCCCTCCACGTCACAACTGGAGTCTGGAGGATTTCTCTTTACTTTCACATCTGCACCACTTTGTCGACTTAAAAGGAGCTATACCTGATTTTATGAGAAAAAAAAAATCTGACTACATTTGTACGGGAGATTGGCGGGAATCTTTCAGTTATTGTTGTGTATGTTGTGTTAGCTGTGCGTTGCTTTTGTACCATTTCATCTGTGATTGTTGTACAGTTTACGAGAAGTTGTGCTAATGCTAATGTTAGCATTCAGTCAGTCAGATTGCTAATAAAACTAGATGGCTTTGTGGGAGGAGAGCGTAGGGGAGAGTAGGAGGGCTTCTCTAAATTAAAATCATGTGAGCAAGTTGAGGGCGGGGCTAAACATTCAAACTGAAAAAAACCTTGCAGAAACAGGTACAGCTCCTTTAATCTATACTTGTATCGACTCAAAAGTGATTCATTCAGGATCCTTTCTATTGCAGTTATTATGTAGATTACAATTTTATTTACAACTGCCAAACGGAGTAGCTCTCTGCCATTTCTGTTTTTATAAAAGTTGCTCTCCGATCGGAAAAGGTTGGAAACCCCTGCACTAATGCCATAGGGCTAGCCTGGTCTTTCCACACCATAGTACACATTTTGTTTCGTACTACGGTCTGGATCTTCTCCATTGACTCCGTTAACAGGTGGGAGGGGTTAACTCCTTTTGCAGATTGAAACCATTGGATCTGAGTTTACTGTGACGTATGTAATGAGCCCGAGTGAGTGAGGCATTTAGCCTAGCTTTAGCATGTAGCCTAGCTTTAGCATGTAGCCTAGCTTTAGCCATCTCCTTTGCCACTAACTGAGCCCGTGGGGAGTAGAGCCACAACATCTTTGCTTCAATGACATTTACTAAACATTCCTCTTGCTCAATTTCTTGATATTTGGAGCTATATTTATTTAGTTCTATCACGACACCTCCCTACAACACCTGCCTCCCACGCTCTCACTGATTGGTCGGAGGGGATTTAGTCGATGTCAATGCATTAACTTGGACCAGACCCAGACATATTTGTAGGAAGTGATAATTGAGCAGAGTTTACGGATGGATAAGGCCAGGCTAGTTTAGTGCTAGTATTGTGAGTATCTAGTGCCAGTGGTGCGATGGTGGCGAGTGGTGCATGTCTAAGTGGAGTGTTTCCGCAGGGGGAGAAGGAGTGCCTGAGCACAGAGACCACAGAGCTGAAGCAGAAAGTCCGCTACCTCCAGGACCAGCTTCTGCCACTCAGCAAGCAGAGGGAGTACCAGGAGAAGGAGATCCAGAGACTCAACCGGGTCAGTGCAACCAGTCCCCTTTAAGTCTCTCTGTGTATCTGTTTGACACATGTGTTGGTTTGGATTGGCAAAAATTTGACAATTCAATCGTATTGTGATATTTGGGCCACAATTCAATTATAAACATATCGTGATACAGCAAGTATCGTGATTCCATTCTGTGATATATTGCAATCCATGTCCCTCCTATTATTCAAAGACTTTACAAAAATCCCAACAATCAGACGTCATAGAGTCACAACAAGCAGACGTCATAGAGTCACAACAAGCAGACGTCATAGAGTCACAACAAGCAGACATCATAGAGTCACAGTAACCTCAGATGTCAATAACCAGAGGAAACTCAGAAAAATAAAAAAGTGAAACAGATCATTATTTAATTAAATATTGAAATACTGTATCGATTTGCATAACGTGCTCAAAAAATCGAGATACTGAACAGAATTACTTTTTTTTTTCTCACCACTAGTGCACCAGAGTTTATAACCCTGTTTTTTTGTGCAGGCGTTAGAGGAGGCCCTGAACCTGCACCCGCCCTCCTCCTCCCAGCAGCCTCCAGCACAGAGCAACTTCAGCGACGCAGCCAACAACCTGAAGAAGCAAGAGCTGCTCACTCAGATACAAGTGCTGAAGGAGCAGGTAACACACACTACACAACCACTACACACTCAGATACAAGTGCTGAAGGAGCAGGTAACACACACTACACACTCAGATACAAGTGCTGAAGGAGCAGGTAACACACACTACACAACCACTACACACTCAGATACAAGTGCTGAAGGAGCAGGTAACACACACTACACAACCACTACACACTCAGATACAAGTGCTGAAGGAGCAGGTAACACACACTACACACTCACATACAAGTGCTGAAGGAGCAGGTAACACACACTACACAACCACTACACACTCAGATACAAGTGCTGAAGGAGCAGGTAACACACACTACACAACCACTACACACTCACCTCATAAACACACACACTCAGAGACCCCCTGTAGACGCCTCAGACACAGAAGCCGTGACTGTCCCCAGTGAGACCAGTTTAAGTTAAAGTCCCGTGTTTTTGCAGGTGAAGATCTTTGAGGAGGACTTCAGGAAAGAGCGCAGTGACCGCGAACGCATGAACGAAGAGAAAGAGGATCTGAGGAGGCAGGTGGAGCGGCTACAGGGTCAAATCACCAACCTGACCAATCAGGTGAGACTACAATAGTGGGGGCGGGTCCCGGCCCAAAAGTGTCCAAAATGACGTGCGCTGACATGCTGCAATACCACCCCGGGCCGATGGGGGTGGACCCAGAAGAAGAATTAGCCAATGCTAACATATAGCATTGGCAAACCTCTCAAAAACGTCTTTACAGGATGGACCAAAAGTTGGCTCTTGGCCCAAAGCTCCGTTCCACATGTGTGTCAATGCTGAGTGTTCTGGACCAGTCTAGTTTTCCAGCCCCCGCGGCCATTTTGAAACTTTAACAAACTCAGGCTCGTGGACCAAATCTGGTCGCAAGACATTTTTTAGTGGCTCATAATTATTATTTTTATTAACTTGCAGCATTGATGGTAACTGGCAACAAAAGGCATGTTATAAATCACCTATTTTTCAGGAAATCAACCACATTTAACTTTTTATTTTGTTCAGTTTTATCTTAACAATAAACACATTTTTAAACATCCAAAAAATAGTGAAACTCATGTCAAATCAAACTCATACCGTCATAATGTAAATAATAATTTAAAAAAATAAAATGTCCCAATTCTTTCGGCCCCGTGTTGAGTTTGACGTCCCTGCTTTACAACATGAAACACCTGAGGCTTATATTCAGGTGCGGCTTATAGTCCAGAGAGTACGACAGGAGAATGTAAATATGTCTGAAGCTAATGTTGTGTTGTTGTTGTTGTGTGTTCAGCTGCATCAGGCTCAGAACGAGTGTCAGCGAGAGAGGAGCGAGCGCTGCAAACTGGAGCGTCTGCAGATGCAGCACCACAAACAGGTGCAGCCTCCCACACACTGCAACACACTACACAACACACTACACAAGACACACTCGCACTGTACACAACACAACACGCACACACTACACAAGACACACACGCACTGTACACCACACTACACAAGACACACATATACACTACACAACACACACAAACGCACTGTACACAACACAACACACACACTACACGCACACACTACACAAGACACACTCACACTGTACTACACAACACACACACGCACTGTACACCACACTACACAAGATACACATATACACTACACAACACACACAAACGCACTGTACACAACACACACACACTGTACAGCACACTACACACACACACACACACGCACACACTATTGTCACTGAGAAACCAATCCACAAAAACAGTTTTAATACAAGAGCAGATCATTAAAGTGCTTTGTTCAGACTGTTAGCATGTTAGCATATTAGCATATCTAGATGTCATGCATCTCAGCCAACAATATCTTCTGCCAGAGGGAAGAAGCTGGAACAAGGCAAGAGTCATTGATTATTCTAAGAGCTCGGTTTAAGATTCTGGATTAATAAATAACCTCCAGAACAGACAGATCACAGTCCTCTCTGGTCTCTCTTTGGTCTCTCTCTCTGGTCTCTCTCTCTCTCTCTCTGGTCTCTCTCTGGTCTCTCTCTCTAGTCTCTCTGGTCTCTCTCTGGTCTCTCTCTGGTCTCTCTCTGGTCTCTCTCTGGTCTCTCTCTGGTCTCTCTCTGGTCTCTCTCTCTAGTCTCTCTGGTCTCTCTCTAGTCTCTCTCTGGTCTCTCTCTGGTCTCTCTCTGGTCTCTCTCTGGTCTCTCTCTCTAGTCTCTCTCTGGTCTCTCTCTGGTCTCTCTCTGGTCTCTCTCTGGTCTCTCTCTCTAGTCTCTCTCTGGTCTCTCTCTGGTCTCTCTCTGGTCTCTCTCTTGTCTCGCTCTCTGGTCTCTCTCTTGTCTCTCTCTCTGGTCTCTCTCTCTGGTCTCTCTCTGGTCTCTCTCTTGTCTCTCTCTCTGGTCTCTCTCTGGTCTCTCTCTTGTCTCGCTCTCTGGTCTCTCTCTCTGGTCTCTCTGGTCTCTCTCTTGTCTCCCTCTCTTGTCTCTCTCTCTTGTCTCTCTCTCTGGTCTCTCTCTCTGGTCTCTCTCTAGTCTCTCTCTGGTCTCTTTCTGGTCTCTCTCTCTTCTCTCTTCCTGGTCTCTCAGCTCACAGTCCTCTCTCAGAGCCAAGCACCTTGTTTAGAGTTCTCCTTTCTCTTTGACTGTGATGCTGCCCACTCCTCCATGTGCCGTGTTAGTGTTGCTAGTGTTGCTAGTTGTGTGTGCGTTGCGTGTGTGCGTTGTTGTGGTAACGGCTGGTGCTGGTCGTAGGGGCAGACTCAGGACAGACGTGACCCCCCCGCCCCCCTCAGCCCGCCCTACTACGGCCCCTTTATGCAGGTGCAAGGGCAGGGGCTGGAGGCGTGGCCTGTTCACCTCCCCCCGCGGATCGCCATGGCAACCGGGCCTACAGCCGCCCCGCCCCCTGCCCGGGACTACCTGCCCAACGCCCCGGTAAGACTGGTACTGCTGCTACTCACTACTACTTCTACTACTGCTGCTTTTGCTTTCGCTGTACATCTTCACACCGCAGACCCGCACTTTTAGATCGATTTGAGCGGGCGCTGACTGGAACGAATGTGACTTACGGGTTGGAATTTACAAAAAATTGACAATTTGATAGTATTTTAATTTTTCCGGCCAAAATTACGACCAACACAGAACTGATTCTGCTCCTGCTGCCTCCACAACACCCCCATCTGCTCCATACAGGACCAGCTCTCTCTGGTCTCTTTCTAGTCTCTTTCTAGTCTCTCTAGTCTCTCTAGTCTCTCTAGTCTCTCTCTAGTCTCTCTCTAGTCTCTCTCTAGTCTCTCTCTAGTCTCTCTCTAGTCTCTCTAGTCTCTCTAGTCTCTCTCTAGTCTCTCTCTAGTCTCTCTCTAGTCTCTCTCTAGTCTCTCTCTAGTCTCTCTCTGGTCTCTCTCTGGTCTCTCTCTCTGGTCTCTCTCTCTGGTCTCTCTCTGGTCTCTCTCTGGTCTCTCTCTGGTCTCTCTCTGGTCTCTCTCTGGTCTCTCTCTGGTCTCTCTCTGGTCTCTCTCTGGTCTCCTGCTTGTCTCTCTCTGGTGATTGGCTGAGAGGGTCTGTGGTGCTCTGTGATTGGCTGAGAGGGTCTGTGGTGCGCTGTGATTGGCTGAGAGGGTCTGTGGTGCTCTGTGATTGGCTGAGAGGGTCTGTGATGCTCTGTGATTGGCTGAGAGGGTCTGTGGTGCTCTGTGATTGGCTGAGAGGGTCTGTGGTGCACTGTGATTGGCTGAGAGGGTCTGTGGTGCTCTGTGATTGGCTGAGAGGGTCTGTGGTGCACTGTGATTGGCTGAGAGGGTCTGTGGTGCACTGTGATTGGCTGAGAGGGTCTGTGGTGCTCTGTGATTGGCTGAGATGCATTGTAAATATGTGTGTTGTGTTCCAAGCAGGGTTTCCCGTGGCAGTCGTCCTTCTCTCAGCCCAGAGGAGCTCGCGCTGTGGGAGAGAGCATACGGCCGCCTCCAGAGAACGCAGGTGCAGATTATAGGGATGGATTATGAGAGAGAGAGAGAGAGAGAGAGAGAGAGAGAGAGAGAGAGAGACAGATGGGTAGAGAGAGAGAGAATATATCGATCTATCTGTTTCTCTCTATCTCTCATTCTTTCTTTCTCTCTCTGCTTCTTTCTTTCTCTTTCTCACTCTTTACTCTCCTCTCCTCTTATTTTTATTTATTCTATATTTTCTTTCTCTATCTCCCTTTTATCTCTTTTTCTCTCTATCTCCTACTCTCCCTCTGTCTTTCTTTCTCTCTCCCTCTGTCTCTTTCTTTATCTCAGTCTCCTTTTGTTTTCTCTCTCTCCCCCTCCCCTTTCTTTATCTCTCTCTGCTTCTTTCTTTTTCTTTCTTTCCTTTCTTTCTTTCTCTCCTTCTCTTTCCCTTTCTCCCTCTCTGTCTTTCTTTCTCTCTCCCTCTGTCTCTTTCTTATTCTCTCTTAGTCTCCTTTCTTTTGTTTTCTCTCTCTCCCTCTCTCCCCCTCCCCTTTCTTTATCTCTCTCTGCTTCTTTTTTTTTCTTTCTTTCCTTTCTTTCTTTCTCTCCTTCTCTTTCCCTTTCTTTCACTAAATCCTTAGCTTTAGCACATGTTAATTAGCGAGGGCTAATCTTTCCTGTCACCATTTATAAAAACAAAAACAATGTTTACAAATATAACTGAATAATAGTTTGACATTAGCATTAGCATGTCTCTCTCTAGTCTCTCTCTGGTCTCTCTCTGGTCTCGCTCTAGTCTCTCTCTAGTCTAGTCTCACTCTGGTCTCTCTCTGGTCTCTCTCTAGTCTCTCTCTAGTCTCACTCTGGTCTCACTCTGGTCTCTCTCTGGTCTCTCTCTCTGGTCTCTCTCTGGTCTCTCTCTCTGGTCTCTCTGGTCTCTCTGGTCTCTCTCTGGTCTCTCTCTGGTCTCTCTCTGGTCTCTCTCTCTGGTTTCTCTCTCTGGTCTCTCTCTGGTCTCTTTCTGGTCTCTCTCTGGTCTCTCTCTGGTCTCTCTCTGGTCTCTCTCTCTGGTCTCTCTCTGGTCTCTCTCTCTGGTCTCTCTCTCTGGTCTCTCTCTGGTCTCTTTCTGGTCTCTCTCTGGTCTCTCTCTGGTGTCTCTCTCTGGTCTCTCTCTGGTCTCTCTCTCTGGTGTCTCTCTCTGGTCTCTCTCTGGTCTCTCTAGTCTCTCTCTGGTCTCTCTCTGGTCTCTCTCTCTGGTCTCTCTCTGGTCTCTCTCTGGTGTCTCTCTCTGGTGTCTCTCTCTGGTCTCTCTCTGGTCTCTCTCTCTGGTGTCTCTCTCTGGTCTCTCTCTAGTCTCTCTCTGGTCTCTCTCTCTGGTCTCTCTAGTCTCTCTCTGGTCTCTCTCTCTGGTCTCTCTCTGGTCTCTCTCTCTGGTCTCTCTCTCTGGTCTCTCTGGTCTCTCTCTGGTCTCTCTCTCTGGTCTCTCTCTGGTCTCTCTCTGGTCTCTCTCTGGTCTCTCTCTCTGGTCTCTCTCTCTGGTCTCTCTCACTCTCTCTCTGGTCTCTCTCTCTGGTCTCTCTCTGGTCTCTCTCTGGTCTCTCTCTCTGGTCTCTCTCTGGTCTCTCTCTGGTCTCTCTCTGGTCTCTCTGGTCTCTCTGGTCTCTCTCTGGTCTCTCTCTCTGGTCTCTCTCTGGTCTCTCTCTCTGGTCTCTCTCTCTGGTCTCTCTCTGGTCTCTCTCTCTGGTCTCTCTCTCCGGTCTCTCTCCGGTCTCTCTCTGGTCTCTCTCTGGTCTCTCTCTCTGGTCTCTCTCTCCAGTCTCTCTCTCTGGTCTCTCTCTCTGGTCTCTCTCTCTGGTCTCTCTCTCTGGTCTCTCTGGTCTCTCTCTCTGGTTTCTCTCTGGTCTCTCTCTCTGGTCTCTCTCTGGTCTCTCTCTCTGGTCTCTCTCTCTGGTCTCTCTCTCTGGTCTCTCTCTCTGGTCTCTCTCTGGTCTCTCTCTGGTCTCTCTGCATTAGCTCTGTGTGTGTTGACATGTCGCCTCCCTCTTGTGTCTAACTGCTCTGATTCTTCTTCTTGTGTTTGCCCGTGTGCACAGAGGCCTCCGCGGCGCCCCCTGCTGCTCCTCCTCCCGCGGCCTTCTCCAAACGGGAGCGTCAGGCGGCGGACCCCGGGAAGCACTGAAGACCTGCGCCTTTTCCTACTGAACTGTACATATCTGTGTTTATACCTGGTTTTTCTAAGGCTCTTTGTGGACTCTCTTCTCTACACAACACGGATTTGAGTTTGCCGTTTTTTTATGGTCGGGATTTGGAGGTGGTTTGGTGAAAGAGGTTGGAATTCGGTGGTTGTTCTTTCTGCAAATATGTATAAAAACCACACAAAAAGTGGCACTTAGTTTTGTAGGGTTTGAAACAAGCCATTCCCCCGATCATTCCAGCCATCTACGGCAAGCGGGAGGGGCCAGAGGCAGCGCAATCAAAACATTTCAACGCTTTCTCTTTTGGGCTCATAACTGTCATTGTTCTTTTCTCAATAAATAATATATTACTTTTTCTTCCACCCAATGAATAATAAATCTCACCATTTATTCAGCTTCAATGAATTATTACCATTTTTTTTCTTTATTTTGGTTTTTTCAGTTAATATTCAATTGAAATGAAGAGATAGTGTTGCCTTACTAGCTTTAGCATAATTAAGAAGCTAATCTAAAATCCTTAGCTTAAGCATTTACATCATGACATTTTTTGCTAAAATAAATATTTCGGACTCTTGTCTCTCTAACCAAAGTTTATTAAAATCACAGTCACAAAAATATGAAAAAAATCTGAAAGTTTTTGTTTTTTTAATCAATTCCGACATTTCAAAAGCACAATGGAAAGTTGATTTGCAAAAAGTATAATTCTAAAATCTCACAATAACATTCAAATATAAACATGAGGTATAAATGCTTGAATTTAGTGTTTTTAATCTTATTTTGAGAACATTTTGACAGATTCAAAGCCGTTTAGACTTATTTAAAAAAACTATTGCTGTTTTTTCTCATTCCAAAAGAGACATTTTTCTTTGTCCCTTTGTTAAATCCTGTTTTAAAGCCACATTTTTACCCAATTTAAGCCATTTTTTTCCATCTTGTTAGAACATTAGTAATTTTTTTCACAAGTTTGTTTGTTAGAATTTTAAGCACATTCCGATTATCTTTTACTTTTTAAACAAGAACCAAATTGAAGCCATTTTTCCAGTGTAAATCTGGATGTTCACAGTGGTGTCCGTTTGCCTGCGCTGCCTCTCGCTCTCCGCCGCCGTCCCGCCGAAAACCACACGGGAAAATCACCGACGGATTCTGCGATCGTTTTGGGTTTTTTTTTCCGATTTATTTTTTCTAAAAGCGAATTGTTCTAATTTATTTCTTCTTCTACTGTTTTTTGATAGTGCACCATTGTCCTGGGTACTGCTGTTCCTGTGTCGTGTAGATAGTAGTATTGAAAGCATTCGTTCGTACCGAGTCCCACCGGCCGTTTCCATGACGATGGACCTAAACTCATTCTACCACATTCAGCTATTGTCACTATTATCATGATTATTATTATTATTATTATTATTATTCATGTTCCACAAACACTCGGCATCGATACCGGAGCTGGTTTGGCAAGTTTATTTGTATACAGTTCATACACAAGGAAACTCAAAGTGCGGCAATAAACAAGATGCAAGGTGTTAAAATCATTATAAAATCAGTGTTTTACAAAAAAAATCCCCCAGTTGCTGTTTTTAACCTGGATTTTAAGTCTGTCACACATTTTCAGGATTTAGAACTGCAGAAATCTGAAAATCTGCCTCCTCCATGTTAAGTTCTGGGTTAGGGACACCGGGCCAGTCTCTGTGCTCCTCAGAGTCCCAGCAGGAGGCCCAGTCCCTGTGCTCCTCAGAGTCCCAGCAGGAGGCCAGTCCCTGTGCTCCTCAGAGTCCCAGCAGGAGGCCAGTCCCTGTGCTCCTCATAGTCCCAGCAGGAGGCCAGTCCCTGTGCTCCTCATAGTCCCAGCAGGAGGCCAGTCCCTGTGCTCCTCAGAGTCCCAGCAGGAGGCCAGTCCCTGTGCTCCTCAGAGTCCCAGCAGGAGGCCAGTCCCTGTGCTCCTCAGAGTCCCAGCAGGAGGCCAGTCCCTGTGCTCCTCAGAGTCCCAGCAGGAGGCCAGTCCCTGTGCTCCTCATAGTCCCAGCAGGAGGCCAGTCCCTGTGCTCCTCAGAGTCCCAGCAGGAGGCCCAGTCCCTGTGCTCCTCATAGTCCCAGCAGGAGGCCCAGTCCCTGTGCTCCTCATAGTCCCAGCAGGAGGCCCAGTCCCTGTGGTCCTCAGAGGTTCATATGGCACTAACATGTCATGGTTACTATGGTTACTGAGACACACAACGAGGAAAAGACAAAAATTTTAAATAGTTTGTATTGTTTTATTTCTGAAATAAATTTTCTTTAACTTTGGATTCCTCTTACATTAAAATGAGACGTGTGAAGTTCCACCTCGCGGCTCCAAAAGTGAAAATAATATGGACTTTGAAAATAACTTCCGTAATAAAAGTCTTTAATTTAGAGTCTGAACATTTTAGCGTTGACTGCACGAGAAAGACACAAACTCCAGAGTATTTGGTCCATGGGTTAAACTAATATCCAGAATGTTCCTCCTGCTTTTTCCTTTAGGACCAGAGCGGGACTTGACACAGACCGGACTGGGCCGCTCCTTGAGGCTAGCTCAGTTAGCATTGTTAGCTTCAGTTGCTTTCTGAGAGTTTTGTCGAGTCACTCTGGAAAGTAAAAAGTTGCATCACAAACATAGAGAATATTTCCCCAAGCAGGTGTCAGTGTGAAAACCATATTGTTGGCACTTGATAATGTGTTTTCACAAATTACAGGAAGCACTGATGCTAACTGTTAGCTAACGGTTAGCTTGTTGGCTAGGTCCAGTTTGTGTTGCTCTAAAGAAGCAAAACTCAGCTGTTGTCTGATCAGAGAAATGGCACAGAAACCACATTGGTGATAGAATTGTTTAACCTTAGAATGATAAACTCTTCGACTTAATAAATAAAATGAAAATAATAAATAAAATACTTCTGTGTGTGGGCGTGGCCACTGTAAAAACCACTATGGACTTGTCTATAAACAGTGATGGAAACTAGCTCCTGCCATGTTCCCTTCATCTATGTTTATTTCATGTTTTATTAACCATTTCTCATTTCCAAACTCACTTTCCACGTACAACTCCTGTAGTTAGCATTAGCGGCACCAGCTAACGGTCGCCGAGGCCTGGACTTCAGTCAAAGCTCCTATTGTCCTTTGAAAAAACAATCTGGAAACCTCTGAAAACACGGATTACAAAAACAGACCGTTTGACTTTCTCTACACATGTTAAATATTTCCCATGATGCATTTGTAAGCATTTTTCACAACTTTCACAGAGAACTCTCATGTTTGTGCGGGGAAATCTGATACTGGCAACTTCTGTGATGGCCCTGGAGTCGTCATGTTTGTGTTTGAAGGTGTAAGAATTAGTTAACAACAGTTTTTACCGCTTGAAAACAATAATTCTGAACCGTCTTGCCACAGTGATTAAAAATACCCTCCTTTTTATTCAAGTTAATTTTGATGATTTTTTCCTAACTGGCCATTTACACTGCAAAAAAATAATAACATGGGATTGATTCAGGTGTTTTTTCTTAAATTGAATACATTCTGACCGTCTTAAAACCAGATGTTCCAGTGGGATTTCATGCATTTTGTTTTCTCCCATTGGAAAATCTTGTTTTAAGACATAACTCAGAATGTGCTAAAATTAAGATACATTTTGCAGTTCAGTTTTTGACTTATTTTTCATCACATTTTTGCAGTGTAGACCCTAATTTAAGGCATTTTTCTATTACTTTTAATCACTGTGGTGCTGCATTTTGACCTGAGGGTTGCATAGAGGGACTGGTGATGTCACATTCTCTTTTTTCCCGCAAACGTGGCTCTAAAAGTTGTGAAAAAAACGCTCCTTAACTGAATGTACTGAAAACTTAGCAAAATTCATGTGCTAGAATGTTTAAAAATAGACATAATTGGCAAAAATATGAGTTAAATTGTTAAAAATCAGGCCGTTTTGATCCAATATTTGAAAGAAAAGGTGACAGAGTTTTGACACTACACTTCTCTGGTCTAGATCCGGTTTGGTCTTTAGTCTTTAGTCCTGCTCCACTCCTCAAAGGGCTCACCTCTGAGTTAAGGGAACACACTTACACGTCGTTGCACTTTTTTGGGTACGCTGTAAAAAAAACAAAAACAAAAAAAATGCAGTTGTTTTTCTCTTTTCTTTGCTCTAGGCAAAAGCACATGTGAGACTTTTGTATTTGACTGGCTTAATAAATCTATTCTAAATGTTCCACGGCCTCGCTCTCTGCTTTCTCTCCATGAGGGTGCAATACTCTGCGTCTCTGTGCAATAATAGAATGTGCAATATTATAGGACCATAAGCCTGTAAACTATTTATGACTGTTCTGGAAGATGCAGGATTTTAGAGTTGCTTCTTTATTAGGACGTCCAGTCGCATCGCTGGGATTCATGGTTTTTATGTATTTCTGGTTGGGGACCAGAGGATTTCATCTCTGCTCCAACAAAAACCAGGACCTTCTCTGGGACGGTTTGCAGATGATGATGATGAAGCCAAATCTGAGACTGTGGAGCTCGACCAAAGGTCCTGTGTCCTCTTCTGGTCCTCCTAGTCCTGTGTCCTCTCCTGGTCCTGTGACTTGGTCCTCTCCTGGTTCTGTGTCCTCTCCTGGTCTTCTCCTGGTCCTGGTCTCTCTCCTGTGTCCTGATCCAGGTCCTCTCCTGGTCCTGTGACTTGGTCCTCTCCTGGTCCTCGCCTGGTCCTGGTCCTCTCCTGGTCCTGTGTCCTCTCCTGGTCCTGGTCCTCTCCTGGGCTTCTCCTGGTCCTGTGTCCTCTCCTGGTCCTGGTCCTCTCCTGGTCTTGTGCCCTCTCCTGGTCCTGGTCTCTCTCCAAGTCCTGGTCCTCTCCTGGTCTTCTTCTGGTCCTATGTCCTCTCCTGGTCCTGTGTCCTCTCCTGGTCCTGGTCTCTCTCCAAGTCCTGGTCCTCTCCTGGTCCTGGTCTCTCTCCAAGTCCTGGACTCCTCCTGGTCTTCTGCTGGTCCTGTGTTCTCTCCTGGTCCTGGTCCTGTGTCCTCTCCTGGTCCTGGTCCTCTCCTGGTCTTGTGTCCTCTCCTGGTCCTCTCCTGGTCTTGTGTCCTCTCCTGGTCCTCTCCTGGTCTTCTCCTGGTCTTGTGTCCTCTCCTGGTCCTCTCCTGGTCCTGTGTCCTCTCCTGGTCCTAGGTCCTCTCCTGGTCCTGTCCTGGTCCTCTCCTGGTCTTCTCCTGGTCTTGTGTCCTCTCCTGGTCCTGTGTCCTCTCCTGGTCCTAGGTCCTCTCCTGGTCCTGGTCCTCTCCTGGTCCTCTCAGTTCTGGTTCTCACTGAGTAAAGGATGCAGATTGAGATCGACAGAACTGTGGCATGATGCAGTCGCTGTATTGCATTAGTCACATGTGAGGAGCTCGGAGTAGAGCCGCTGCTTCTACACGTTAAGAGGATGCGGTGGATCTTATTTAGTTAATTAATGTAAGTGATAACTGTGTTCACTTCAGAGAAACCTCTGTGGGCTCTGAACTCATCACCATCACAGTAAACATTACATCTCAAACATATAGAAGTTTGAGCTTCTGCTACATTGACGTATTTGTCTGAGACCCTCTATTCGACTGGGGATTACAGGACAATAAAAATAGCTAGAAACAAACTTATTTTTGCTGATCAAAGTTGACAATCCCGTCTTTCAGAATCAGGTTTCATATTTCTCATGGTCTTAGGAAATTACATTCTGTCAGTCTTGAGAATCAGTGAAATCATCAAAAACGCTGGCAGTCAATGAGTTAACACTGAACCATTTTACAAATAAAACAGAAATTGTGAAAACCATAGAAAAACTCTCACATGTTTATTTGGATTGCATTTTATTTCAAGTGATGTCATCAGAACCTTTTTAAAAAACACATTTTTCCCAAAACACACAATATTCAGCCTTTTCTCTGACCCGGTTCCGGACGTCTCAGATAAACAGTCCTGAGCAGTGACAGTGCTGTACATCTGAGCCTCCGCCGCCGCCTCTCAGACTCAACGTGAAAAACTAAAGCCAAGAACAATCTACGAACTTTCATTTCCGCAAACTCTGAAAAAACAGAATTAAAAAACGTGAGATAAAACGTATTTTTCTCATTTTTGTCTCTTTTACGCAGAGAGAAAGAGACCTACTCGGCTCTACCCGGCCTGGTTGTGTTTCCATTACACTTTAGCATCTAGTACCGTATCCAAGCAATCTACCCACACAACAATCAGTGGAAATTCCTGGGTAACCATGGCTTCCAACTCGCTCACTGACCAATCACTGTCAGTTAGTAATCTTTATATATCTTTCACAGACCAGAGCTTTACAATTGTTGTGGGCATTTGTCGCTCACTCCACACAGAGATGCCAAACCTATTGTACATGGTTTTTTTAGTGGTAGCATCACCGTAGCACCAGGAGGAAACCTACGCAGACGCGGGGGGAACATGCAAACCCCTCACAGAAAGGCCTGGAAGTAGAATTGAAACCAGGACCTGTTTGCTTTTTGCGCTAACCACTGCCTCACCGTGCCCCCAGAGAGTTAGAACACTTTAGTACCCGATAGAAACAGGACTAAGAGGGACTAAAGAAGGACCTGGTACAGGTTAAACAGGACCAGAGGTAACACTCTCAATCAGAGTAGGGTAGAGTAAGGTAGGGCAGAGTAGGGTAGAGTAGAGTAGAGTAGGGCTGGTGGAAACGGGGCTATCGTTCCCTCAAAACAGTGTAGGTCAGTTACTATGAATCAGTAATTTTCTCCCACACTATCCGTGTATCTCGAGTACCTGTGATTCTACTGGTAATATATATAAAGTTACTTCAAATCAGAATATCTTACAGTAACTAGTTTTGTCATGAGTTCCTGCCAATACTGAAAAAAATGCACCTGGATCTCATGGACTAGCACCAAATCTGTCAAAATGCTCTGTTTTCTGCCGTGATTCATCAGAGACAGAGCCGTGAACAGTCAACGTGAGTACAATTCTCACTCCTTCCACAAGAGGGCAGTCTCCCCCCCATCCACACAACTCTCTGTGGTCCAAACTCTGAGGAGAATCTTCACCAAAGAAAAGGACTTTCTCCAAAACCAAGTCAGGCATTTGGCATTTAGCCTAGCATTAGCCTTTAGCCTAGCATTAGCCATCCCCTTTGGCACCAACAAAGCCCGTTGAACCATAACTCAAAGATGGCTATGGCTAAGGCTAAAGCTAGTGCTATGCAGAATATTCCAATGTAAGTCTATGAATTGGTTGCAACTATTGTAATTGAGTGAGATTTATCCCAATTTGAATAGATTGTTTTATGGACATTAACCTGTACCACATTTGAGACTTAACTTCCAGCCAGCTCCAGCTCCAACATGGCTAAATCTGAACAGTTTGACCGTCTTCAACCAGGATTCACCAAATAAACACGTGATTATGACTGAAGCTTGTCCTATTAGTACAGTTTCTTCACAACGTCGCAGAAAATCACACTTCATTCAAACCCGCCATTACTAAATACCCTGCACCTTGGTCGTCTTTCTTTCACCTGCCAATAGGAGGCGCCCACTGTCATTTCCTGCCCCGAGAAAGTGTCTCTCGGGGCAGAAAGGTGGGAGAGCCCTGGTGTAGTGCATCACACAGAGGTGGGGGGTGGTACTGCAGGTCTTCACTATTGCTTTGGAAACTCGACTGCATAAGTTTGTGAGTGACGGTGAAACGCTGAATCCTCCAGACTCCATGACGCATGAATGGATTTGACCTGATTCTTAAATATATTTCCAAATGGCTCGATCGCAGGCGTGTCGTACAGAGTCACTAATCAACTTGTCCATGAAATGTTGAAGGCAATTTATCGGAGGTTTTGCGACGGGGCTGAAGCAGAGTGATGTCGTGTCTCACTTCCGAGATCAAAGCAGCGGCGACTGAAGATGAACGTTGGATTTGTTTTCTTAAAGCTGAGATAAAAATGGATGTAAGTGAGAGGTGTGTGAGAAAAAGAGGCGCACAAAACCTCCATCTGCACCTCTCCCCCGGCCCGGACTCGTTCTACAGTCTGAGTCCTGGATCTACAGTGGTCTCCGTCCGTGGGAGCAGATCCCTCCTACAATGTGGGCCTCCTCAAAGTTTTCCACCGGGTTTTTAGAGTTTTTCTTTGCCGATGCAGGAGGGTCTAAGGACACTCCAGGCCTGGTCTTACCACACCATGGTACTCATTTTATTTCATACTAAGGTCTAGATTTGCTCCATTGACTCCGTTAACAGGTGGGAGGGGCTAACTCCTTTTGCAGATTGAAACGATTGGATCTGAGTTTACTGTGACGTATGTGATGAGTCCTAAGAGAGTCGCTAGCTTTAGCATATATCCTAGCTTTAGCATGTAGCCTAGCTTTAGCCATCTCCTTTGCCACTAACAGAGCCCGTGGGGAGTAGAGCCACAACATCTTTGCTTCAATGACATTTACTAAACATTCCTCTTGCTCCGGCTTCAGTTTCTTGATATTTGGATTGAACCAGAACAGATTATTTTACACCCGCCTCCCCCGCTCTCTGATTGGTCGGAGGAGATTCAACCGAGGAAACTGCAGCCACTAGGATCAGACCCAGACGTACATGTAGGAAATGACCATGGACCAGAGTTTACACATGGTAAGACCAGACGTACATGTAGGAAATGACCATGGACCAGAGTTTACACATGGTAAGACCAGACGTACATGTAGGAAATGACCATGGACCAGAGTTTACACATGGTAAGACCAGACGTACATGTAGGAAATGACCATGGACCAGAGTTTACACATGGTAAGACCAGACGTACATGTAGGAAATGATCATGGACCAGAGTTTACACATGGTAAGACCAGGCTAGGACACACCAGGACTTTATCAACATTTATGGTCAGTGGTCTCGGTCTCTTTTGGACCAATGTGTTCTTGTGTTTGAACGGTTTGATTCTCTGATCTGCGTTGGCGAAGTCGACAGTATTTTAAAGTCCTCGGGGATAACGACTGTTGTGATTTAGAGCTGAACAAAAATACAGCTAAACCCCGGTAACTGCAGCTGGTTCTGGGACTCGGAAGTGCAGAGTGTGACATCACTCGACAGCCCCATCGTTCAGGAGTATTCTCTGATTTAAAGTGTTTTTGCATCTTAGGCCGTCTGCAGGAGGTCGGCCCGGCCTCCCTGCGCCTCCTCCACGTGCTCCTCTCCGTTCACTCCGTTGGTCTGGACCTGGACCGAGACCTGGACTGAGACCTGGACCGAGACCTGCTCCTCCCCTGGTCCACTGCAGACACACAAACCTCACAGTTACAGCCGGAAAAACGATCGATCTGAGAGAAGTCACTGCACAATGTATTTTTCTACTTTGTTTTTATCCATGTTTCTGAAAAAGTAACGATGAAAAGATGTAAATAACTAAAGTGAAACTAAACTCATGGTGAAGTCTTTAGAACGTTTACTTTTTATTAAAGTTCAAATGTCAATTAGAAGATGGTTATGGGTTGGTGGATTTTTTGTTTCCAGTTTCATGGCAGAAGACGTCTCGCAAAAAACAAAACAAATATGTAAAAATTGCTCAAATTTGGTCTAAAGTATCTTCCTTTGAGCCTATGATGACATGTGACTTTCTAAAACATGAAATACCAAAGAAATAATGTTCTCAGGGTCACTATGAATACACACAGTCCTAGTGCTGTTGCCCATGGCAACTCTCAGATTACTTTAATTTATCATTTGCAAATGTATTCCAATGTGGTTTTACTGCAAGGCCCCAGTGTCTCTCTCTGGTCTCTCTTTGGTCTCTCTCTCTGGTCTCTCTCCCTGGTCTCTCTCCCTGGTCTCTCTCTCTGGTCTCTCTCTCTGGTCTCTCTCCCTGGTCTCTCTCTCTGGTCTCCCTGGTCTCTCTCTCTGGTCTCTCTCTCTAATCTCTCTCTCTGGTCCCTCTCTCTAATCTCTCTCTCTGGTCTCTCTCTCTGGTCTCTCTCCCTGGTCTCTCTCTCTGGTCTCTCTCTGGTCTCTCTCTGGGCTCTCTCTGGTCTCTCTCTGGTCTCTCTCTCTAGTCTCTCTCTCTGGTCTCTCTCTGGTCTCTCTCTGGTCTCTCTCTGGTCTCTCTCTGGTCTCTCCCTGGTCTCTCCCTGGTCTCTCCCTGGTCTCTCTCCGGTCTCGCTCTGGTCTCACCTGTGATTGGCTCCGTTGGACAGAGCAGTGTCATTGGTCGAGCAGGTGGACTCTCTGCGAGCTCCACCACAGTCCGAGCTCTTCCTTCGGGGCACGATGGGTCCCGGTCCAGACCCCCTGCGGTCCGGGCTGACGGCGGGCCCGCTCTGATCTGAGGGGACCCCCAGAGTACTGGAGCCCGAGTCCGAGCTGGTCCTGCGGCTCGAGACCCCTTCATCTGTCAGGAACAGGTTTCAAGTTAAATTACAACTCAATTAAACGCTACTTTTGTCATGCGTCCTGTTTAAGTATTGTTTGTGCTAAGGACGCCCCCTGCTGGATTGAGGCGTCCAGTGCAGGAGGCATAGAGGAGACAGATGTGAGGGAAGTTGAAAGTTGTTTTTGTGTTACTATGGGAACCAGGGAGACTGGGGTCTTGATTTAGCAGGATGCCACAAGTGCCTGTCGTAAAAGTCAGTCGTAGTTCTGTTATCAACAAAACTCTGAACTCCCTAGATTTCACTCGCCGGTCTCTTTGTCTCTCCGGTCTCTCTCTGGTCTTTCTCTGGTCTGGATCCTTCTCTCTGGTCTCTCTCAGGTGCCTTTATCCGGTCTCTCTCCACTCTCTCTGGTCTTTCTCTGGTCTCGCTCTCTCTCCGGTCTCTCTCTGGTCCCTCTTTCTAGTCTCTCTCTATAATTTACCCACAAATATGGAAGAAAACCCAGTGGCATTCAAACGTTTAGGCAAGGCAGGCAAGGCAAGTTTATTTGTATAGCACAATTCATACACAAGGCAATTCAAAGTGCTGAACAAAACAAGAAAGCATTAAAATCATAAATTATCACAGAACATTAAAAAGAAAGATAGAAATATAAAATCCCTCAGTTGTAGCACAGCTAAACAGAACTGTCTTTAACCTGGTTTTAAACATTGTCAGAGAGGAGGCCTGTCTCACATCTTCAGGAAGACTGTTCCAGATTTTAGCAGCATGAATCTGAAAAGCAGCCTCCCCATGTTTAGTTCTGACTCTGGGCACTAACAGGAGTCCAGTCCCTGTGCTCCTCAGAGTCCCAGCAGGAGTCCAGTCCCTGTGCTCCTCAGAGTCCCAGCAGGAGTCCAGTCCCTGTGCTCCTCAGAGTCCCAGCAGGAGTCCAGTCCCTGTGCTCCTCAGAGTCCGGGCTGGTTCATATGGGACTAACATGTCACTAATATATTTTGGTGCGAGGCCATGGAGAGACTTGTAACAAGCAGAGCTGTTTTAAAGTCTATTCTCTGAGCCACAGGAAGCCAGTGCAGAGACCTGAGGACTGGACTAATGTGGTCGTACTTCCTGGTTCTAGTCAGGACTAATATGGTCGTACTTCCTGGTTCTAGTCAGGACTAATGTGGTCGTACTTCCTGGTTCTTGTCAGGACTAATGTGGTCGTACTTCCTGGTTCTAGTCAGGACTAATGGGGTCGTACTTCCTGGTTCTAGTCAGGACTAATGGGGTCGTACTTCCTGGTTCTAGTCAGGACTAATGGGGTCGTACTTCCTGGTTCTAGTCAGGACTAATGTGGTCGTACTTCCTGGTTCTAGTCAGGACTAATGGGGTCGTACTTCCTGGTTCTAGTCAGGACTAATGTGGTCGTACTTCCTGGTTCTAGTCAGGACTAATGTGGTCGTACTTCCTGGTTCTAGTCAGGACTAATGGGGTCGTACTTCCTGGTTCTAGTCAGGACTAATGTGGTCGTACTTCCTGGTTCTAGTCAGGACTAATGTGGTCGTACTTCCTGGTTCTAGTCAGGACTAATGTGATCGTACTTCCTGGTTCTAGTCAGGACTAATGTGGTCGTACTTCCTGTTCTAGTCAGGACTCGAGCTGCTGCATTTTGAATGTACTGCAGCTGTTTTACAGCCTGTTTGGACAGACCTGTGAGCAGGCCATTGCAGTAGTCTAACCTACTGGAGACAAATGCATGGATAAGAATCTCCAAGTCTGCTTTAGACACTATGTTTTTGATCCTGGCAATGTTTTTTAGACGGTAAAAAGCTGCTGATGTTACTGATTTGATGTGGCTATTCAAATTTAAGTCTGAGTCCAGTATTACCCCTAGATTTCTGACCTTGTTTGAAGGTTTTAGGGAGAGAGACTGTAGGTGACAGATGACGCTCTCTCTTTGTTTCTGGGGACCAAAGACAATCATTTCAGTTTTGTCTGCGTTTAGCTGAAGGAAGTTGTTTTGCATCCACTCACTGATCTGTTGGATACAGTGAAGGAGTGAGTCCACTGGTCCATGTTCTCCTGCAGTCAGTGAGACATAGATCTGAGTGTCGTCTGCATAGTTATGATAGGACACTTTGTTTCTGCGTATTAACTGACCTAACGGCAGCATGTAGAGATTGAACAGAAGAGGTCCCAGGATCGACCCCTGTGGGACTCCACAGGTCAGGGCCATATGATCTGAGACACAGTTTCCAATCTCCACAAAGTACTTCCTGTCTTCAAGGTAAGACCTAAACCAACTTAGGGCGGTGCCAGCGACACCAACCCAGTCCTCTAGCCTCTGTAAGAGGATCTCATGGTCGACGGTGTCAAAGGCAGCACTTAGATCTAACAGGATTAAGAGTGAGACTTTGCCTGCGTCAGTGTTCAGCCGGATATCGTTTGTAACCTTAACGAGAGCAGTCTCAGTGATGTGGTGGGGTCTAAAGCCGGACTGAAACATATCAAATGAGTTGTTGATTATAAGAAATCCAGTAAGGTGTAGGTAGACAAGTTTCTCAAGGACTTGAGCGTCTGTACAGATCAGTAATGCTGAGATATCCAGAGGCCTTTCTAGAATCTTGGCATTTGGTCTCCTGCCGAGGTGCAGTTTTTGAGAACATTAAAGGAGCAGGCTAACGGTTAGGCTAGCTAGTCTATTGCGGGACGACATACCAAGAAATGTAACACGTTTTTACGATGTGTTTGATGCCAATAAAGTGATATTGTGCCACAAAGAAGCCTTTACAGTAGAAAAGACATGTTCCAGTGGGAGGAGCCTGTTCCAGTGGGCGGGGCCTGTCCCAGTGGGCGGGGCTCTGACTCACCTCCAGACTCTCCAGCCTTGTTGCGTCTGCGGCGGAGGATCAGCTCCAGCTCCGAGTCCTTCTTGGGCTGAGGAGACGAGGCCGAGTCCTGAGAGCCACGACTGGGACTGCGCTTCACCGTCTCCTGGACACGTTAGCGAACACTTAAGCTAGGCTAACTACAAGCTGCTAATGAACACATCTCATACTTTGCTGAGCATTATCTTTTTGATGTCCATGTTTGTGGTTTGATTCGACACAGACTTAACAAGTGTATGTGAAAGTCTGTGTTGATTTGAAGTTATTTTTGGCCTTTATGAACCCAGGAAAGTAGATCTGTTACGATGGATTGTGTTCAGTCTCAGCTGTGGGGGAGGGGCCACATATCTATCAATACATCTGGGTGTTCTCATAGACCAGTGTCTAACAAAGTGGGGGCCGCTGCTCCCTGGTGGGCTGCGAGGGTATTGCAGGGGGACCGCAAGAGGTCATCAAAAAAAAAAAAAAGTTTTATATATTTATTGTTTGTTAAATTAATAATATTTTGTTTGCAATATTACAACAATTGTGTTCATTACTTGACTTGAATAATCAAATAATTACAAAATGGGTGCGTCATTTACATGTTTGTAGCAGAGGCTCTTTCTCCCAAATAAAATAACGAGAAGAGCCTATTTTTAACGTTGTCTTCTTGGTTAGTATTTCGGGGGCTGCGCAGACCCGTCAGATTTTCCCAAAGTGTTACTGACTTTGGGAGTGGCTGTCATAGACTATAGAAAGTTACCAAACAGTAAAGTTATAACAATGACTGAAACCTGAACCACAGAGGTCAGACCCTGAAGTGTTTTAACAACACACTGCTCAAGATCAATATTTAACACTTTGTTCATTTTAAACGTGATTCTTTAACCGTAGTTTCTCTATAGTTTCTCTAAGAGGCTGTGTTAGAAACAGGTTGATGGTTTTCCAGAGAGTGAGTGATAAAAAGTGTTACCAGGATTCCTTTGAGCTCCTCCATGGCACTGTCCTGCTTCTCCTCGCTCACGGGCAGCGGCTGAAAGTGAACCACAAATAGTTTATTATGGAGTATTCTGTGCTTTTAAACAAAACTGAACACTTGTGTGAAAGTGTTGAACTCACTTTTACAGCCGCCCTCTGAGACGCCCGCAGCAGACGTCACACATGAAGCAGAGAAAAGACACAAATCAACTTTTCACTTCATTTTTATCTCCTAAAGTTTGAGGACTAATTTTCAACAGCCACAAAAACTAGTTTGTGGCTTTAAAATAGTTTTCTTCTCTCACTACACTGCAAAAAGGGATGAACAATAAGTCAGAAATGATCTTAATCTGAGCACATTCTGACTGAGCTTTAAAGAAGCAATATGTAAGATTTTCATGTCAAGTAATCGTTAAAGGGCCCTAATCTGTCATCGTTAAAGGGCCCTAATCTGTCATTGTTAAAGGGCCCTAATCTGTCATTGTTAAAGGGCCCTAATCTGTCATCATTAAAGGGCCCTAATCTGTCTTCATTAAAGGGCCCTAATCTGTCATCATTAAAGGGCCCTAATCTCTCATCATCAAAGGGCCCTAATCTGTCATCATTAAAGGGCCCTAATCTGTCATCATTAAAGGGCCCTAATCTGTCATCATTAAAGGGCCCTAATCTATCATCATTAAAGGGCCCCATCTGTCATCATTAAAGGGCCCTAATCTGTCATCATTAAAGGGCCCTAATCTGTCATCATTAAAGGGCCCTAATCTGTCATCATTAAAGGGCCCTAATCTGTCTTCATTAAAGGGCCCTAATCTGTCATCATTAAAGGGCCCTAATCTGTCATCATTAAAGGGCCCTAATCTGTCATCATTAGAGGGCCCTAATCTGTCCTCATTAGAGGGCCCTAATCCGTCATCATTAAAGGGCCCTAATCTGTCCTCATTAAAGGGCCCTAATCTGTCATAATAATAAACAGCTCTTTTCCAATACTTCTTTAACTGATAACAGTAGTTCAGAGCTATTTGAATTTCTGTCTCTGAACTTAATCTTGTTATTGTTTTCATTTCAGTGTCCCGCCCTCCACCGTTTCACCAATCAGAAAGTCTGTGATCCGAGCGCTACAACTCACCGCGTGGAGCTAATCTCATTGGTAAAGTACCATGTGGCGCAGAACTAAAAAAGGTCTCGTTATGATTCTCAAATCATTAACGACAAAACAAGGAATAAAACCAGGATTTCTATCTTTGTGAAAAAGGTGTTGGTTATAGATTTGTTGTTGACAAAACTCTTGTCTATTCAGCTGTTATGGTCCCAGCTGGATTCGTCTGCATATCTGGCAACCTGAGTCAGGAAGAGTGGGAGAGGCTGCAGTACCACTTTTGGCCACATTTTTTACACACTGCTCCTTTAAAACCAGATATTCCAATTGGACAAAGCAAAATTACCTTCTATGTTTTAAGTCAGTTTATCTGTATAGCGCGTTGGAGGCACTGACCTTGGTGTCGGAGGGTTTGACCGGCCGCAGCACCACGCCGTGTTTGATCCTCTCCATCATCTCATTCACGGCCTTCACCTTCACTTCATCTGCTCCCTCTGCTGGTGGACACAGGAACTGCTTTAGGACTGTGTGTTTGTGTGTGTTGTGTGTGTGTGGATGTATGTATGTGTGTGGATGTGTGTGTGTGTGTGGATGTGCGTGTGTGTGTGTGTGTGTGTGTGTGTGTGTGTGTGGATGAGTGTGTGTGTGTGGCTGTGTTCATGGTGCAGGTGTTTATTTGTCTATGTGTTTATCTGTGTGTGTCCATCTGTGTGTTTTTGTGTGGGTGCGCCTGTCTCTGCAAATGTGTGTGCATCTGTGTGCTTCTGTGTTCAGAGTGTAGGTGTATAGGTCTGTGCGTTTATCTGTGTGTGTGTGTGTTTGTGTGTGTGTATGTACATCTGTGTGTGTGTGTATTTGTATCTGTGTGTGTGTGTTTAGTGCAGGTGTGTGTACCTGACTCTCCCTGGGGGGCCTCTGTCTTCACACTGTGTTTGGATCCTTTGGACGACTTCCTCATGATGGCGATCAGAGAGCTGCACACACAACACAACACACTCAGACACACACACAAAGACCGTGTGTGTGTGTGGTGTGTGGATTTCTTTCTAAGCAATAAGGGACCACTAACACAAATAGCAAAAACATATAAAAGAAGACAAATAAATTCAGAAAAATGTGGATAAAATATGTGTGAAGCCAGGTCGCTGTATAGAAAGTGCCCATGACTCTCAGGAGCCTTTTGGCACCTGTTTTAAACCATACATTATCTTACAGGTTAAATCAGACATGTCCAAACTATGACCCGGGGGCCAGTTGCGGCCCTCTGTATCATTTCCCGTGGCCCTCTGCTTTGCTAACACCAAATTAGCCGGTGTAGTCATTAACATATGTTCTGTGTCATCGGGCTTGTTATACCTCATTGTAAACCTCTGTGCTCCCATAGGTCTCCCATCACAGTACTAACCAGGCCCTGCCCTGCTTAGCTTTAGACAACATGGAATCTGGCTTTCACCTGCAGGTATGACCACAAATGTATGTTTCTAACTCTGTTTTTACATTCCGCTTCAGCTCTGTCAAATGGGAATCATTGTGAACATATGTGTCACATCTGTCATAATTTAAACCGGAACATCCTGAATCCACAGTTTCACAAAAGGGCCCCTGGACAAAGTCACTGTCGTAATAAAAAGTTCTTAAAATGATCAAAACAAAGTCACTGTCTTAATAAAAAGTTCTTAAATTGATTAAAATAAACCATTCCTTGCGGTACCTAAAGAAGTGGATCCGTGTTTACGTGTTGAAAGCTGCTCTCACCTGATGGGGTTACACCTGGAGGGCGGAGGAGGAGGGGGAGGGGGTGGGGGAGGAGGAGGGGGAGGCGGGGGATGAGGGATGGGCGCGGGGGGCGGGGCTTCGCCTGGAGCAGGAGGCGGGGCTGGAGTGGGCGCAGGGGGCGGAGCCTGCTGCAGCTCAGACACTGTGGACAGAAACAGAAGAAGAATTGTCAGGGCTTTCATCTTTCTTTACTTTATGAAACCATGTGGGGTAGACACGCCCCCGACCAATCAGAAGGCAGACCTCAACACAACCATATATGAAACACACAACAGTGAGTGCAACAGTGCCACCTATAGGCAAAGTTTTGTGTGTTTTATTTGATCATGTTTTTCATTGTCAAGACTTCCACCACGTAATTTCTCTGGACGGATTCAAGCTAAGCCTGCTTCACACCAGACGATTTCAAAATTATCGGCCGATTTTCCAAACCTGAGAGACCCCACACACGGAGATAAAAAATCGAGGGTCGAACCACTTTGTCCGTACAGTGTGTGGTGCGCAGCCACACGGCACAATCACACAAACCACACACAAACCACACACAAACACATTTCCCCCCCGAGCATTCCCAGCTCAGACGGAAATCTCACAAAATCTCTGGAGATCAAGCGTGACTTCAGAGTAAACAATCACGGAGGACGAAGAGGATGCAGCGGCGATAGTTTGTTTTTAACAGAGAAAAGTGTTTTCAAAGGAAAAGGCGACGGTCTGAGAAATGAAGTCAACGCGATCATGGACTAAATACATTTATGTGCCGTGACACTGACTGTTAGGATTTATTTACGGTGTTTCCTCGCCGCCTCGTCTTCTGATTGGCTACACGCCGCGGTCCACAGCAGCGTACGCGTCTGTCACCGACACCGCACACAAAGAGAAATGGGCCAAAACCATCCACCATGTTGGATATCCCTGATTTGAGATCGGAGCAGTCCCGACGTCCTTCTGAGCGTTCTTAAGATTGTCTTTCGGAGTAAATCGGGTCTTAAATCGGGTCTTAAATCGGCCTAATTATCCTGCCGTGTGGACCAGGCTGTAGATAACGCTCTAAAAAAGGCAGCATTTTATCACCGCTTTCATTTATCTATTCATAACAGGGACAGTGCATATTAATGAACATTTCAGTAAATATGGCAGAATGAACCCAGCAACTATTTTCCATCTGTGGTCTCGTGCCTCCTGAAAGATAAAAACATGTTTGCTTCACAGACCGTTAAAATAGTGTGATCTATTTATAATATTTACAAGGACAAGACAAGAAAAGGTTCAGTCACACACCATAAAACAAACGATACACAAACACAAGGAGACACGCACAGAACACACACATGTGAAGCAGAAGTGAATCTCCTCAAAATACACACCTAATATGACTCTAGAGCGCCACCTATGTGAGGCCTCGGACCTAAACATGTTCCAATCTTCTCCTTTAGTCAAAGCTTACATCTATATATAAGATATGACATTAGGCAGAGGGTGCATGTCCCCAGGTTGACCACTAGGGGCGCACTGAATCTTTTAAATGAGCTCTTTGTGCATAATCCTGGTCCGATGAGGTCCGATGTGTCTTAAGATTCATACTCAGTCACCCTTTTTAATGACTTAATTGTAGCATATGGAGCAGACCCGACTCCCTGACCAATCAGAACGCAGCCGTCTCACCTCGGTGCCACAGCTCGCCGCTCCTCCTCACTTCCTGCTCCAGCCGCGATTCCAGCTCCTTCTTCTCCTCGTCCAATAGGAACAGCTGTTGTTGCACGGTCTCCAGCTGCTTCTGAAGCGCACTCTGCTCCAGCTGCTGCTCCAAACGCTGCACCTGCACAAAACATCGCGTGGTTCAACATTAAACAGTCTCTGGGATCGGGTCTGCGCACAGATCCAAGATGGCGGCCGCTGGATAGGGTATTACTAGCTTATAGCGGAAAGACCCATGTGGCGCTACAAAGTATTAGTGCAAAGGGGCCGAATAATATTGCACGCCCCACTTTTCAGTTTTTTATTTGTTAAAAAAGTTTAAATTATCCAATACATTTTGTTCCACTTCACGATTGTGTCCCACTTGTTGTTGATTCTTGACAAAAAATTAAAATTTTATATCTTTATGTTTGAAGCCTGAAATGTGGCGAAATGTTGAAAGGTTCAAGGGGGCCGAATACTTTCGCAAGGCACTGTATTTGTTTTATCCACTGTCTATGTGTGTGCGTGTGTTACCTGCAGGTGGCGCTCTCTCCTCTCCTCCTCCAGTCTGTGTGTGTGTGTGTGTGTGTGTTACCTGCAGGTGGCGCTCTCTCCTCTCCTCCTCCAGTCTGTGTGTGTGTGTGTGTGTGTGTGTGTTACCTGCAGGTGGCGTTCTCTCCTCTCCTCCTCCAGTCTGTGTGTGTGTGTGTGTGTGTGTTACCTGCAGGTGGCGTTCTCTCCTCTCCTCCTCCAGTCTGTGTGTGTGTGTGTGTGTGTGTTACCTGCAGGTGGCGGTCTCTCCTCTCCTCCTCCAGTCTGTGTGTGTGTGTGTGTGTTACCTGCAGGTGGCGCTCTCTCCTCTCCTCCTCCAGTCTGTGTGTGTGTGTGTGTGTGTGTTACCTGCAGGTGGCGTTCTCTCCTCTCCTCCTCCAGTCTGTGTGTGTGTGTGTGTGTGTTACCTGCAGGTGGCGCTCTCTCCTCTCCTCCTCCAGTCTGTGTGTGTGTGTGTGTGTGTTACCTGCAGGTGGCGCTCTCTCCTCTCCTCCTCCAGTCTCTGTGCACTTGTTTTCAACTCCTGGTGGGTTCCATAACCTGAGATTCCACTCACGTCATGGGGACTGGTTTTACGTGGTGGGGCCCGAACACCGGACCCCACTGGTCCAAGCTTAATAATGAATGGGTAATGCTTTTCTAACGGTCCTTATGCAGTCTCTGTAAAAATATGGAAAGGACCCCTGGAGGTTTACTTTCCTGAAAAAAGTGTGTTATGTGTCGGAACCCTGGTGGTGGGTTGCGGGATATCAAGGAGGGGCACACTGGGGCAATTTCAGTCCAGCAGGCTGGAGCCAATCATGGAGCAGCACAACAGAGGCTGGAGCCAATCATGGAGCAGCACAACAGAGGCTGGAGCCAATCATGGAGCAGCACAACAGAGGAAATCAGGTGTCAGGCTAGAAAAAGGTGCAAGTGTGTGGTTCATTAGGCTGCAAGAAATCATGGAGGAGCACACTGAAGCGCACGCTTACAAACCACTGGTAAGTGCTGACTACAAGTCATGACTTCAAATTGTTATATAGAATGATTACAAATTATTTGTTGTTTGTGCAGCTTAGTCAAGAGTCCCTAATTGATGAAGTCGACTCAGATTCTGACGATTTAACTGTCAAGAAGAAACCTGTAAAAAAGTATGGAAAAAGAAAAATCAAAAACACTTTTCTTCAAGACTCGGAAAGTGACGAACCAAAGGCAAATAAGATTGTTATCATGCAGCTGCAAAAGAAGAAAAATGGGGGGCGAGTATACAGCAAGAGACACTTCTGCCTCTACTGTTCAATGTCCTGCCACAAAATGTCCCGTCATTTGACTAGAAAACATGGAAATGAAAGTGACGTAGCCAGAGCATTGGCTCTACCTGTGAAATCTAAAGCACGTAAACTTCAGTTTGATTTGATCAGGAATAGTGGAAACCGTGAGCACAATTTTGAGGTTTTAAAGGCCGGCATTGGAACTTTAGTCCCAGCTAAACAGCCAAATTCCCCAGTTAAATCCAGTGAGTTTTTGCACTGTATAGACTGTGGGGCATTGCTTAAGCGAAAGTCGCTGTGGAGGCATGTGGCCAGGTGCCGGCTTTCACAGAAAGATGCCCAGGCTAAACCAGGCTAAACCAGGTAGAAGTAGGGTCCAGTCCCTCTGCTCCCTAGCCCAGCCTGTACCGGAGGGCATCAGCAAAAAGCTGTGGTCTTTAATTTCGGCAATGCATCAGGATGAGGTCACGGGTGTTGTCAAAGCAGAAAAGGGGATTCTGAGACTCGGAGAGCACCTGTACTTAAAACACGGGCATGATAAGACTAAGCATGATTACATTAGGCAGAAAATGAGAGAAGTCGGTAGGTTAATTAACGAAGCAAAAACCGCAGGGAAACTGAAAACAATTAAGGATTTCTTTATTCCTTCCAACTTTAACCATGTGATTGATGCAGTCAGGTCTGTGGCTGGATATGATGAGGAAACAAATCAATACAAGACTCCATCCTTGGCCCTCAAACTCGGCCATAGCCTCAGAAAGCTAGCAGATATTCTTGAATGTGACTCAAAAATGGAGCATTGTGTTGATGAACTATTTATTAAAAACCTCCAACGAAGCCGGCTGCTTTTTGAGAAGAGGTGGGACGTCTGTGTTTCTTCTGCTGCCCTACAGACCCTCCGGCAAGCCAAGTGGAACACTCCGGACCTGCTCCCTCTGACTGAGGACGTTAGAGCCATGCATGCACATATTGAGGTATGTCGACCTGAATATGTGCAAACCCTAATAAGTGAGCCAACGTCTAAGCATTGGTCTAAACTGGCAGTTTTGACTCTTTGTGAGGTCATCATTTTCAATCGAAGAAGGGAAGGTGAGGTTTCAAAGATGCCACTGACAGCCTTTACCTTAAGAAGTAAGACTGGGATCCATTCTGACATTGCTCTGGGACTGTCCCAACTTGAGAAAAAGCTGTGTCAGCATTTTCAACGCATTGAAATTAAAGGGAAAAGAAGTCGGAAAGTGCCGGTTCTTTTGACTCCTGAAATGATTGCTTCGATGGAGGTGCTGGTGGAGAACAGAAGGGCCTGTTCCATCTCTGACCATAACCCATACTTCTTTTCCCGCCCGGGCGCAGACACCCACATCAGGGGATCAGACTCCCTACGCCAGGTAGCCAAAGAATGTGGTGCGGTGCATCCAGAGATGCTATCCTCAACCAAACTTAGAAAGCACATAGCTACTATGTCTACAGTTCTCAATATGAAAGAGAATGAGATGGACATACTTGCCAACTTCCTCGGCCATGACATTCGCATCCACAGGCAATATTACAGACTACCAGAGGGGACACTGGAGCTGGCCAAAATCAGCAAAGTGTTGATGGCCATGGAGCAGGGAAGAGTGACGGAATTCGAAGGAAAGAGCCTCGACCAGATACAAATTGAGCCTGAAGGTAATTCTTGATATTATTAAAATATGTATGATTTTTTTCCCCTAAAGGCCACTTGTATTTTTATTTTCTGTGCGACAGGGAGAGCAGTAGAGATCCTCTCACAAACGGACGGGCTAAAAGAAACTTCAAGCGGAGAACCTTCAACCATTCATCCAGATGCACCCCATGGTAGTGGCAGTGCCCCTTCTGGTAAGTGTACCAGGTGGGGGATTACAGCCAGGCTGCTTGGTCCTCACCCTGGGAGTGTATATTGCTAATATATTTTTATTTCTCTCCCTAGAACGTGTAAGAAAGCCATGGTCTGCATCTGAGGTGAAGGCTGTGGAGAAGACCATGACACCTTTCATACAGACTGGAAAGGTCCCAGGGAAGTCTCACTGCCTGGCCTGCATTAATGCCTCACCAGATGACCTTAGACATCGGACATGGAGTGGCATTAAATTCTATGTCAAAAATAGAATCACTGCAATTCGAAAACAAAATCTAAAATAAAATTCCTTTAAAATAGTTGTTTGGTTTCTATTGACTGTTTTGTATTACTTAAAGTCTTGGTAAAAAAAGATTATGTCTATGGGTCCCATTCTGAACGGCCCTGTCAAAGGGACCCACCAGGTAACAAAAACGTGTATGTGTGTGTGTGTGTGTGTGTGTGTGTGTGTGTTACCTGCAGGTGGCGCTCTCTCCTCTCCTCCTCCAGTCTGTGTGTGTGTGTGTGTGTTACCTGCAGGTGGCGCTCTCTCCTCTCCTCCTCCAGTCTGTGTGTGTGTGTGTGTGTGTGTTACCTGCAGGTGGCGCTCTCTCCTCTCCTCCTCCAGTCTGTGTGTGTGTGTGTGTGTGTGTTACCTGCAGGTGGCGCTCTCTCCTCTCCTCCTCCAGTGTGTGTGTTGTGTGTGTGTGTGTGTGTTACCTGCAGGTGGCGCTCTCCTCTCCTCCTCCTCGTGTGTGTGTGTGTGTTACCTGCAGGTGGCGCTCTCTCCTCTCCTCCTCCAGTCGTGTGTGTGTGTGTGTTACCTGAGTGGTTTCCTCAGGTGGTTACTGCAGTCTCTCTCCTCCTCCTCCAGTCTGTGTGTGTGTGTGTGTTACCTGCAGGTGGCGCTCTCTCCTCTCCTCCTCCAGTGTGTGTGTGTGTGTTACCTGCAGGTGGCGCTCTCTCCTCTCCTCCTCCAGTCTGTGTGTGTGTGTGTGTGTGTGTTACCTGCAGGTGGCGCTCTCTCCTCTCCTCCTCCAGTCTGTGTGTGTGTGTGTGTGTGTGTTACCTGCAGGTGGCGTCTCTCCTCTCCTCCTCCAGTCTGTGTTGTGTGTGTGTGTGTGGTGTTACCTGCAGGTGGCGCTCTCTCTCTCCTCCTCGTCTGTGTGTGTGTGTGTGTGTGTGTTACCTGCAGGTGGCGCTCTCTCCTCTCCTCCTCCAGTCTGTGTGTGTGTGTGTGTGTGTGTGTTACCTGCAGGTGGCGCTCTCTCCTCTCCTCCTCCAGTCTGTGTGTGTGTGTGTGTGTGTTACCTGCAGGTGGCGCTCTCTCCTCTCCTCCTCCAGTCTTGTGTGTGTGTGTGTGTTACCTGCAGGTGGCGCTCTCTCCTCTCCTCCTCCAGTCTGGTGTGTGTGTGTGTGTTACCTGCAGGTGGCGCTCTCTCCTCTCCTCCTCCAGTTTGTGTGTGTGTGTGTGTGTGTGTTACCTGCAGGTGGCGCTCTCTCCTCTCCTCCTCCAGTCTTGTGTTGTGTGTGTGTGTGTGTGTGTGTGTTACCTGCAGGTGGCGCTCTCTCCTCTCCTCCTCCAGTCTGTGTGTGTGTGTGTGTGTGTGTGTGTTACCTGCAGGTGGCGCTCTCTCCTCTCCTCCTCCAGTCTGTGTGTGTGTGTGTGTGTGTGTTACCTGCAGGTGGCGCTCTCTCCTCTCCTCCTCCAGTCTGTGTGTGTGTGTGTGTGTGTGTGTGTTACCTGCAGGTGGCGCTCTCTCCTCTCCTCCTCCAGTCTGTGTGTGTGTGTGTGTGTGTGTGTTACCTGCAGGTGGCGCTCTCTCCTCTCCTCCTCCAGTCTGTGTGTGTGTGTGTGTGTGTGTTACCTGCAGGTGGCGCTCTCTCTCTCTCCTCCTCCAGTGTGTGTGTGTGTGTGTGTGTGTGTTACCTGCAGGTGGCGCTCTCTCCTCTCCTCCTCCAGTCTGTGTGTGTGTGTGTGTGTGTTACCTGCAGGTGGCGCTCTCTCCTCTCCTCCTCCAGTCTGTGTGTGTGTGTGTGTGTGTGTGTTACCTGCAGGTGGCGCTCTCTCCTCTCCTCCTCCAGTCTCTGTGTGTGTGTGTGTGTGTGTGTGTGTTACCTGCAGGTGGCGCTCTCTCCTCTCCTCCTCCAGTCTCTGTGTGTGTGTGTGTGTGTGTTACCTGCAGGTGGCGCTCTCTCCTCTCCTCCTCCAGTCCGTTGTGTGTGTGTGTGTGTGTGTGTGTGTGTGTGTTACCTGCAGGTGGCGCTCTCTCCTCTCCTCCTCCAGTCTGTGTGGTGTGTGTGTGTGTGTGTGTGTGTTACCTGCAGGTGGCGCTCTCTCCTCTCCTCCTCCAGTCGTGTGTGTGTGTGTGTGTGTGTGTGTTACCTGCAGGTGGCGCTCTCTCCTCTCCTCCTCCAGTCTGTGTGTGTGTGTGTGTGTGTGTTACCTGCAGGTGGCGCTCTCTCCTCTCCTCCTCCAGTCTGTGTGTGTGTGTGTGTGTGTGTTACCTGCAGGTGGCGCTCTCTCCTCTCCTCCTCCAGTCTGTGTGTGTGTGTGTGTGTGTGTGTGTGTTACCTGCAGGTGGCGCTCTCTCCTCTCCTCCTCCAGTCTCTGTGTGTGTGTGTGTGCGTGTGTTACCTGCAGGTGGCGCTCTCTCTCTCTCCTCCTCCTCTCTTGTGTGTGTGTGTGTGTGTGTGTTACCTGCAGGTGGCGCTCTCTCTCTCCTCCTCCAGTCGTCTGTGTGTGTGTGTGTGTGTGTGTGTTACCTGCAGGTGGCGCTCTCTCCTCTCCTCCTCCAGTCTGTGTGTGTGTGTGTGTGTGTGTGTGTGTTACCTGCAGGTGGCGCTCTCTCCTCTCCTCCTCCAGTCTGTGTGTGTGTGTGTGTGTGTGTTACCTGCAGGTGGCGCTCTCTCTCTCTCCTCCCTCCGTCTGTGTGTGTGTGTGTTACCTGCAGGTGGCGCTCTCTCCTCTCCTCCTCCAGTCTGTGTGTGTGTGTGTGTGTGTGTTACCTGCAGGTGGCGCTCTCTCCTCTCCTCCTCCAGTCTGTGTGTGTGTGTGTGTGTGTTACCTGCAGGTGGCGCTCTCTCCTCTCCTCCTCCAGTCTTGTGTGTGTGTGTGTGTGTGTGTGTTACCTGCAGGTGGCGCTCTCTCCTCTCCTCCTCCAGTCTGTGTGTGTGTGTGTGTGTGTGTTACCTGCAGGTGGCGCTCTCTCTCTCTCCTCCTCCTCCAGTCTCTGTGTGTGTGTGTGTGTGTGTGTTACCTGCAGGTGGCGCTCTCTCCTCTCCTCCTCCAGTCTCTGTGTGTGTGTGTGTGTGTGTGTGTTACCTGCAGGTGGCGCTCTCTCCTCTCCTCCTCCAGTCTTGTGTGTGTGTGTGTGTGTGTGTGTGTGTTACCTGCAGGTGGCGCTCTCTCCTCTCCTCCTCCAGTCTCTGTGTGTGTGTGTGTGTGTGTTACCTGCAGGTGGCGCTCTCTCCTCTCCTCCTCCAGTCTGTGTGTGTGTGTGTGTGTGTTACCTGCAGGTGGCGCTCTCTCCTCTCTCCTCCTCCAGTCTGTGTGTGTGTGTGTGTGTGTGTGTTACCTGCAGGTGGCGCTCTCTCCTCTCCTCCTCCAGTCTGTGTGTGTGTGTGTGTGTGTTACCTGCAGGTGGCGCTCTCTCCTCTCCTCCTCCAGTCGTTGTGTGTGTGTGTGTGTGTTACCTGCAGGTGGCGCTCTCTCCTCTCCTCCTCCAGTCTGTGTGTGTGTTTGTGTGTGTGTGTGTTACCTGCAGGTGGCGCTCTCTCCTCTCCTCCTCTAGTCTGTGTGTGTGTGTGTGTGTGTGTGTGTTACCTGCAGGTGGCGCTCTCTCCTCTCCTCCTCCAGTCTCTGTGTGTGTGTGTGTGTGTGTGTGTTACCTGCAGGTGGCGCTCTCTCCTCTCCTCCTCCAGTCTCTGTGTGTGTGTGTGTGTGTGTGTGTGTTACCTGCAGGTGGCGCTCTCTCCTCTCCTCCTCCAGTCTGTGTGTGTGTGTGTGTGTGTGTTACCTGCAGGTGGCGCTCTCTCCTCTCCTCCTCCAGTCTGTGTGTGTGTGTGCGTGTGTGTTACCTGCAGGTGGCGCTCTCTCCTCTCCTCCTCCAGTCTGTGTGTGTGTGTGTGTGTGTGTGTTACCTGCAGGTGGCGCTCTCTCCTCTCCTCCTCCAGTCTCTGTGTGTGTGTGTGTGTGTGTGTGTGTGTGTTACCTGCAGGTGGCGCTCTCTCCTCTCCTCCTCCAGTCTCTGCGTGGCCTGTGACAGTTCGTCCAGAGCCTTCAGCAGTTGTTCACTGGGTTCAGAGCTCTGCATCAGCACCGAGCTCTGTCTCCGGGCCTCTTTCTGCTTCACCAACATCTGCACAAACAAATTCAGCTGTTATGGTCCCAGCTGGATTCGTCTGCATATCTGGCAACCTGAGTCAGGCAGAGTGGGAGAGGCTGCAGTACCACTTTTGGCCACATACTGCTCCTTTAACTTTTATAACTTGATTACACCAAAGGCCAAAGAAATGTCCGGGTTTGTGACTTCCTGTTCCTCACGATGGCAATAACAAGAATTCTGATAAACAACAACAACATCTGCACACAACACAACACAACACAACACAAAACAACACAACACAAAACAACACAACACAAAACGTGTATATTTGAGTGGGACTGAAGCCACTGCAGAACATTCTGGGATTCTGACAGTTTTAATTTTGTATTTATCAATATCATTTTATTTTTACATTGTGTGTACAATTTTATTATTTCTTATGCAAATCTGTATGTAGATTTGTTACATGTTGTTGTTAAGTTTTTCTTTTTCTTTTTTATTCATTTAGTTTTAGTGATTTCCCACTCCTGCCACTAGATGGGGGTGTTTGACGCATGCTCTGGCCTCCCCTCCAAAGGTTTTCTTCTGCTTGCATTCGAGTTCATACAGATTTAATCCACTTGAAATGATTTTACATTTGAAAACATGTGTTCACCTCGTGGGCGAAGTCCTCGGCTTTGACTCGAAGGCTCTGCTCCAGGTCCAGCTGCTCCTGCACCTCCTCGAACTCCTGCGCCGCCATCACAGACACTGCACAGAGTCACTATCACCACCGCAGAACTGTGGAGAACCAGCTGAGCTAACGGGAGCTAATGAGAGCTAATGGGACTGGTAGGGCTAAGCTAATGGGACTGACAGGGCTAAGCTAATGGGACTGACAGGGCTAAGCTAAAGGGACTGACAAGGCTAAGCTAACAGGACTGACAGGGCTAAGCTAAAGGGACTGACAAGGCTAAGCTAACAGGACTGTCAGGGCTAAGCTAACAGGGTCCCCTCTCCCTGTTCACACGGACCTCGGTTGAACCTCTTGATGGTCTTCCTCTGCTGCTCCACGGTCTCCCTGAGCTCCGTGATCTCTGCCTGGTCCTTCTGCGTCTGCGAGAAATCACAGAACATATATTTTAAAATCAAATAATATTATAATCAACTACAGGTCCAGGATGTGCGGCCCACCCATGGATGTATTATATTAACTGGATAGGGTATTACTAGCTTGTAGCTGAATAACTCATGTGCTCAGGGGATTCTCGCGGTACTGCAGACTGAACCAGACTGAACCAGACTAAATTCACGTGGGCTACCCAGAAATTTTCCCCATAGAACTCAATGCATATTAAAACTGCTCGACCTCAGCTGACAGAGAACCTGACAGAGAACCTGACAGAGAACCTGACAGAGAACCTACAGCTTTAATAAAGATCGGATTTTGTGGGGATTTTAGTGTCCCTTGTCATCCTGAACTTTTTTTCTTCTTAAATCCTTCGGTTTTGTTTAAATCCACACTTTACTGCCACAAACTCTGCTCCTCTGGCTCTCGCTCTAACTCCCGCTCTGATGAACTGCTCTGATTGGTCAGAGCGCGGCCGAGCCCCTCTGTGCACGTGCGTGAGACCCGGTGTGAGACCCAGACACGCGTGTTTGACGCAATGCATTATGGGAGATCATCCACTGCACAGAACCGGGAGGACCAGACGATGCCCAAATACAGGCGAGTTTCCCATAGATCTTTGAGAGTTTCAGGCGACTTCCGCTAATCTTTCAGCCCCCATGCCGTCACAAAGCGCCACTGAGCACAACCATTCATTTGAATAGGGCGCCATCTTGGATCGCCGGGGCTTGGTGCTAACTCAGGTCTGATCTACATAGTGAACTATGTAGATCAGACCTGGGCAAAGTACGGCCCGGGAGCCACATCCGGGCCAATTCTCATTTCTATGCGGCCCATCTGGATTCAGACTGGGGTCCTAGCAGGCTGAGGAAGTGGTCTGATTTTTCACAGCACCTCTGATAATATCTGAAGTCGCTCTGGTGCGCCGCCACAGATGTTAAAAACGCTGATACAGAGAATGTAAACTAGCGTTAGCATGCTAAGTCCTTGCATTGGGTTCATGTGAACACACCTGTGCCGTGAGCTCGGTGACTTGTCTCTGCTGCTCGTGCACTTGACAAACTAAAGTCTTCTTCTCCTCCAGCAGAGCGGTCACGGTCTCCTGCAGCTCTGCACACAACACACACACACACACAATTATATTAAAAATGATAATGATAATAATAATAAGGCATTGATTGTTTATATAGTGCTTTTTTGAACTCTTAAAGAGGCATCATGTGCCTTGCCTAAGGACACAACTACAGTTAGGAACTTTACAGCCACAGCCGCCCCATAGTGGTACCCTGAGGTCTCCCATCACAGCACTAACCAGGCCCTGCCCTGCTTAGCTTCAGACATCTGACAGGATCTGGCTTTCACGTGTAGGTATGGTCACATGACTTAATGTTGGGATCAAGATAAGAGATCCTTTATTCGTCCCACAGCGGGGAAATTTCAGTGTTGCAGCGCACACATACAGCACAGTAGTAAGAGCACGCCGGGAGCACACAAAAATACAGTATAAGTAACTGCTATGTTTCTTGGCTGGCTGTTAATGCTTCAATGTATCTCTATATATAGTGTATATAAGTTATATACTGTACATATAGGGCAGGGTAAGTAGATAAAGTGACATTCTGAAGTTGCAGTAATTACTTATTTACAGATGAATGACATGTACAGGCTCAGCAGGTCTCAGTGTACAGGGAGGAAAGACCTACGGACCCTTGATTTTACACAGCGAGGGTGAATAAGTCTATCACTGAAGCTACTCTCCAGGGCAGAAGGAGTGTCCAGCAGGGGGCGACATCATGGTAAGTATTTTAGACATAGGAAGTGAGTACCGTTGTTATAGAGCCTCATACTGTTTTTCAAAAGTACAAATTGTATACTATCTTTGCTGCAGTAAGTTTGTGTGTCTTACCTTTCACCTGCCTCTGGTACTGTGCGAAGGTGTCGTGGTCACCGTCTCGCTCCATGGCGTCCGTCTCCGTCTCCGTGGCGATGCGGTCGGAGATGCTGGGAAGGATCTCGTCCAAACATGGGCGCGAGGATAAGCTCAGGTATTTCAGCTTCCTGTTCTCAGTGTTCAGCTACACAAAAATAAACATGAGAATATTTACTTTCACTTTTTGAAAATTGGAGTATGAGATGACCGGCACATGCAACAGAGGAGCTACTGTATTCCCTGGTTGTGGGAAAGATGGACTGATGTGGGCTTGTTGTTTCTAGGTTTTAACCCAGGGGACAGGGCCTTCTCTGCGGACCATCCAAAGGTTTGGATACCGATGGTGAAAATCTGAAAAAGACTCCCTGGATCCTCTCACCTTTGTGGCCAGAGCCTCGGCGTTCTCCCGACACGACTTCTCGATCTCCAGCTGAGTCTGCAGCACGCTCACCTCCTCGATCACCATCTGAGACACTGCAACCACAGCAACCACAGCATGCTTTAACTGCAGACCACTCTAGTCTCTGTCTCAAACTACTACTGCTACTATGGCTACTACTACTATGGCTGCTACTACTACTATGGCTGCTACTACTATGGCTGCTACTACTACTATGGCTGCTACTACTATGGCTGCTACTACTATGGCTGCTACTACTACTATGGCTGCTACTACTACTATGGCTGCTACTACTACTATGGCTGCTACTACTACTATGGCTACTACTATGGCTAATACTACTACTATGGCTGCTACTACTACTGTGGCTACTACTAATATGGCTGCTACTACAACTATGGCTGCTACTACTACTATGGCTGCTACTTCTACTATGGCTGCTACTACTACTGTGGCTACTACTAATATGGCTGCTACTACTACTGTGGCTACTACTACTATGGCTGCTACTACAACTATGGCTGCTACTACTACTATGGCTGCTACTACTACTATGGCTGCTACTACAACTATGGCTGCTACTACTACTATGGCTGCTACTACTACTATGGCTGCTGCTACAACTATGGCTGCTACTACTACTATGGCTGCTACTACTACTATGGCTGCTACTACTACTGTGGCTACTACTAATATGGCTGCTACTACAACTATGGCTGCTACTACTACTATGGCTGCTACTACTACTATGGCTGCTACTACAACTATGGCTGCTACTACTACTATGGCTGCTACTACTACTATGGCTGCTACTACTACTGTGGCTACTACTAATATGGCTGCTACTACAACTATGGCTGCTACTACTACTATGGCTGCTACTACTACTATGGCTGCTACTACAACTATGGCTGCTACTACTACTATGGCTGCTGCTACAACTATGGCTGCCACTACAACTATGGCTACTACTACTACTATGGCTGCTGCTACTATGGCTGCTACTACAATTATGGCTGCTACTACTACATGGCTGCTACTACTACTATGGCTACTACTACTACTACTCCTAATAATAATGCATCAGTTTCATACAGCACTTTTTTGGACACTTCACATCACTTCTTTATTCTTTCTCTTCATACACGGTGGTGTTAAACTACTACTGTAGCCACAGCTGCCCTGGGGCACACTGACAGAAGAGAGGCAACCAGTCTGTGCCATTGGCCCCTCCCACCACCAACAACCATTCACAGACACACCAGACTCATTCTAATGTGGGGGAAGTGTCTTGCCTAAGGACACAACAACAGCAGACATCAGTGGGAGTCAATGAAGAAGGTCCCGTGGTGTCAACTGTCGCAACTACAACTACGATTACTACCACTACTACTACTTTTTTTTACAACTACAACTACAACCACTAGGACTACTACAACTACTACTGTGTATGTTTCCTCCGGGTGCTCCTTTAAAAGGGATTTTATTCTGGGATTGTATTCTGTTCTTCTGTCACCATATAAGTCAACATTTGCTCTATGGTCTCCCTGAAGGTCCAGGTCCAGGTCTGTCTGAGGTCTGTCAGAGGTCTGTCTGAGGTCTGTCTGAGGTCTGTCAGAGGTCAGTCTGAGGTCAGTCTGAGGTCTGTCTGAGGTCAGTCTGAGGTCTGTCTGAGGTCTGTCTGAGGTCAGTCTGAGGTCAGTCTGAGGTCTGTCTGAGGTCTGTCTGAGGTCTGTCTGAGGTCTGTCTGAGGTCAGTCTGAGGTCTGTCTGAGGTCTGTCTGAGGTCTGTCTGAGGTCAGTCTGAGGTCTGTCTGAGGTCAGTCTGAGGTCAGTCTGAGGTCAGTCTGAGGTCTGTCTGAGGTCTGTCTGAGGTCTGTCTGAGGTCTGTCAGAGGTCAGTCTGAGGTCTGTCTGAGGTCAGTCTGAGGTCTGTCTGAGGTCAGTCTGAGGTCTGTCTGAGGTCTGTCTGAGGTCTGTCTGAGGTCTGTCTGAGGTCAGTCTGAGGTCTGTCTGAGGTCAGTCTGAGGTCAGTCTGAGGTCAGTCTGAGGTCTGTCAGAGGTCTGTCAGAGGTCAGTCTGAGGTCTGTCAGAGGTCTGTCTGAGGTCTGTCTGAGGTCAGTCTGAGGTCTGTCTGAGGTCAGTCTGAGGTCTGTCTGAGGTCTGTCTGAGGTCTGTCTGAGGTCTGTCTGAGGTCAGTCTGAGGTCTGTCAGAGGTCAGTCTGAGGTCAGTCTGAGGTCAGTCTGAGGTCTGTCAGAGGTCTGTCAGAGGTCAGTCTGAGGTCTGTCTGAGGTCAGTCTGAGGTCAGTCTGAGGTCAGTCTGAGGTCTGTCTGAGGTCTGTCTGAGGTCAGTCTGAGGTCTGTCTGAGGTCTGTCTGAGGTCAGTCTGAGGTCTGTCTGAGGTCTGTCTGAGGTCTGTCTGAGGTCAGTCTGAGGTCAGTCTGAGGTCAGTCTGAGGTCTGTCTGAGGTCTGTCTGAGGTCAGTCTGAGGTCAGTCTGAGGTCTGTCTGAGGTCAGTCTGAGGTCTGTCTGAGGTCTGTCTGAGGTCTGTCTGAGGTCTGTCTGAGGTCTGTCTGAGGTCTGTCTGAGGTCTGTCTGAGGTCAGTCTGAGGTCAGTCTGAGGTCAGTCTGAGGTCTGTCTGAGGTCTGTCTGAGGTCAGTCTGAGGTCAGTCTGAGGTCTGTCTGAGGTCAGTCTGAGGTCTGTCTGAGGTCTGTCTGAGGTCTGTCTGAGGTCTGTCTGAGGTCAGTCTGAGGTCTGTCTGAGGTCTGTCTGAGGTCAGTCTGAGGTCTGTCTGAGGTCAGTCTGAGGTCTGTCTGAGGTCTGTCAGAGGTCAGTCTGAGGTCTGTCTGAGGTCAGTCTGAGGTCTGTCTGAGGTCTGTCTGAGGTCAGTCTGAGGTCTGTCTGAGGTCTGTCTGAGGTCTGTCTGAGGTCTGTCTGAGGTCTGTCTGAGGTCAGTCTGAGGTCAGTCTGAGGTCTGTCTGAGGTCTGTCTGAGGTCTGTCTGAGGTCTGTCTGAGGTCTGTCTGAGGTCTGTCTGAGGTCTGTCTGAGGTCTGTCTGAGGTCAGTCTGAGGTCTGTCAGAGGTCTGTCAGAGGTCTGTCTGAGGTCTGTCAGAGGTCAGTCTGAGGTCAGTCTGAGGTCTGTCTGAGGTCTGTCTGAGGTCTGTCTGAGGTCAGTCTGAGGTCTGTCTGAGGTCTGTCTGAGGTCTGTCTGAGGTCTGTCTGAGGTCAGTCTGAGGTCAGTCTGAGGTCTGTCTGAGGTCAGTCTGAGGTCAGTCTGAGGTCTGTCTGAGGTCTGTCTGAGGTCAGTCTGAGGTCAGTCTGAGGTCTGTCTGAGGTCTGTCTGAGGTCAGTCTGAGGTCTGTCAGAGCTGAACCCAGAGTGTTGTATTTTGCGTCCACTCCTCCTCTGGTGCAGTGAAGCCAGAGTGACAGCAGACCGGGGCCACAGCTCTGACACTTCTTTTGTTTCAATGTTTTATGAGCGACAGCTGTGTCCTTCAGGGGGATCAGAGACAGCTCCTCTGGTGGTGGCTCTGAGCATTACACTCTGTTCAAGAGGAATCCAACCCATTTTCTTTTATACGTTATTTTTATCGTCTTTGTAGCATAGAACTACAACTATGGCCGATTCTACTACTACTATGGTTACTACTACTACTACTACTACTTTTATTTTTTTATTTTTTTATATCTTTGCCCGGAGTTATCGAGTGAGTAAAAAAGCTATGCCTCGCGGTTGACTCTGGCCTGGTCTTATTGCCAGAGAATCCCGCCTCGCTTCCCTGATCAGGTGGACTTACAGGTGCGAGCTCCTGGGGATGTGACCCAGAAGGAGGGGTGCGACCTGGGGGGAGAGGGCCCAGAGGGAGGGGAGCGACCCGGGGGAGGCCTGGGTACTGCAGGACTTGGCCTCTTTAAAAGTGGCCTCACCAGCTAAAAAAAACTCACTGAGCTCCTTTGAATGGGCTTATGTTCCTACAGTGCATCAAGAAATGTGGTCCAGTTTTCCTTCGTCAGATCTACCAGGTTGATTAGTGACATATTTAGTGCAAAAACCAACCCCACCTCCACGTGGTGCACTATGGGCATTGGGTCGTACCCCAACCCCCTGGGGTCACGACCTGATGGCAAACGGGGCTCTGGCTGTAGGAGCCGCCGACTTCTGCAGTACACCAGCCACACATGACCACAGGACAGACCTGCTCTGGGGCTGACAACCCCTGAGGAGAGACGCTACTACTACTACTACTACTACTACTACTATGGCTACTACAACTACTGCTATGGCTACTACTACTACTGCTATGGCTACTACTACTACTGCTATGGCTACTACTACTACTGCTATGGCTACTACTACTACTGCTATGGCTACTACTACTACAACTACTACTATGGCTACAACTTCAACTACTACTACTATGGCTACTACTACTACTACTAAATGAGTTTGCCTCCGCTGTCTAATGTCACACAGTGGAGCAACATTTAGACCGACCTCAGTTTAATCTAAGAAAATCTAAAAATAGTTATAGATTAATCCAGATTGCAGTATTTTCTTCTTTCTTAATCTTTTTGTCGGTGAGAGTTCTTACCGTGTTTGATCGTCATGGCTGCGGCCTGCTCCTAATGCCACAGCGCTCCACAGATATGAGAGGATGCGGTAGCTTTGCTGTGATTGGCTAACGTCCAGTTGGGGGTTGGAGGGAGGAGCCAATCAGAGGCCGGCGAAGGACAGGTGAGAGCAGGAAGTGCAGGTGTCAGCTGTGAGACGGAGCGGCTCACGTTCCAAAGGCTCGGGTGACGGGACACTCTACGCCTCCTCATTCAGACCTGCTCCCTCTGAAATGCTACGCTAATATCGGTGCGGATTCAAATGGGATCTTTGTGGAAACTTTGGAGGTTGACGAGTCCAGGGAATTATGTAAACCTGGCGCTCCAACTGAGGAGCGGAACCTGGCGCCCGGTTTATACCCTTTTAAAAGTTTGTGGCAAGTTTAGATGGACAAATGTTTGACTTTTTTCTTATTTTAACCAGAAATATATAAAAAATACTTAACAGAGTAAATATAATAATAATAATGAGAAGAAGTAGTAGTAGCCGCCACAGTACCAGCAGCAGTAGTAGAAGTACTAGCAGTACTAGCAGTAGCAGTAGTGGTAGTAGTAGTAGCAGTAGAAGTAGTAGCAGTAGAAGTAGTAGCAGTAGCAGTAGTAACAGCAGTTACAGTAGTAACAGTAGTAGTAGTAGTAGTAGCAGTAGTAGTAGCAGCAGCAGTAGTAGCAGCAGTAGCAGTAGTAGTAGTAGTAGCAGTAGTAGCAGCAGCAGTAGCAGTAGCAGTAGCAGTAGTAGCAGTAGCAGTCGTTGCAGTAGCAGCAGCAGTAGCAGTAGCAGTCGTACCTCTCTTGATGTGTGTGAGTTGTCTCTGGGCCTCATCTCTCTCCTCAGTCAGTCTGCTGCACTGAAAACACAACAAATCTTCAAATCATGTTTTGATCTTTACAAGACATCAGACACCTGGAGAACACCCGGAGGACCTCCCGGAGGACCTCCCGGAGGACCTCCCGGAGGACCTCCCGGAGGACCTCCCGGAGGACCTTCTTCAAACCTGAGTCCCTGGTTCTAAAACAGTTTGCTTCTATCACTATGTTTTGTTGACCGCCCTCACTCAACCAATCAACCCTTTGGCGGGCTTCCTTCCTGCTGCTGTCAGACTGTACAACGAGAACTGCTGAGCCTGTGAATGTGGTCATCTGTAAATAGTAAATACAGAATGTCACTTAATGTCACTTTATCTACTTATTATCCTCTCATGTATGTATATAATTTACACTATATATATTAAATAGAGAGATAGATATTGATATTGAAGCATTTACAGCTAGCTAAGAAACATAGCAGCTACCAATGTACTGTGTGTGTGCGCTGCAACCGTGACATTTCCCCACTGCCAGTATAATAAAGGGTTCTCTTATCTTTTTTTTGCTAATTCTGCATTAATTAATTTTCATAGTTTATACAGAAGAAAATATAGAAGAACAGGGATCAATAATAATGCATTGGTAATAATCATTTTGTCATAAAAAAAAACGAAAAACGTCAACTTCTGGTTAGTTCCTTACTAGTCTGTGTATGTGTGTGTGTCTGTATGTGTGTATGTGTGTGTGTGTGTGTGTGTGTCTGTATGTGTGTGTGTCTGTGTGTGTGTGTGTCTGTATGTGTGTGTGTCATTGCTGTTTACTCCACACATGAGCCAGCTTCCTGGGACGTCCATTTCCTTTTTTACAGTGCCACAAAAAATGGCTACAAAAAACGCAACGTGTGAGTAAATGTGTGATATTGTGTCTTTGCATTGTTGTATGTTACCCACTTACAGGGTTGTCTTGTCTTGTGGTCATGTCTGATTTGTTAAAAACTGAAGCGATTTTAAAAACAAACCATTGTGTGATCATTAATGAGTTGGAGAACACCTGCTTTTGTATCATGTGAATACTCAGTTATACATAATGTCTCAGTTGTGTAGTACTGTGGGGCATTGCTTAAGCGAAAGTCGCTGTGGAGGCATGTGGCCAGGTGCCGGCTTTCACAGAAAGATGCCCAGGCTAAACCAGGTAGAAGTAGGGTCCAGTCCCTCTGCTCCCTAGCCCAGCCTGTACCGGAGGGCATCAGCAAAAAGCTGTGGTCTTTAATTTCGGCAATGCATCAGGATGAGGTCACGGGTGTTGTCAAAGCAGAAAAGGGGATTCTGAGACTCGGAGAGCACCTGTACTTAAAACACGGGCATGATAAGACAAAGCATGATTACATTAGGCAGAAAATGAGAGAAGTCGGTAGGTTAATTAACGAAGCAAAAACCGCAGGGAAACTGAAAACAATTAAGGATTTCTTTATTCCTTCCAACTTTAACCATGTGATTGATGCAGTCAGGTCTGTGGCTGGATATGATGAGGAAACAAATCAATACAAGACTCCATCCTTGGCCCTCAAACTCGGCCATAGCCTCAGAAAGCTAGCAGATATTCTTGAATGTGACTCAAAAATGGAGCATTGTGTTGATGAACTATTTATTAAAAACCTCCAACGAAGCCGGCTGCTTTTTGAGAAGAGGTGGGACGTCTGTGTTTCTTCTGCTGCCCTACAGACCCTCCGGCAAGCCAAGTGGAACACTCCGGACCTGCTCCCTCTGACTGAGGACGTTAGAGCCATGCATGCACATATTGAGGTATGTCGACCTGAATATGTGCAAACCCTAATAAGTGAGCCAACGTCTAAGCATTGGTCTAAACTGGCAGTTTTGACTCTTTGTGAGGTCATCATTTTCAATCGAAGAAGGGAAGGTGAGGTTTCAAAGATGCCACTGACAGCCTTTACCTTAAGAAGTAAGACTGGGATCCATTCTGACATTGCTCTGGGACTGTCCCAACTTGAGAAAAAGCTGTGTCAGCATTTTCAACGCATTGAAATTAAAGGGAAAAGAAGTCGGAAAGTGCCGGTTCTTTTGACTCCTGAAATGATTGCTTCGATGGAGGTGCTGGTGGAGAACAGAAGGGCCTGTTCCATCTCTGACCATAACCCATACTTCTTTTCCCGCCCGGGCGCAGACACCCACATCAGGGGATCAGACTCCCTACGCCAGGTAGCCAAAGAATGTGGTGCGGTGCATCCAGAGATGCTATCCTCAACCAAACTTAGAAAGCACATAGCTACTATGTCTACAGTTCTCAATATGAAAGAGAATGAGATGGACATACTTGCCAACTTCCTCGGCCATGACATTCGCATCCACAGACAATATTACAGACTACCAGAGGGGACACTGGAGCTGGCCAAAATCAGCAAAGTGTTGATGGCCATGGAGCAGGGAAGAGTGACGGAATTCGAAGGAAAGAGCCTCGACCAGATACAAATTGAGCCTGAAGGTAATTCTTGATATTATTAAAATATGTATGATTTTTTTTCCCCTAAAGGCCACTTGTATTTTTATTTTCTGTGCGACAGGGAGAGCAGTAGAGATCCTCTCACAAACGGACGGGCTAAAAGAAACTTCAAGCGGAGAACCTTCAACCATTCATCCAGATGCACCCCATGGTAGTGGCAGTGCCCCTTCTGGTAAGTGTACCAGGTGGGGGATTACAGCCAGGCTGCTTGGTCCTCACCCTGGGAGTGTATATTGCTAATATATTTTTATTTCTCTCCCTAGAACGTGTAAGAAAGCCATGGTCTGCATCTGAGGTGAAGGCTGTGGAGAAGACCATGACACCTTTCATACAGACTGGAAAGGTCCCTGGGAAGTCTCACTGCCTGGCCTGCATTAATGCCTCACCAGATGACCTTAGACATCGGACATGGAGTGGCATTAAATTCTATGTCAAAAATAGAATCACTGCAATTCGAAAACAAAATCTAAAATAAAATTCCTTTAAAATAGTTGTTTGGTTTCTATTGACTGTTTTGTATTACTTAAAGTCTTGGTAAAAAAAGATTATGTCTATGGGTCCCATTCTGAACGGCCCTGTCAAAGGGACCCACCAGGTAACAAAAACGTGTATATGTGTACGTGTATGTGTACGTGTGTGTGTGTATGTGTACGTGTGTGTGTGTATGTGTACGTGTGTGTGTGTATGTGTACGTGTGTGTGGTCTGTAAACACATCTGCTGCTTGTGGTTAAAGTTCTGCATCATACACAGGAAAACTCAGCACACAAACGAGTCTGACCAGTCTGGTTCCAGTCTACATTAGTTCATTCATTAATAAGGATTATAGCAGGATTTTCCCAAATTTTAGGAAAGAACCGCCCACTTCACTTTTGAACAAAACTCTCTGGTCTTATTTGACGTATCACCAGAATGATTGACAGTTGGGAGGACCAATAGTCTTGAAAGGGGCAGTTCTTGTGATGCTTTCAAAGACGTCTCGTAACTTTGCCTTAGCACTCAAACTTTAAACTAGCTATATGAAAGATTTTCATGTCAAGTCATCATCAAAGGGCCCTAATCTGTCATCATTAAAGGGCCCTAATCTGTCATCATTAAAGGGCCATAATCTGTCATCATTAAAGGGCCCTAATCTGTCATCATTAAAGGGCCCTTATCTGTCATCATTAAAGGGCCCTAAAGAGCCCTAATCTGTCATCATTAAAGGGCCCTAATCTGTCATCATTAAAGGGCCCTAATCTGTCATAATAATAAACAGCTCTTTTCCAATACTTCTTTAACTGATAACAGTAGTTCAGAGATAATTGAATTTCTAAATTACTTTTCCATCCTCTAAATCTTGTTATTGTTTTCATCTCGATGTCCCGCCCTCCACCGTTTCACCAATCAGAAAGTCTGTGATCCGGGCGCCAGAACTCACCGCGTGGAGCTAATCTCACTGGTAAAGTACCATGTGGCGCAGAACTAAAAAAGGTCTCGTTATGATTCTCAAATCATTAACGACAAAACAAGGAATAAAACCAGGATTTCTAGCTTTGTGAAAAAGATGTTGGTTATAGATTTGTTGTTGACAAAACTCTTGTCTATTCAGCTGTTATGGTCCCAGCTGGATTCGTCTGCATATCTGGCAACCTGAGTCAGGGAGAGCGGGAGAGGCTGCAGTACCACTTTTGGCCACATGTTTACATATTTCTCCTTTAAAGAAGTATTGTCACTAAGAGATCAAGTATAACATGTCGTGAAAAACATGATTATATATCAATTGAATATAAGAACATTGTAAGAAGAATTTTATATGTATATGCGTTTTTTTTGTTTTTGTTTTTTTTTATTAAGTGTATGCAGGGTTTTTTTCTTGCATTTTATTAATTTATTTATTTTCATATTAATTATCCTAATTCCACATTTTGGGAGCGAGGCGGGAAGTAGAGGGATAACATTTATTTATTTTTGTTTTCTTGTTTTTTTTCCAACTGTTACCGCTTAACTTGGTGCTAAATAAAATAAATTGCATCTCGAAAAAGACAAGTATTGTCAATCATAAGTCCCTGATATAGACTGTAGAACAGACTTTGGGGCCTCACAGTCAGAGTCTGAGGGGACCCAGCTGCGGTGAGTTCATCTGAGAATATAAAGCACTGATGCGTGAGATTTGCTAAAACAAGAATGTGAGGAAATGAAAAGAAGAAACGAAAGTAGAATCTGGATCAGAATTATTGTTATGGCTGTGGTCAAAAACAGGAAGTTGGGGTTTGCTTCGGCTCCAGGTGCAAACAAGTGATAAAAAGTCAAAATAGATAAAAAGGCCAAAAGAAAAGATAAGTCGTTTTTAAGAATGTTTAAGTTGTGTCCTGTCCGGTCTCTCTGTCCGGTCTCTCTGTCCGGTCTCTCTGTCCGGTCTCTCTGTCCGGTCTCTCTGTCCGGTCTCTCTGTCCGGTCTCTCTGTCCGGTCTCTCTGTCCGGTCTCTCTGTCCGGTCTCTCTGTCCGGTCTCTCTGTCCGGTCTCTCTGTCCGGTCTCTCTGTCCGGTCTCTCTGTCCGGTCTCTCTGTCCGGTCTCTGTCCGGTCTCTGTCCGGTCTCTGTCCGGTCTCTGTCCGGTCTCTGTCCGGTCTCTGTCCGGTCTCTGTCCGGTCTCTGTCCGGTCTCTGTCTGGTCAAATTCTCCGTCCCATTGGAGAATCTTGTTTTAAGGCTCAGTCAGAATGTGCCAAATGTAAACATGATTTAAACATTTTTGGACTTATTTTTCAGCCCTTTTAGCAGTGTAGGGGGTCCCAGACTTACGGTCTTGAAGGGGCAGCGGCAGGGCAGGCTGTAGCTGTGCAGAGGTTCAGGACAGTCCTGTCCCGGGGGCAGGAGTTGCTCCAGGAGGTCACAGAGGTCCTCATAGTGACAGCTGCCCAGCTCCTCCACACACGGGATCTTCACCCAGAATCCTGCCACCTCCTTCTCCAGCGTCACGTTCAGCTGAAAACACAACATTACTTTCACTTTATATCCGTCACTCATTCTTTTAAAGTATAAAATCTCTATCTTTAGCATAATAAAGAAGCAAGTCTATAATCTCTAACTTTAGTATCATGAAGATACTAAAGTTAGAGATGGGGGCAACAGTAGCTCAGTTGGTAGCTGAAGTTTGAGGGTTCAAGCCCACCACGGGACCTTCCCCACCGAGTCCCACTGATGTGTGCTGTTGTTGTGTCCTTGGGCAAGACACTTAACCTCTGGGAACAGCAGGTGCCACAGTGGGGAGGCTGCGGCTGTAAAGTTGTGAATGAGTCTAATGTGAGTGTGAATGGTTGGTGGTGGTGGGAGGGGCCGATGGTTGCCTCGCTTCTGTCAGTGTGCCCCAGGGCAGCTGTGGCTACAGTAGTAGTTTATCATCACCGTGTTTGGAGTGAAAGAATAATGACATGTGAAGTGTCTTTGAGTGTCCAAAAGAGCACTATATAAAACCGATGCATTATTATTTTTATTATTATTACGTTCAAATCTCTAGCTTTAGCATAATAAAGAAGCTAGTCTAAAATCTCTAGCTTTAGCATAATAAAGAAGCTAGTATAAAATCTCTAGCTTTAGCATAATAAAGAAGCTAGTCTAAAATCTCTAGCTTTAGCATAATAAAGAAGCTAGTCTAAAATCTCTAGCTTTAGCATAATAAAGAAGCTCGCATAACATCTCAGGCTCAGTGACACATGTGGTTCTATATTGCACATTCTGACATTAGTTCATGTTATTGCACTGAACCCTGACGTTCTCAGAGTTCGTTGGAGGTATTTTAACCTTTGAGTGATTTTGCATTAACTTTTTAAAACCTCTGAAAGAACTTATTCAAAGCAGTTTCTTCCTGTTTTCAAAGACGAGACGTGGTTTTGCATTTACAGTGGATAAAAGAAAACAAAACACTTTAGTTAATATTCCATCGGCTTCAGTTTGAAGAGAGAACTTTGAGCTCATCACGAGGACGGCGTGATCCACAGCCTGAGGCATTCTTTACAGCAGGGGTGTCCAAACTTTTTAGTAAGAGGGCCACTTTAGTTCATCAGTACTTGTCTAAAGGAGGTATGAGATAGAGATAGAGAGATAGATAGAGTCCAAAAACCAATACTTTATTATTATCATTTGTAATCTCAATGATAATTTGGGTTAAAAAAGGCGGAGGGCCACATAACAGGATGGAGTGGACCGCAAGTGGCCCTCAGGCCTGAGTTTGGACATGCCTGCTCTACAGACAAATGTATCTTTATTACTGGGAGATCAATGTAGGCAAAGAAAACTGTTAAATTCAATTATTCTATATTTATTTATGAAATGTTTCTGGCTCCAGTTTGGCTCCAGTAACCGGGAGTTAGATGAGGAAGATTTAGTATTTGAATGTTTTTTGTTTAAAGTAGAATAATATTAGCCTGACTCTGGCCAGACCCTTGTAGTTCTCTGAGCTTCTCACATGGGTCTGGGCGGGGCCTTGTAAAACATATCCTTGTATGTGATTGGATAAAATGCCGGCATTTGGCAGACCCCATGGGTTGCCAAATGCCGGCAAGATTGTCCAGCCCAAACGCATGCATGGCAGAACTACAAGGGTCTGACGAGAGTCAGGATATAATAATATACACTCACAATGTTGGAAGAGCTTGATTGTAATAGATACATTTTAATTTATTTTCAGAAGTTCTCCAAGATACTGCTGTGATTTGTGTGTGTGTGTGTGTGTGTGCGCGCGTGCGTGTGCGACTCACAGCCAGAGGGGAGTCGAGCTCCACGGCCGTGGCCCCTGAGGCCTCTGCGGTCACAGACCCCGGGATGGAGATGGGGTCCGGAGACACACTGAGGCTCTTCAGGACGGCCGGGGCATCAGGTTTACCACAGTTCTGCCAGTCGAAGCCCAGCACCTGCACAGTCTACACACACACACACACACACAAACAAACGTGCACGCACACACACACATTACATCACCTTATAGGTACCGTCTTCCACATGTTTTAGTGCTGGGATTGAATTATCAAAAATGTGAGGATTCAATATTATCGCGATTCTTTACATATTGCTAAACAGCAAGTTTTGGATACAATTCTGTGATTTATTTATGATGTGATTTATGGGTCTTTAACTCAGTTATTTTGGTCTGCACATTAACATTAAGTGCAAACCATTTACACGGAGACGCTAAGCAATGTGCAAAGACAACCAGGCTCGGGCTTCAAAGTGCACAGCGTCTACACGGAGAGTTAAAAACATGTAGTTCTAGCGCCCGGCCTGTAGGGGGCCTCAGCAACCTCAGGCCAAAGAACCAACATCACTCTGCACTTAACAGAAGCAGCGAAAACTGAAATGGTTTCTTCTGGACAAAGGAGTAAATCTATTGGACCATTTCAACAGAATTATTTGTTATTGAAGTGAATTACATTTAAGATTAGATAAACTTTATTGATCTCACAATGGAGAAATGTGAACGTGGCTTTAGAATCACTCAGATTGCATAATATTTTTAACCTGAACATGTTGCACAAAGAGGAAGGCAGCCGTTTACAGCAGGTGCACAGTAAAATACATAAGTTATTTTTACCTGTAGCAGGAAGTAAAACAATCACTTCTCTAAAAACTAAAGAACAACTTCTGTTTTTTATATTTTCTATGACATCAGGAACTCCTCTCACCACAAACTTAGATCGAATCTCACAGAAGTTTACAGAAGACATTTCACTACTTTGTTTAACCCTCGTGTAGACAATTTATAATGTTTATAGAAGAAGGCAAGGCAAGTTTATTTATATAGCACAATTCAAAGTGCTGAACAAAATAAGAAAGCATTAAAATCATAAATAATCACAGAACATTAAAAAGAAAGATAAAAATATAAAATCCCTCAGTTGTATGCACAGCTAAACAGAACCGTCTTTAACCTGGTTTTAATCATTGCCAGAGAGGAGGCCTGTCTCACATCTTCAGGAAGACTGTTCCAGATTTTAGCAGCATGAATCTGAAAAGCAGCCTCCCCATGTTTAGTTCTGACTCTGGGCACTAACAGGAGTCCAGTCCCTGTGCTCCTCAGAGTCCCAGCAGCAGTCCAGTCCCTGTGCTCCTCAGAGTCCCAGCAGCAGTCCAGTCCCTGTGCTCCTCAGAGTCCCAGCAGCAGTCCAGTCCCTGTGCTCCTCAGAGTCCCAGCAGGAGTCCAGTCCCTGTGCTCCTCAGAGTCCCAGCAGGAGTCCAGTCCCTGTGCTCCTCAGAGTCCCAGCAGGAGGCCAGTCCCTGTGCTCCTCAGAGTCCCAGCAGGAGTCCAGTCCCTGTGCTCCTCAGAGTCCCAGCAGGAGTCCAGTCCCTGTGCTCCTCAGAGTCCCAGCAGGAGGCCAGTCCCTATGCTCCTCAGAGTCCCAGCAGGAGTCCAGTCCTTGTGCTCCTCAGAGTCCCAGCAGCAGTCCAGTCCCTGTGCTCCTCAGAGTCCCAGCAGGAGTCCAGTCCCTGTGCTCCTCAGAGTCCCAGCAGGAGGCCAGTCCCTGTGCTCCTCAGAGTCCCAGCAGCAGTCCAGTCCCTGTGCTCCTCAGAGTCCCAGCAGGAGTCCAGTCCCTGTGCTCCTCAGAGTCCCAGCAGGAGGCCAGTCCCTGTGCTCCTCAGAGTCCCAGCAGGAGTCCAGTCCCTGTGCTCCTCAGAGTCCCAGCAGGAGGCCAGTCCCTGTGCTCCTCAGAGTCCGGGCTGGTTCATATGGGACTAACATGTCATCAATATATTTTGGCGCGAGGCCATGGAGAGACTTGTTTTAGAGATGTTTTAAAGTCTATTCTCTGAGCCACAGAACACAAAAAGAAGAATTAAATGTTGTGAACAAATAAGACCACAACATGCCGTCTCCTTAACTATACAATCTCTAGCGTTTGCATAATAAAGATGCAAGTATTGTTTGTGTTCTTTTGTAAATAAATGATTAAATATAACAATTATTTATGTTTAAGTCTAGAAGGTTCTTTGAATAAGACAAAAGTGTGAAAAACTTTTGGACTTAACGCTACGACAGACAAAGAATATTCAAGGATTAAGAGGCAAAGATTCGAAGGCCACAGAGACCGAGATTATATTTGTTTTGTCTGGACTCAGTTTTAACTCAAACTCATCTGGCGTCTCTGTTTTACCCACAGACTGTAAATATTAACGGACGTAGTCACGCCTATCTCTAATGGAGCAATCCAAAATGGCTGCGAGTGGTCCCGCCCACAAGAAAATTGTGAAAAAACGCATCTGTGCATGCGTCAGCCGGAGCAGCTCCATTCATTTAAACGAGAGACTTCTAAAGTCCACAGCGACTAAACTAGACTGGTCCAGAACACTCAGCATTGACACACATGTGGAACGGAGCTTTGGGCCAAGAGACAACTTTTGGTCCATCCTGTAAAGACGTTTTTGAGAGGTCTGCTAATGCTATATGTTAGCATTGGCTAATTCTACTTCTGGGTCCACCCCCACAGGCCCGGGGTGGTACTGCAGCATGTCAGCTCACGTCATTTTGGACACTTTTGAGCCGGGACCCGCCCCCACTGGGCTGGACATGTTTCTGGTCGGACATGTTTCTGGGTCACATTACTATACTTCATATCAAATGTCTTGTTTTGTTCAGTCTGGGAAAACTCCATCATCCACCGTGTTCAAAGTGCTGCTGTCTCGTCTCACTTTTTGTGTGAGGATTACATGTTTTTTAAAAGTTGTGGACTGATTTGTTCACATGTTATATTTTTACCAGATTCTTTGTGTTTACCGCAGCAGTTTTAGTGCCGTGTCTGTCTTTTATAGGGTGTTATAGACAAGTGTTTTGATTATAGCACAGTTCATGGTCAAAGTGCTCAAAAAAAACACAGAACGTTATTAGAATGTTTTTATCTTTAGCTTCTCTGCCCATCACAAGGGAAAAGGGGATGAGGGGAACAAAAAGGGGACAAAAAGCAAAGTGTGATGCCTGCCAACCAGTGGAAAAATGTAAACACAATGGAACACTTGAATAAAAAATGTGTTACAAAAAATAAAAACAATGAAAGTAACTTGCAAAAAGATAAGATACTTTTATTCGTCCCTCAGTCAGAAATGCACAAAAACAAATCTGTTTTTTAAGATAATAACTAATACACAGATAATAAACAGAGGATAAACGCTATAGCTATAATTGCAGTCATAAGTAAAGGTGTGGAGTATACACTGGAGCTACATTTACAGATGGTTAACACTAGAGCAGTCAGAGCAGTCAATTTGACGGTTTTTACTTTTGGAAGCATAATTACTCTGTGTATTGTTGGTCTTCATAAAGTCGTCATATTTTCTGTGACTTTATTTTGAAATGTGACGAGTTCTACCTGTAACTCCCACAGCCGTCATTTTGACTGCTCCAGAATTCAACAGGGTGCTTGCTCTTTTTCCAAATTAAAATTCCAGTCTTTTTCCAGACTTTTTAAAAAACGGATACTTCTTTTCCCCAAGACCAAGCGTTGATTGGATCATTCAGACTAATACAGTCCGTGACCAGTTAGAACAATTATAGTTTTATAGCCCACCTTCCTATTTCTCATTTCACAAAGCCTTTGAGCAAACTGTAAAATTCTAACATACATTTTTCCCCAAAGTTTATTAAGACTTTCACACAAAATTCAAGACTTAGGAATTTTGAAAAACTGTTTTCCAGACGTTGACCTTCATAAAAACAGTGTTTCAAAATTCCTTACTTAAGACTTTCAAGACTTGCGCAAACACCCTGTTCAAATCTACACTCTTTGGTCCTGGACCGGTCCTGGACTGGTCCTGGACTGGTCCTGGACTGGTTCAGAGCAATCTCAGCTTGGAGAAAGTGCTGGTTACCATAGCAACACAGCGTTTAGTGGCCTTTCAATAAACTGTTTTGTTTAATTTCAAGTCTTTTTCAAATAAAACAGTTTTAGCAATTATTAAAGATAAAGAGAACGTATAAATTGTTTAATCAGTAAAGCTTTAGAAATTTAACTTTATCTATTGAGCCGTATGGGAGCCGTCAAAATGACTGCTATGGGGGTTGCAGTAGTTTGGAAATGCTTTGAGTGTTACTGTTGTGCTGTAGCAGAGAGCATGAGCAGATTAAACAGTAGTGATAAAAGCAGTGGGTTCAGACGGATCCACTCCATCTGAGCCTGTCTCACATTTTCAGGAAGGACTTTATCTGCGTAAACTCTGCGGTAAACAGAGAAGCCCCGAATGGAACACAGAGTACAGGACTATCTCCCACCTGCTTCAGCCCGCCTCCTCTCGCCTCGGTCCGGCTGAAAACCAGGCCCAGCACCAGCAGCACCAGCACCAGCAGCCTCCGGTCCATGGTGAGTGTTCTGCAGCACGAATACAAAGTGAGTCCGTGAGCAGTGATTGGGGACTGGGGACTGGCCGAGGGAGTGTGGGGAGAGAGGAGGGAGAGAGGGGGAGAAAAAGCGTTACTTCCGTGTTTACAAACCGACCGCGGGGTTGCCATGTCCGCTGCTTTATATCCCCTTTGGGCCCTTGTCATAACCCGTGTAAACATGTCCCTGTTCCTGACCTTTGTGAGCGGTGGACATAATGTTTTATTCAACACTTTTTGGACTCTCAAATGGGAACTGTGGTTGTGTCCTTAGGCAATACACTTCACCCAAATTAGAATAGGTCTGGTGTGTGTGTGAATGGTTGGTGGTGGTGGGAGGGGCCGATGGCACAGACTGTTTGCTTTGCTTCTGTCAGTGTGCCCCAGGGCAGCTGTGGCTACTTACCACCGCTGTGTATGAATAAATACATGTGAACTGTCTTTGTCCGAAAAAGCACAATATAAAACTATTATTAATTGATATATTATTATTATTATTATTTACCACAATTTGGCAGTTTGCAGCTGCCCCACTGTGGAACCGAGTGTTCCCTTTACATTTCTGAGGCTTTTTTGCTGATTGATCTTTGAAAGTATGGCAACCTCGTGTTTCCATGTGAAAAGATGGCGCCTCGCGTGCGGCGTGGACTGTCGCGTGGGCTGTAGCTGAGTCCCTGATCAAAGTGACTCAAGTCCCTGTGATCCAGGCTCTGGTCCCTTTGATCCACAAAGACATGATGCGGTTCCGCGGCACAGTACAGCCCGTGTTCGCCGCGGAGCTCCCGAAGCACCCGGAGGATGGCCTGGACGACCTGGAGGACCTGGAGGAGGACTTCCACCAGGACATCGCCAGGTCCTCGTTTGCAGACATGCTCCACGACCATGACAGGAATCAGAAGTATTACCAGGTAGAGACGTCACAATACTAACTCATACTCGATACTAATACTAAGTCCTTTGAGATGATGCTGTTGTGATTTAGGGCTGTACAAGAATAAAGTGATTAATTCTCTTACTCTGATACTAACACATACTTAAGTACCAACATACTAAGGTGATGTTTTTAAAATTGGACAATACGCTGTCATTTTGAACGTTCAATATTTTATTATAATAATCACTTTCTTATACTAGTTTTATAAGCACTGGAAACCTGCTCCTGAGTCTGTCCTGAGGCCGTGCTTCCTGTTTGTGGCAGTTTAGTTTAATAGTTATGGTTGTTTTATCTTTAGTGTGTGACTGTCTTCTGTCTGCAGGGCATCAGAGCAGCCGTGTCGCGGGTGAAGGCGCGCGGTGAGCGGGTGGTGGTGCTGGACATCGGCACAGGGACAGGCCTGTTGTCCATGATGGCAGTGACCGCGGGCGCAGACGTCTGTTACGCGGTGGAGGTGTTTGCGCCGATGGCTGCGGCGGCGCGTAGCATCGTGCAGAAGAACGGCTTCTCTGAACAGATCACGGTCATCAACAAACACTCCACCGCGGTCACCGTGGGCGCGGGCGGCGACATGGCGAGCCGCGCCAACGTGCTGCTGACCGAGCTGTTTGACACGGAGCTGATCGGGGAAGGCGCGCTGTCGGCCTACGAGCACGCGCACCTGCACCTGGTGCAGTCGGGCTGCGAGGCCGTGCCGCACCGAGCCACAGTCTACGCCACGCTGGTGCAGAGCGAGCGGCTGTGGAGCTGGGCGCACCTGCAGCCGCTCGCTGTGGGCGGCTCTCAGCTGCTGCCGTACGACGCCTTGAGCCGCTGCCCCGGCTCTCACGCCGTCTGTGACCTCCAGCTGAGCCAGCTGCCCCGGGGCAGTCTGAGCGCGCTGAGCCCGCGCCTCACCATGTTCAGTGTGGACTTCAGCCGCGCAGTGAGCAGCGAGCCGCAGACGCACTGCCGCAGCTTCGAGGCCCAGAGCAGCGGTGAGGCCCAGGTGGTTCTGTCCTGGTGGGACCTCAGCATGGACCCCGACAACACCATCGTCTGCAGCATGGCCCCGAGCTGGACCTACGAGGACCCGCACAGCGCCCCCTGGAGGGACCACTGGATGCAGAGCGTGTACTTCCTGCCCGAGCAGAGCAGCGTGAGCCGCGGCCAGGACCTGACTCTGACCGTGAGCCACGACGACTACAGCCTGTGGTACAGTCTGTCCCAGGGGCCCCAGGGGCTTCAGGGGACTCGGGCTGTGCCCCGGCCCTGCTGCACCTGCCTGGCTCACACGGTGTGGGACCGGCCTCGCTTTGGGCAGCTTGGGGACCGCGCCCTGACGCAGCAGTACGTGAGCGCGCTGCAGCAGGTGTTGGGGCCGGACTCTGTGGTCCTCAGCATCAGTGACTGCAGCCTGCTGCCCCTGATGGCCCGCCTGCTGGGGGCCCGCACAGTGTTCAGTGTGGAGGGCCTCAGACTGAGCCGCCAGGTCGTTCAGCAGCTGCTCGAAACCAATCACCTGTCGGGCTCCGTGGAGCTGCTGGAGGGGCCCCCAGAGGAGCTGAGGGCCGAGGACCTGCGGGGCCAGCAGGTCTCTGTGCTGCTGGGGGAGCCGTACTTCAGCAGCAGCCTGCTGCCCTGGCACTCCCTGAGGTTCTGGTACTCCCGCTCTGCTGTGGCCCCGCTGCTGGCCCCTGATGCACGTGTGCTGCCGCGCGGGGCCTCGCTGCACATGGTGCCAGTGCACTTCGAGCAGCTGTGGAGGATCAGGGCCCCCTGCGGCTCCTGCGAGGGCTTCGACGTGTCGCCCATGGACCAGATGATCCAGAGGTCTCTGGACTACAGGGAGGCTGGGGAGGCGGAGCCACACGCTCTGTGGGAGTACCCCTGCCAGGCCCTCGGGCCCCCCACGGCCCTCCTGACCTTTGACTTCACTCAGTGCGTCCCAGAGGAGACCATGAGCTCCAGTGCCTCCCTGCGGCTCAGCAGCAGCTCCTGCTGTCACGCTGTGGTCCTGTGGATGGAGTACCACCTGACCCAGGACATCAGGGTCAGTACAGGTCTGAGTGGCCCCGTAGGAGCCGGGGGCCAGTGCCAGTGGAGCCCCCACCACAAACAGGCCGTGTTCTTCTTCAGCCCGGCCCTGGACTCTGGAGATCACACCCTGTCCTACACCTGCAGCTTTGAGCCCCGGACAGGAGACCTCACTATGGACCTCAGCCTAGACCCCCACATGGACCCCCACAGGGACCCCAAATAGACCCCCACAGGGACCCCCACACCACAGTGTGAGAAAACTCATTCCACAAAGTGAAAATCTCATGTTTGTTCAAATCTGTTCTGATGTGAAACATTTGGATTAAAGACAAGAAATATTTTAGTCTCTGCCGTCGTATCCACTGATGTCGATCGCACTGACTATGATTTTTGGTGTGATTGTTATTCTCTCTTTCAGACGTCCACAGCAGCAGGCGTCGTGTCAATCGTTCTATAGTCGCTTAAATGACTCCTAAATGACTCTGAGGATCATATATCAATGTTTTATCATAACCACCCCCATAACGGTACAGTGGAGGACTAGTAGCCGTTGTACATGTTTTATTTTACCATATTCATATTATTTAATAGTTATCCTACGTTGACCCGTGCCAAGCTTGTAGTTACAACATTATCCACTAGATGTCGCTGCTGCTCTGTGATATTATATGACGTCTCTTAGAAGATCTGGCTTTAAATTATATTTATCTTAAAACACGAACTATATTCAGCTAAGTCTAGTTGTTAAAAGCATTTATCTGTTGCCATATTTAAATACATAATATTAGCTGGCGTTTCTTTATGAAATTACTCTAAAAATAGACGGTGTTTAAAAAATGTATTGTGCTCCATTTTGTAGAGTCAAAGTAAAACAGCTTTTCTGGAGAGGCACTTCTTCATTCTTCCTCAACTTGAATATTTGATGAAAGGAGCGCGATTATGTAAACTCTCTCTCGTTCAGTTCTATATTTGTTCATTGTCCCCGGGTGGATCATCAAGACTATTGGTCCTCCCAGTTGTCAATCATTCTGGTGACACGTGCTCGTCCAATAAGACCTGAGAGTTTTGTTCAAAAGGTGGAGAGGGCGGTTCTTTCCTAAAATTTGGGAAAATCCTCCTTTTTACTTTTAATAATTCAGGGCTAGTAATATAATGTATTTGTTTTTTGTTTTGTCACTACCTTGCCAACAGCCTTCCATTACTTCCATTTACTAAATAATCAGTTTTCCCATGTTAGTCTGAGATCATGAGCCAAAGGGAAAGGCCCAGATAAGAATCATAAAACATTTGTTTTGTAACATACTGTGTTTTATAGGACGCCCAAAGACACTTCACATGGTTTATTCTTTTACTCCACACGTTGGGGGTAAACTACTACTTTAGCCACAGCTGCCCTGGGGCAAACTGACAGAAGCATGGCAACCAGTCTGTGTCATGAGCCCCTCCCACCAACCATTGTGTGGATGAAGATTCTTGCTGCAGCTGCCCCACTGTAGCACCTGGTGTTCCATGAGGGCTCCCATCACAGTACTAACCAGGCTCTACCCTATTTAGCTTCAGAGGTCTGACAGGATCTGGTCTTCACCTGCAGGGGGCGCTAACAATTATAAGATTACAGTATGTTTTACTGCTACATTTATTAGGCTTTTCAACAGCCATGATGTACTGAATATCAAATAGTATCGCCCTTAATCACAACAGTACCGTCGTTCTCTCGGAGGACTTTACAAAGCTGTCGATTCGCCAACACAGATCAGAGAATCAGACAGTTCAAACACAAGAAATGCAATGTTAAAAACACACAGAGCCATTGGTCCATAAGGAGCAGAGACCAATGTTCATAAATGTCACGTATGGACTCATTGTACATTCTCCAGTCTCTGCACAGTCCCATAAAGCCACGGTCCCGGGACTTTGAAGCAGCCTTGGGCTCATGTCGCCTTTCACTGGTCCTCGTTCAGAGAGGCCCGGGAGGGAGGGGGGAGGTGTGCCTGATTCCAGATGATGCTGAGCGGAAGCAGGAGGAGGAGGAGGAGGCTCTAGGACCGGACCAGCGATAACATGTGCGCCTAACCGCACGCACCACTTTCACCATCTTTCCCATAAATCCTATTATTTTTATCTAAAACATCAACATCCTCCATCAGCTCGTGCACATGCTTCCCTGCTCCCCGTGCGCACCCATGGAGCCGGGCGCGTGCGAACAAACCGAGGTAAGAAATACACAAAGATGCGAAGGTTTTTTTTCCCCAACGCAAATGTTCCTTACGCGTATTTCTGGTGGCTTATGCTTGCACATGCTTACACACATAGTATTCGTGTGTTATATATGATTTAGAGCTGGTGCTAGGTCATTTGTGTAAGCGTTAGTGTGCTATTTTTGCCTTACAGAAGTGCGTTGGGAAAAAAGACGAGAAATCCAAAATGTGTGTGTGTACAAACTGGTTATTTTTATTTATAAGGCAATCAGTCCGGTGTAAAGTAGGCCACTGGGCGGGTGTTCGGAGGGGGTGATGGTGGAGGAGACGCCGGCCGGTGTTTGCACTCAGCATCCATCCATCATCACGGACCCCTCCCTAAAAACGTGCCCGCTCCCCTCGTCATTGACGCGCCTGGGTCTTCACGCTGTAGCAATGATCCACGGGATGTCTGTGGCTGTTAGAGAGAGTGCTGTGAATGTATCCAGGTTGTGAGAGCTGGTCCTGGGTTATAGATATGGCAGCGATAAACAGCTATTATCAGATTCTTGTTTTTAAAATCCTCTTTAGTGGAGTTGAATTTACGGCTGTTGGTTTTTTCCCTTCATAAGAATTCCTATTGTGGTCCTATTCCTATGTCTGGTCTTTTCTACTGGCCAATGTTATGCTTTCGTTTTGAATATTGTCACCACTTTTGCACAACTAATGAGTTAAGAACGAGACCAGTTTTTGGCCCCATTTCCACCAGCCCTACTTGGCCCAACTCTACTCGGCTCTACTTCGCAGCGATTGGGAGAGTTTCCATCGGCCCAGTTTAATTAGTACCAGGTGCATTTTTATCCACGCCGAGCTGGTACTAAAGTGTTCTAACTGACAGTGATTGACTAGAGTGCTGCTGGAGGCTATGGTTACCAAGGAATGTCCTCAGATACTGATTTGTTGTGGGTAGGTTGCTAGGATACGGTACCGGATACTGAAGCTTAATGGCAAGGCAACCAGGTAGAGTTGGACCAAGAAGGGCGAGTGGAAATGGGGCTTTTATGTCATGTAGCTCGGCCCTGCAGGAATGATAGGAAAAACTAGCTTTTACCGAAAATTAAATTCTGACTGTTGACACTTTCCGTGGTTACCATAGTTACCAGGGCCGATGGTTCCGCTACCCTCAACCACATCGTCGATCTGTATTTGTTTTTGTTTTAAACGATACTCACAGACGCTTCATACCTTTTCTGTACGCGCTGGTTATAGTGTAGCCGCGGCTGCCCTGGGGCTATTGGTCTCTGCTACCATCACCAATCCTGCATACACACACACACACACACACACACACACACACACACACACACACACACACCAGACTCATAGGCAATGTGGGTTAAGTGTCTTGCCTGAAGAAACAATGACAGTTTGGCACATGGCCTTGTTTACACACTCTGTACATTTACTGTAGATTGAGATCAAAGTCCATTATGAAAGTTTTTTACAACGTTTTTATTTTTTTATTTTTTTATTAGCTTTTATTCACAATCATAAAGTGACAAGCATATAAAAGAGACAAAATACAGATAAGAGTGATAATACATTGTTGGTCACAGCAGTACAATAAACAACACAGGTACAGCTGGGGGGGTTAGGGTTATGTGTGTGTGTGTGTATTGTGTATATTACAACATTTTAAGGTATTTAAGGAGATGTCTGTACCAATTAAAAATGTGATTAAAAAGCCAGTTCCAGGAAGTAAACACACCGGCCTGGGCATCTTTCTGTGAAAGCCGGCACCTGGCCACATGCCTCCACAGCGACTTTCGCTTAAGCAATGCCCCACAGTCTATACAGTGCAAAAACTCACTGGATTTAACTGGGGAATTTGGCTGTTTAGCTGGGACTAAAGTTCCAATGCCGGCCTTTAAAACCTCAAAATTGTGCTCACGGTTTCCACTATTCCTGATCAAATCAAACTGAAGTTTACGTGCTTTAGATTTCACAGGTAGAGCCAATGCTCTGGCTACGTCACTTTCATTTCCATGTTTTCTAGTCAAATGACGGGACATTTTGTGGCAGGACATTGAACAGTAGAGGCAGAAGTGTCTCTTGCTGTATACTCGCCCCCCATTTTTCTTCTTTTGCAGCTGCATGATAACAATCTTATTTGCCTTTGGTTCGGTCACTTTCCGAGTCTTGAAGAAAAGTGTTTTTGATTTTTCTTTTTCCATACTTTTTTACAGGTTTCTTCTTGACAGTTAAATCGTCAGAATCTGAGTCGACTTCATCAATTAGGGACTCTTGACTAAGCTGCACAAACAACAAATAATTTGTAATCATTCTATATAACAATTTGAAGTCATGACTTGTAGTCAGCACTTACCAGTGGTTTGTAAGCGTGCGCTTCAGTGTGCTCCTCCATGATTTCTTGCAGCCTAATGAACCACACACTTGCACCTTTTTCTAGCCTGACACCTGATTTCCTCTGTTGTGCTGCTCCATGATTGGCTCCAGCCTGCTGGACTGAAATTGCCCCAGTGTGCCCCTCCTTGATATCCCGCAACCCACCACCAGGGTTCCGACACATAACACACTTTTTTCAGGAAAGTAAACCTCCAGGGGTCCTTTCCATATTTTTACAGAGACTGCATAAGGACCGTTAGAAAAGCATTACCCATTGATTATTAAGCTTGGACCAGTGGGGACCAGTGGGGTCCGGTGTTCGGGCCCCACCACGTAAAACCAGTCCCCATGACGTGAGTGGAATCTCAGGTTATGGAACCCACCAGGAGTTGAAAACAAGTGCACACACACACACACGCGTACACATACACACACACACGTACACATACACACACACACGTACACATACATATACACATACACACACACTCACGCACACATACATATGCACATACACATACACATACACGCACACACAGTGGAACCCAGGGAGCATTTGAACAACATTTGCATATAGCGCTTTCATGCACACATATACACATACACTGACACACACACACACACACACACACACACACATACACATACACATACACATACACATACACATACACATACACATACACATACACATACACATACACACACACACACACTTGATCATTTGCATGCGTGCTCAGCTCTGTCTGTCTCTGGACTAAAGTCGTTGGAATACTTTGTTTAGACGGGCGTGGTCCACGTCTGCTGCTGCTTTGTTTTTTATCTTTTACAGAGACAGTAAACATGAGCCAAAAGGAGAGATGCATTGTTCAGGGTTCAATGTTTTTCCATCCATCCATTTTCTTCCGCTTTATCCGTTGCCGGGTCGCGGGGGCAGCAGTCTAAGCAGAGACGCCCAGACTTCCCTATCCACACACACTTCCTCCAGCTCGTCCGGGGGGACCCCAAGGCGTTCCCAGGCCAGCTGAGAGACATAGTCCCTCCAGCGTGTCCTGGGTCTTCCCCGGGGCCTCCTCCCGGTGGGACGTGCCCGGAACACCTCCCCAGGGAGGCGTCCAGGAGGCATCCGGAACAGATGACCGAGCCACCTCAACTGGTTCCCCTCGACGTGGAGTAGCAGCGGCTCTACTCCGAGCTCCTCCCGTGTGACTGAGCTCCTCACCCTATCTCTAAGGGAGCAGCGGCTCTACTCCGAGCTCCTCCCGTGTGACTGAGCTCCTCACCCTATCTCTAAGGGAGCAGCCACTCTGCGGAGGAAGCTCATTTCAACCGCTTGTATCGGGGATCTCGTTCTTTCGGTCATTACCCACAGCTCATGACCATAGGTGAGGGAGGGAACGAAGATTGACCGGTAAATCGAGAGCTTTGCCTTTCGGCTCAGCTCCCTCTTTACCATGACGGTCCAATACAGCAACCGCATCACTGCGCACGCTGCACCGATCCGCCTGTCAATCTCATGCTCCATTCTTCCCTCACTCGTGAACAAGACCCCGAGATACTTGAACTCCTCCACTTGAGGAAGGACCTCTCCACCTGAAGAGAGCAAGGCACCTTTTTCCGGTCGAGCACCATGGCCTCGGATTTGGAGGTGCTGATTCTCATCCCAGCCGCTTCACACTCTGCTGCAAACCGTCCCAGTGCATGCTGCAGGTCCTGGTTCGTTGGAGCCAACAGGACAACATCATCCGCAAACAGCAGAGATGAAATCCTGTGGTCCCTGAACCGGATCCCCTCCGGCCCCTGGCTGCGCCTAGAAATTCTGTCACCGGTTCAATGTTTTTGGTCAAATAAATGTTTTGGTTTTTTTCTTGATACATTTATGTTTAAAATTATGTTTATAATTTGAACAGACTCTCAGTGGAGGCTGTACTGACATTAAACGTTGATGTCCACTAGGGGGCGCCAGACTCACTATGCTGTCTCCTCCTGCAGGGCTCCTACTCTCTTCCCAAGTCGGACTTCTCGGTCCCGGAGTTGGAGCTTCCGTACTGGCTCACCAACGGACACTACCGCGCTGAGGGAGTGTTGGGGAAACAGGGCTCTGAGCTGGGCTGCCTCAAGGTGGCGCTGTCCCTACGCTCCGGCTGAGGCCCGGGGGTCTGCGCTCAGGGTTGGCTCTGGGGGTCGGGTCTGAGGGTCTGGTCTGCTCTAAGCTCTGTTCTAGGGTCTGCTCTGAGGGTCTTCTCTGGGGGTCTGCTCTAGGGTCTGCTCTAAGGGTCTTCTCTAATCTCTGCTCTAAGCTCTGCTCTAAGGGTCTGCTCTGAGGGTCTGCTCTGGGGGTCTGCTCTTGGGGTCTGCTCTGAGGGTCTGCTCTGAGGGTCTGCTCTGAGGGTCTACTCTGAGGGTCTGCTCTAAGGGTCTGCTCTGAGGGTCTGCTCTGAGGGTCTGCTCTTGGGGTCTGCTCTTGGGGTCTGCTCTGAGGGTCTGCTCTGAGGGTCTACTCTGAGGGTCTACTCTGAGGGTCTACTCTGAGGGTCTACTCTGAGGGTCTGCTCTAGGGTCTGTTCTAGGGGTCTATTCTGAGGGTCAACTCTGAGGGTCTGCTCTGGGGGTCTGCTCTGAGGGTCTGCTCTGAGGGTCTGCTCTGGGGGTCTGCTCTGGGGGTCTGCTCTGGGGGTCTGCTCTGAGGGTCTGCTCTGAGGGTCTGCTCTAAGCTCAGCTCTAGGGTCTGCTCTAGGGTCTTGTTTATGTTTAGGGTCCAACATTTATTTTCTTTCAAATTCAAGAATCTGTTTAAAGGTTCCTCAGTTTGTTCTGTGACTTCTTCTCTTGTTTTTCCTGATAAATCCATCAGGTTTGGGAACTGGCATATTTAATATAATTTGATGATTCTATAGTATTGTGATACTTTACATATCACGATACAGACAGTATCGTGATTCCATTCTGTGATGTATCGAGAGTCATGTCATGTTTCTTCTAAGACTTTACAAACATGGATCAAAAATCAGACGCCACAGAAGAACAGAAACTCAGAGAAAATGAAAGTAAACAGATCATTATTGAGTTAAATATCACAAAACGTCTGTATCGATTTAATTGAGTGTGAATTATCACGATACTGAACAGAATCGTTTTACCACCGTTGTTTTATTTCTTTTACATTGGAAACAAACAAACTTCAGTCTGCTACATTCAGTTATCTCTGTGCAGAGGTGAGCACAGCGCCCTCTGGTGGTCTGTCCACAGTATCAGGTTTCAGAGCAATAACATCAGGACTTTCCAGAATATAGAATAACAATAGTTTTTACACACATGTCTTCCATATTTTGTATTTATGTCGTTCACGTTGGTAAATCCGTCAGAACTGATCAATCACAGACATTTCCCCAAACTATTGTTTTTTTAATATCACACAGAAAATGTTCACCATGAGAATTCTTTATTCACAGAACGACTCACATTTGAAAAGATTGTTTCATGAAAATTATGATGAGCTACATTTGGACACGAGCTGAAGAATTATAACACTTTCAAATCTAAAAGCCGTCAAATTGACTGCTCTGGAATGTTAAGTGTATTTATCCTGTGTTGATCCTGTGTTGATCCTGCATTGATCCTGTGTATTTGGGTTCTGTACTAACACTTTGACAGAAACATTCCAACATTTTGTGTAAAAATATCGATGTGAATAATTTCCACAAAATGATTTTAAACCGTTTCTAACATTTTCTACACGTTTTTAGGATCAGAATCTTTTCTGTGCGAAGCGGCCAAATCATGTTTATTATTTCTTGCACTCTATGGTAAAGTGCCTGAAGGAGGTGGGACTTTGTGGTGTCACGTTACAAACTTTTGTGTTTTGGGGAAACTTTACTTTAAATGTTTTTGGATTTAGGTTCAACAGAGTCTTTAATAAAAGTTTTGCTTTTTAAAAAGTGTTTGTTGCTATGGTAACTATATATAACCTTTTATTGATCACCTTCATCCAGGAGTTCAGCAGCAAAATAACTTTATTTAGCGATAAAGTGATAAAGTTTACAGTGCCTTGCGAAAGTATTCGGCCCCCTTGAACCTTTCAACATTTCGCCACATTTCAGGCTTCAAACATAAAGATATAAAATATTAATTTTTTTGTCATGAATCAACAACAAGTGGGACACAATTGTGAAGTGGAACAAAATTTATTGGATAATTTAAACTTTTTAACAAATAAAAAACTGAAAAGTGGGGCGTGCAATATTATTCGGCCCCTTTACTTTCAGTGCAGCAAACTCAGTCCAGAAGTTCAGTGAGGATCTTTGAATGATCCAATGTTGTCCTAAATGACTGATGATGATAAATAGAATGCTCCTGTGTGTAATCAAGTCTCCGTATAAAAGCACCTGCTCTTTGATAGTCTCAGGGTTCTGTTTAAAGCACAGAGAGAACCATGAAGACAAAGGAACACACCAGGCAGGTCCGAGATACTGTTGTGGAGAAGTTTAAAGCCGGATTTGGATACAAAAAGATTTCCCAAGCTTTAAACATCTCAAGGAGCACTGTGCAAGCAATTATATTGAAATGGAAGGAGTATCAGACCACTGCAAATCTACCAAGACCCGGCCGTCCCTCCAAACTTTCATCTCAAACAAGGAGAAGACTGATCAGAGATGCAGACAAGAGGCCCATGATCACTCTGGATGAACTGCAGATAACTACAGCTGAGGTGGGAGAGTCTGTCCATAGGACAACAATCAGTCGTGCACTGCACAAATCTGGCCTTTATGGAAGAGTGGCAAGAAGAATGGCATTTCTCAAAGATATCCATAAAAAGTCTGGTTTAAAGTTTGCCACAAGCCACCTGGGAGACACACCAAACATGTGGAAGAAGGTGCTCTGGTCAGATGAAACCAAAATCAAACTTTTTGGCCACAATGCAAAACGATATGTTTGGCGTAAAAGCAACACAGCTCATCACCCTGAACACACCATCCCCACTGTCAAACATGGTGGTGGCAGCATCATGGTTTGGGCCTGCTTTTCTTCAGCAGGGACAGGGAAGATGGCTAAAATTGATGGGAAGATGGATGGAGCCAAATACAGGACCATTCTGGAAGAAAACCTGTTGGAGTCTTTAAAATACCTGAGACTGGGACGGAGATTTATCTTCCAACAGGACAATGATCCAAAACATAAAGCCAAATCTACAATGGAATGGTTCACACATAGACGTATCCAGGTGTTAGAATGGCCAAGTCAAAGTCCAGACCTGAATCCAATCGAGAATCTGTGGAAAGAGCTGAAGACTGCTGTTCACAAACGCTCTCCATCCAACCTCACTGAGCTCCAGCTGTTTTGCAAGGAAGAATGGGCAATAATTCCAGTCTCTCGATGTGCAAAACTGATAGAGACATACCCCAAGCGACTTGCAGCTGTAATTGCAGCAAAAGGTGGCGCTAGAAAGTATTAGCGCAAGGGGCCGAATAATATTGCACGCCCCACTTTTCAGTTTTTTATTTGTTAAAAAAGTTTAAATTATCCAATAAATGTCGTTCCACTTCACGATTGTGTCCCACTTGTTGATTCTTGACAAAAAAAATTTTTTTTATATCTTTATGTTTGAAGACTGAAATGTGGCAAAATGTTGAAAGGTTCAAGGGGGCCGAATACTTTCGCAAGGCACTGTAGATATTATTGATTCTTTGTGGGTCAATAGAGTTACATTTTTTTTCCTACGCCTCAGATCGACTCTGTGCCATTAAAACAATAAAATACAATGAAATTTAGGACATTCCAAAGAAACAGCCGCAACAAAAACCTTAAACAGCCGAGTCTTTAAACGACTGGATTCCAAGGTTCTCAGGTTGACAGTAGCTGAGTGGTTAACACCTCAGTCTTCTCTGACAGGAGGTCCTGGGATCGAGCTCTGGTTCTGGATGCTGCCTTCTGAGAGGAGGAGACTGTTCTGGACGCTGTGCTTCTGTTCTGCTGAAAAGAGCGTCTCAAAGTCTCAGCACGACTGGACACCATCAAAGTTACTCCCATGACTTTAGATCAACTGTAGTGTCCTGTTGTGACCAGCAGATGGCAGCACGGCTAGACACCATCACGTCATGATACGTTAAACCCCCTCCTCTGTTTCCCTGAACCCTCCAGAATCAATATATAAAACATAGATCGACCAATGTGATGGTTATTATCATTTCCTGTGTAAGATCTGTTTGTCTGATCTGTTGTTGGAGAATCAACAACTTATTGAAGTCTCGACTCCACACATTCGACATTTCCCGAATAAAATAACTTTATCAAATCTTTTTTTTTTTTTTAACTAAGACAGAAATATCAATAAAGGATTTTGTGTTATTTTTATGTATGAGAGAAAGAGCTCGTATTTATTATTATTAGTAATGAGTACACTTTCTAAGATCCTATTTATATCTAAGAGAACTTCCCTTTGGTGACAATAAAGTTGAACCACGTAAAAATGTGTTGTTCTTAAAGTTCTATTATTTCTATAAAGAACATTCGCAGTAACAGTAGTACTTTTGGCACATCTGCTTCAGAGACTTCTGAGAAACTTTAATGTCATGTTGTAACCAGCAGGTGGCAGTAACGTCACGTCTGCACCGACTCCCTCCATGTTCTCACAGATGCATCATTTACTACAACCCAAGTCTCAGTTTGGAGTGAAAGACTGCTGCAGTAGATTCAAAACTGCAGCTCGAGTCCTGACGAGAACCAGGAAGTACCATCACATTAGTCCTGAAGAGAACCAGGAAGTACCATCACATTAGTCCTGAAGAGAACCAGGAAGTACCATCACATTAGTCCTGAAGAGAACCAGGAAGTACCATCACATTAGTCCTGAAGAGAACCAGGAAGTACCATCACATTAGTCCTGAAGAGAACCAGGAAGTACCATCACATTAGTCCTGAAGAGAACCAGGAAGTACCATCACATTAGTCCTGAAGAGAACCAGGAAGTACCATCACATTAGTCCTGAAGAGAACCAGGAAGTACCATCACATTAGTCCTGAAGAGAACCAGGAAGTACCATCACATTAGTCCTGAAGAGAACCAGGAAGTACCATCACATTAGTCCTGAAGAGAACCAGGAAGTACCATCACATTAGTCCTGAAGAGAACCAGGAAGTACCATCACATTAGTCCTGACTAGAACCAGGAAGTACCATCACATTAGTCCTGACTAGAACCAGGAAGTACCATCACATTAGTCCTGACTAGAACCAGGAAGTACCATAACATTAGTCCTGACTAGAACCAGGAAGTACCATCTCATTAGTCCTGACTAGAACCAGGAAGTACCATCACATTAGTCCTGACTAGAACCAGGAAGTACCATCACATTAGTCCTGACTAGAACCAGGAAGTACCATAACATTAGTCCTGACTAGAACCAGGAAGTACCATCTCATTAGTCCTGACTAGAACCAGGAAGTACCATCACATTAGTCTTGGTCTCAGGTCTCTGCACCTGTGGCTCAGAGACTAGACTTTAAACAGCTCTAAAACAAGTCTCTCCATGGACTTGGATCTGTGACATGTTAGTGCCATATGAACCAATGAAGACTCTGAGGAGCACAGGGACTGGCCTCCTGCTGGGACTCTGAGGAGTAAAGCCTAGTGTAAACTTGCGTGGCGCGGATTACGTTTGCAGTTGCGTTGGACCTACACAGTTAGACCTACACAGTTGGACCTACACAGTTGGACCTACACAGTTGGACCTACACAGTTGGACCTACACAGTTGGACCTACACAGTTGGACCTACACAGTTGGACCTACACAGTTGGACCTACACAGTTGGACCTACACAGTTGGACCTACACAGTTGGACCTACACAGTTAGACCGACACAGTTAGACCGACACAGTTAGACCTACACAGTTAGACCTACACAGCTACAATTGGACCTACACAACACTCCAAAGCCGCCGGTCCAAACTTTCTGCCCTGTCTGTGTCAATAACCCCTGACTTTGATCTTGTGTGTTAGAAGATGGCTGCACCGTTAGCTTCCTCCGGCTAAAGGACGCGCCCTTCTGCCTTTCTATGGAGCCATACTCCCTCTGGTCCAGAACACACCTCCCTCTGGTCCAGAACACACCTCCCTCTGGTCCAGAACACACCTCCCTCTGGTCCAGAACACACCTCCCTCTGGTCCAGAACACACCTCCCTCTGGTCCAGAACACACCTCCCTCTGGTCCAGAACGCACCTCCCTCTGGTCCAGAACACACCTCCCTCTGGTCCAGAACGCACCTCCCTCTGGTCCAGAACACACCTCCCTCTGGTCCAGAACACACCTCCCTCTGGTCCAGAACGCACCTCCCTCTGGTCCAGAACACACCTCCCTCTGGTCCAGAACGCACCTCCCTCTGGTCCAGAACGCACCTCCCTCTGGTCCAGAACGCACCTCCCTCTGGTCCAGAACACACCTCCCTCTGGTCCAGAACGCACCTCCCTCTGGTCCAGAACACACCTCCCTCTGGTCCAGAAACACACCTCCCTCTGGTCCAGAACGCACCTCCCTCTGGTCCAGAACGCACCTCCCTCTGGTCCAGAACGCACCTCCCTCTGGTCCAGAACGCACCTCCCTCTGGTCCAGAACACACCTCCCTCTGGTCCAGAACACACCTCCCTCTGGTCCAGAACGCACCTCCCTCTGGTCCAGAACACACCTCCCTCTGGTCCAGAACGCACCTCCCTCTGGTCCAGAACGCACCTCCCTCTGGTCCAGAACGCACCTCCCTCTGGTCCAGAACACACCTCCCTCTGGTCCAGAACGCACCTCCCTCTGGTCCAGAACACACCTCCCTCTGGTCCAGAACGCACCTCCCTCTGGTCCAGAACGCACCTCCCTCTGGTCCAGAACACACCTCCCTCTGGTCCAGAACACACCTCCCTCTGGTCCAGAACGCACCTCCCTCTGGTCCAGAACACACCTCCCTCTGGTCCAGAACGCACCTCCCTCTGGTCCAGAACACACCTCCCTCTGGTCCAGAACGCACCTCCCTCTGGTCCAGAACACACCTCCCTCTGGTCCAGAACGCACCTCCCTCTGGTCCAGAACACACCTCCCTCTGGTCCAGAACACACCTCCCTCTGGTCCAGAACGCACCTCCCTCTGGTCCAGAACACACCTCCCTCTGGTCCAGAACACACCTCCCTCTGGTCCAGAACGCACCTCCCTCTGGTCCAGAACGCACCTCCCTCTGGTCCAGAACACACCTCCCTCTGGTCCAGAACGCACCTCCCTCTGGTCCAGAACACACCTCCCTCTGGTCCAGAACACACCTCCCTCTGGTCCAGAACACACCTCCCTCTGGTCCAGAACACACCTCCCTCTGGTCCAGAACGCACCTCCCTCTGGTCCAGAACACACCTCCCTCTGGTCCAGAACGCACCTCCCTCTGGTCCAGAACACACCTCCCTCTGGTCCAGAACACACCTCCCTCTGGTCCAGAACACACCTCCCTCTGGTCCAGAACGCACCTCCCTCTGGTCCAGAACACACCTCCCTCTGGTCCAGAACGCACCTCCCTCTGGTCCAGAACGCACCTCCCTTAGCTACACTACACACTTCTTAGCTTTCGGCGGGAAAAGACTCACGTTCGATCAGGAAAAGAAAATACTGAGAAAGCCCCTCCCTTGGCTACACTACACACTTTCTTGACACGATGAGTTTGATAATCCCAGAAAGATTATCTGCGGCGGGATCGTCTGCTTCACCTTCACGGCGCTCGCATCCATCACCACTGCCACCGCCACCGCCGTCACCGCCACCATCACCGCCGTCACCGCCACCATCACCGCCGTCACCGCCGTCAACGCCACCATCACCGCCGTCGTCCTGTCCTGTCCCTGATGTGGTGAATGGAACGAGACATCTCTGTGGTATTAAAACACACCAGGCGCACACAGACGCACACAGGCGCACACAGACGCACACAGGCGCACACAGATGCACACAGGCGCACACAGACGCACACAGATGCACACAGACGCACACAGGTGCACACAGACGCACACAGATGCACACAGGCGTACACAGAGACGCACACAGGCGTACACAGACGCACACAGGCGCACACAGACGCACACATACAGACTGCAGTCAGACACACACGGTCCGCTTGTGTATATATTGTGCTATACATATAAACCTGCCTTCCTTATTGTGTTGAGTGTAGTAAAACAATGGACTGTTAAAAGTACTCTACTCTACTTTACTCTACTCTACTCTACTCTATACTCCACTCCACTCTACTCTACCCTACTCCTGGGGGTGGGATTACAGCATTCCCTTCAGAACTACAAAGGGGGTATGCCCGAGTGTACGAGCAACTGTAGCTGTGTAGGTCCAACTGTGACTGTGTAGGTCCAACTGTGTAGGTCCAACTGTGTAGGTCCAACTGTGTGGGTCTAACTGTGGCTGTGTAGGTCCAACTGTGTAGGTCCAACTGTGGCTGTGTAGGTCCAACTGTGTAGGTCCAACTGTGACTGTGTAGGTCCAACTGTGTAGATCCAACTGTGTAGGTCCAACTGTGTAGGTCCAACTGTGGCTGTGTAGGTCCAACTGTGTAGGTCCAACTGTGACTGTGTAGGTCCAACTGTGTAGATCCAACTGTGTAGGTCCAACTGTGTAGGTCCAACTGTGTAGGTCCAACTGTGGCTGTGTAGGTCCAACTGTGTAGGTCCAACTGTGGCTGTGTAGGTCCAACTGTGTAGGTCCAACTGTGTAGGTCCAACTGTGACTGTGTAGGTCCAACTGTGTAGGTCCAACTGTGACTGTGTAGGTCCAACTGTGTAGGTCCAACTGTGACTGTGTAGGTCCAACTGTGCAGATCCAACTGTGTAGGTCCAACTGTGTAGGTCCAACTGTGACTGTGTAGGTCCAACTGTGTAGGTCCAACTGTGTAGGTCCAACTGTGGCTATGTAGGTCCAACTGTGTAGGTCCAACTGTGTAGGTCCAACTGTGTAGGTCCAACTGTGTAGGTCCAACTGTGACTGTGTAGGTCCAACTGTGTAGGTCCAACTGTGACTGTGTAGGTCCAACTGTGTAGGTCCAACTGTGTAGGTCCAACAGTGTAGGTCCAACTGTGTAGGTCCAACAGTGACTGTGTAGGTCCAACTGTGTAGGTCCAACTGTGTAGGTCCAACTGTGTAGGTCCAACTGTGTAGGTCCAACTGTGTAGGTCTAACTGTGTAGGTCCAACTGTGTAGGTCCAACTGTGTAGGTCCAACTGTGTAGGTCCAACTGTGTAGGTCCAACTGTGTAGATCCAACTGTAACCAGCGCCGTGTGAGTTTACACAGGTCTTTTCTTTATTATTTTATTAATTGAAAGCACGACACAGAAACAAAATGCCGGATCTTTCCAAACCACAGTGACTCAGAGAAACTGATGCTGTCTGTGTCTGTGGAGGAGGAGGAGGAGGAGGAGGAGGAGGAGGAGGAGAAGGAGAAGGAGGAGGAGGAGGAGAAGGAGGAGGAGAAGAGAAATATGTGGTTTGGCAAAGACACTCCTGCTCCACCTTCTACTCGTTGTCATCTTCCTCTCTCCTCCACCCCCTCCTCCTATTTCTCCTCCTTTTCCTCCTTCTCCTCCTCTTTTTCCTCCTCCTCTAGAGAGAGACCAGAGAGAGAGAGACTAGAGAGAGACCAGAGAGAGACCAGAGAGAGAGACTAGAGAGAGACCAGAGAGAGACCAGAGAGAGACTAGAGAGAGACCAGAGAGAGACCAGAGAGAGACCAGAGAGAGACTAGAGAGACCAGAGAGAGACTAGAGAGAGACCAGAGAGAGAGACCAGAGAGAGACCAGAGAGAGACCAGAGAGAGACCAGAGAGAGACTAGAGAGACCAGAGAGAGACTAGAGAGAGACCAGAGAGAGACCAGAGAGAGACCAGAGAGAGACTAGAGAGACCAGAGAGAGACTAGAGAGAGACCAGAGAGAGACCAGAGAGAGACTAGAGAGAGACCAGAGAGAGAGAGACAATCAAACTCCACAGAACTTTCCCTCGGTCTTCGTCCTTCTGTGAGCTCCACCAACGCATTTTTAAGTAATCTGAATAAAACATAACGCTGAAAGCTCGATTTGGAGATGAAGAGAACTCTGCTGGATCTTCCTCAGACCTGGCGCCCGCTCAGACTCCATTTTGTCTTCCCCAGCAGGAGAGCCCGCCGCCATAACCAGCTCCCAGCGTGTCTCCGGCTCCTCGCCTCTGATTTAAGAAAAGCCTGTTTACACACGCCACGCATCGGCAGATAAGAAATGGAAATATGCGACATCACAAACGGGATATGCTAATGAGGTCTGTGTGAATGTGGACCGGGCCGTTCTGGGCGTGTGATAGGACCGGTTCAGATGTGTGTGTTTACATAAAGGATTCATGTTGTTTGGTCTGGAATACAGTGTTCTTCATCATGATGAAGATAGAGATGGTGTTTTATTTTACTATAGAGTTATTGTTTAGTTTATTTTCAAAGAGGATCATGCAATTTAATAAAAATATAAGCCAAATTAGTAAAAAATAAGCCAGAATTACACAAAGAAGCTATGTTAAAAAGCAAATACGTTGTGAGCTCCTCTTTCCCACTCTCCGGTGGCAGCGAGGCAACACTGACATTTCCTCGCTGTGGGACCAATCTGACTTTAACCTTAAACTGACTCCTTCAACTCTGGTCTTTGGGAAACGACAGAAAAGTTAAAATCCCAAAAACTGGCTCCACATGAGTCTCCTCTGCAGAGAGATGGAGGAGCTCGGAGTAGAGCCACTGCTCCCTTAGAGATGGAGCTCAGTCACACGGGAGCTCGCAGTAGAGCCGCTGCTTCACGTCAACTGCAGCCTGTTGCGTAACCTCTGTCTGTAAAATGTAACCACCTTAAGCTGAATTCTTATAAGTAGGTTTTTGCAGAATTTATTTTTGAAGACGAAAAAAGCGAGAAGCATTTCTGACAAAGATGTTTGTGCCTTTTACCAACGGCTTTGGTTCCTCCGGGCGGACGCCGATGACAGTCTTCCTGAGAATGTGAGACAGGCGTCTACTTTGGCGTTTCTCAAATCTAGGCTAAAAACGTTGATTTTATCTTTACTCTTTTTAATGGACTGTAGATGTTTTTGGTTTTCATGTTTTTAACTGCTTGTGTGATTTTATTTATGTTTAATATTTCTTGTGCCCGTGTTTTTTAAAGTTGATGAAGATTCTAATGTTTGATTTATGCCTGATGTGATTTGGGTTGTGAGGCGGTTTGTGTAGGAACGGCGCTATACAAATAAAAGTTGATTTATATCAATTTGTTAAAGCGATTGGTTTAAGTCAAAGCGTGGGAGGCGGGGAAACGGCATCACTTCGACCAATCAGCTTGAAGTATCTGCTGCTGACTCCTGCTTTACCTTAAAGGATTCTCTTGGGCTGAAGTCCCAGATGGATTTCGTGGAGACCTCGTGAGTCCAACACAATCATTAATCTGACTTTTGCCAAATTATGTATAAACATGACTTACAATCTGGAAACTTGCTGAAGTCCAAGTATTTTCTCTGCTCAATCTCTCACTGATGTCTCCTGTCGGTAAATCCGTCCGTCGAGAAGCTTCATCCCTGTTTATGCTAATGCTAATGCGGCGCACACATGACCATAGTGGGCACATGCACGACCATAGTGGGCACATGCACGACCATAGTGGGCACATGCACGACCATAGTGGGCACATGCACGACCATAGTGGGCACATGCACGACCATAGTGGGCACATACATGACCATAGTGGGCACATGCACGACCATAGTGGGCACATGCACGACCATAGTGGGCACATGCACGACCATAGTGGGCACATACATGACCATAGTGGGCACATGCACGACCATAGTGGGCACATGCACGACCATAGTGGGCACATGCATGACCATAGTGGGCACATGCACGACCATAGTGGGCACATGCACGACCATAGTGGGCACATGCACGACCATAGTGGGCACATACATGACCATAGTGGGCACATGCACGACCATAGTGGGCACATGCACGACCATAGTGGGCACATGCATGACCATAGTGGGCACATGCATGACCATAGTGGGCACATGCATGACCATAGTGGGCACATGCACGACCATAGTGGGCACATGCATGACCATAGTGGGCACATGCATGACCATAGTGGGCACATGCATGACCATAGTGGGCACATGCATGACCATGACCATAGTGGGCACATGCATGACCATAGTGGGCACATGCATGACCATGACCATAGTGGGCACATGCATGACCATAGTGGGCAGTTAGAACACAGCATGACCGAGCCGTCACCTTAAACCTTCTGGACGTGCAGCGTGGATCAAAGCGTGTTCAGTCTCACAGGAGAAGCACGCGCAGGTTTTCACTCTCAAAGAATCATTGGGTATTTACAGTTTTCCCAGAGTCAGCTGCAGCACAACACGGATTAGGACTCATGTTTGAGACCATGTTAGTGTTCCCTCGTCAGAAACAAACCTGGAGTCATCGTTTATCCTTACGTCACTCCAGCAGGACTTTACAAAGCTGTCGATTCACCAACAGTAGATCAGAGAATCAAACAGGAAATGCAATAACAACAGACGTCATTGGTCCAGAAGGTAAAGAAATGTCCCCACAGGTTTTTAGAATTTGACACATGACATTTTGGAGGAAAGGAGACAGAAGAGAAGAGGGAGAGGAGACAGAAGACGAAGAGGGAGAAGAGAGGGATGAGACAGAAGAGAAGAGGGAGAGGAGGGGGGGAGAAGGAGACAGACAAGAGGGAGAGGAGGGAGAAGAGACAGAAGGAGAAGAGGGAGAGGAGACAAAAAGAGACAAGAGAAGATGGGAGGGAGGGAGAGGAGACAGAAGAGAAGAGGGAGAGGAGACAAAAGAGGGAGAGGAGAGAGAAGAGATGCTGGTACTTTGTCGGCACAACTGATCAAAAGTGAAAGTGCGTTGCTCATGAAACGCGTGTTAGCATCTTGGAGTCAGATCCAGATGCTAACGACAGGGACCAAGGTGTGAACAACCACGAAGGAGAGTTCAGTTTAATTACAATTGTTGTATTCAAGTATTTTTCAGCGTTAAATAGAACGCTGAAATTTAAGTTGGTACAATATATTCAGGAATTTTCATAGATAACAAAAAACAAAGTGTCCTTCAAAAGAGAACATTAAAGATATTTCAAGAAGAGTCTGTGCAGGGTGTTTATTAAAAAACCTGAGCTGAAAGCAGGAAATCACAAATTAGCATTTTAAAATTAATGAAATGATCAGCGCAGGAAGGAGTTAAAGCTGCTAAAACATTTAACGTATACATTGTAATATACCATTTATCATTGGAACTTCATGATAAACACAAGTTAATGTCCATCAAAAGTCAAATATAAATCCAGTCAAACTTTCATGACATTACAGTATCAAGGGAAAGGGTTTATGCGCAACAGATACAGTTTCATAAACCAATTCAACAGGCTAATGCGGCTTGGCAAATGTGCAAAAAAAAAAAGGGTCTAAACAGCAGAATTAATAAAACAGCACAATTTGACAGAATAAGGCCCGGGGAAGAACCTTTCCTCAGTCATGGGGCCAAGATCTAGGAAGTCGCTGGTGAAGAGGCTAAAAGGCCCAGTTCGGCTCCACACGTCGGCTGCGATCGGCGAGACAACTGGGAAACAGACAGGTTGGAAAAAAAAAAAAAAAAAGGTGAGATTCCTGCTTCACTAACTCCACAGCGGGGGCCCCAAAGTCACGTACCTCCCGCTCCAGTGGAGAGTCCTGGTTTCTCACAGTACCTTCAGGCTTCTAAGCTGTATACACGAAGAGGCCCCAGCATGTCTTTCTCCATCCTTCCACTGCTCTTGCCAAATGTATTTAACCAAAAACAAATCCCCTATAGCAAGTTTGTCGACAGGCCACTTCTTTGCCCTTCTCCAAAAACCGTTGGTGGCAGCTTCACCCCAAACTTCTGCATTTAACTGAAATAACATGCACTTCTGACAGAATGCTGAATACGGATCCTCTGTGGGGCTCCGAGACCATAAAAGAACTCCCTATGCAGCCAGTCACGTCTTCTGCTGATTTAGTTTAGAGGAAAGGCTCCACCCAGTTTAGCGGTCGATCATGACACAAATGTACTGGTGTGTTTGGGGAGTCGGGGTCAGCGTCCCCGCCAGGTCCAGTCCAACCAATTCAAACGGCTCAGTGACCTACAACATATGATAAACATGATCTGAAACATGCAACAACTGCCAAAGAAAATAGAGCAGGGGTGTCAAACCGGTCCTCAAAGGGCCAGTGTGGCTGCAGGTTGTAGTTCCAGCAAATCTTAAGGTGAAAAAAATGGTCTCACCTGAGGAAATGGGTGGAGTCTGGTGTGCTCCTACTCAAGCTGGAACTACAACCTGCAGCCACACCGGCCCTTTCTAGAACCATGTTTGACACCCCTGAATTAGAGTCATTACCTCAATGGGCTGGTATTGTACTTTGGCCTTCAAGTTTGCTTTCCTCTTTTGGCACTCAGGGCACGGCGTCACCTTTTATTAGTAATAATATTAATATACATTCATATTAATGTGTTGACAGTATCAGTTGGCCCACACTTACCCATGTCTGAATGTCCCTCTGCATTTAAGGCCAGTAGTAACGGTCAATAATGGCCCGGTGGGTTTTCTCCCAGCCACAGTGGCCTCCAATAGGGCTGCCATTTGGCTTCATCTTTGGCCGTGAAAACCACCTTGGCAGAGTGTGCGTCCCCCCAAAGTGTGCGTCCCCCCCCCGAAGTGTGCGTCCCCCCTGTCACATGGAGTGAATATATAAGGAGGCCCAAAAGGCAAAACAGCAAAATGACAGATTTAATAAAAGTATGACACATGAAGGTCTAGCAAAAACACAGGGAACGAGGACAGAACTGAGACAGGAAGTGACGATGACAGAACAGGAAGTGACGATGACAGAACAGGAAGTGAAGGAACACACAGGGCTGATTACAGGACTAACGAGACACAGGTGAGACACATGAGGGCGGGGCAGGTAATCAGGAAACAGGAAGTACCACTAAAGACACGAGTAACACATTTCAAAATAAAACGGGAAATAAACCTGAGCCATGACACCCTCCTCCGTCTGCAGAAGAAGAACACAAACCTTGCCGTTATTAATAATGCCTACACCCTCCTTTTAAAAAGTTTGGACACACAGCTTTCATTTTGTGGTTCCTTGCCCGTCGTCTGATTGTAGACTTGAGGATGTCAGACGCAAACACTGCATGAAAAGTGTGATTTTCGTCTCTTTTCGGCCCTGTATATTACTGTGAAACTTCTGGGATTCGGCTGTTGGCGGTAGTTTGTTGTCCCCTCCTCCCTCCTCCACAGGAGGCTTTAACATGTAAATGGGAATGCTGTGAGCTATACAAATGCTAATCAAGGTTGAGGGGGAGCACAACTTGATCCAAGCTGCACAGTCTGCAGCATGGATCAGGTCAGCACACTGTAGACCCGGATTTTGTAAATGCTCAAACTCACACACACACACACGCACACAGAAAAATATTTCATCATGATTGATTATAGCTTGTCATGTCAAAATCAATTAAATAAATCCAATAGGACAAAAGACATGTTGAAAGTGTAAGTGCTCATCAAAGGATATATGTATGTACAGTACAGACCAAAAATTTGGATTTTTTATTTTTTTTCATGACATCAAAACTGAATTAACTCATCTGGAATTATGGTTCAAAGTAGCACCATATATATATATATATATATATATATATATATATTAGGGCTGTCAAACGATACAATTTTTTTAGTTGATTAATCGCATAGTAATGGTGAGTTAACTCACGATTAATCGCATGTTTAACATTCTATTTCAAATCCACTCCAATTGAAGTTAAATGAGATTATCAAATATAATTACCAGTGTTGGGTAAGTTACTTTGAAAAAGTAATTAGTTATAGTTACTAGTTACTTCTTCCAAAAAGTAATTGACTTACTAACTGAGTTACTCCACTATAAAAGTAACTAGTTACCAGTAAAAGTAACTATTGCGTGGTACCGAGCTTTAGCTGGCTGTAATTTAGGATAACTTCTAAGTAGATTAATTGTTGCAACAACCCCACCCTATTTTAGTATGATATGTTAGTTTAGGGAACTGTCCTGCAGGCAAACAGGTATAAGACAGGCCAAGGTGACATTTAATTTAATTGTATCCATTGATCAAACAAACAGATTACAAAACTTTCAATTGAAAGAGACTATTTTAAAATAATTAGTTCCCAAAAACACACACGAGCAACACTCGCGCCTGACAGTCAAGAACCAGGGAAAATACAGTGCGCAGAGCGCTGAGTATGTGAACGGAGCAATCGCTTGCTGCTGTTATTATAATAGCTAGATCCATGCTTGCAGCCCGTGCAAAGCTTGCACTCACTCACAGCCGCTAACAACAACCAGAGCGGCCACGGAGGAGGCCATCTCACACGCAGCATTCTGAGTGATATTCTTATGGATAAATGGGCGGGTCATTCGGACATGCGTTAATGCGTTTAAAAAAAAATAAAAAATGTAATTAACGTGAGTTAACGCGATAATTTTGACAGCCCTAATATATATACACACAAACGGCTGTTTTAATGCCATAAAACAGCCGGTGTTATCATCACTCTCTTTACACAACCAAAACTTGGGGACTTCACAAAACTTGTTTTGTGAAACTGAGTGCGCATGCGCAAAACGCAACGAGAGTTACGACTGTAACTACGGTTCTATGAATCCTGGATGACCGCCAGAGGCGGTGCTTAAGCACTGGATGATCATCCTCGCGCATGCACAGATTGAGAGTCAAATAACAACAAAGTCACCCGTGACCTCCGGTAGCTCACGCGAGAGTCTATAAAGCCACGTGACACCGGAAGCACAGTCCCTAGAACCTTTCTTGCACAAGGATTCCGAGGGGACCGGGCGCTCTGGCGGTCATCCAGGATTCATAGAACCGTGGTTACAGTCGTAACTCTCGTTCTATTTCATCCTTCCTGACCGCCAGAGGCGGTGCTTAAGCACTGGATGACGAATATCAGCAAGGTCACGAGGAAACCAACCAGAACCTCACCTTACTGTGAAACAGATGAGCGGTGCTGCAGAACCCCCTGCAGGGGGTGCGGGGCGGCAACATTAACCCGATAAAACCTGGCGAAGGTGCTTGGGGACGACCATGACGCCGCCGCACAGATGACGTCCAACGACACACCACTCACAGCAGCCCACGAAGTTGACATGCCCCTCGTAGAATGGCACCTCACCCCAGGCGGTAACGGCAGCCCCCGCAAGGCATAGGCCTCTGTCACAACCCCCACGACCCAGTGGGAGAGACGCTGCTTGGACAGAGCCCGACCAACGCGAGGGCCGGCGCAGCAGACAAACAGGGCGTCTGAACGCCTTATCGAGGCCGTGGAGCGAATGTACACCTCCAGTGCACGAACAGGGCACAGAGGGTCAGGGGGCTCACCAGAACCAAAACGGGCCAATTGAAGGGGCCCGTCATATCGACCAGAAGACACCTTCGGGACAAAGGACACATCCGGCCACAGAGACACACCCGAGCCGTCAGGATGCCAACGACAACAGGCCCCGGTCACCGACAGAGCATGGAGTTCACTCACCCGCCGTCCGGAGGCCATAGCCAGGAGAAACGTTGTCTTCATAGACAGCCACTTGAGGGCAATCTCCCCCAATGGTTCAAATGGCGGGGAACGCAGGGCATCAAGGACAACCGAGAGGTCCCAAGCCGGGAACCACAGGACGACAGGGCGGGTGCAACCGGCGGGCACCTTTCAAAAACAGTGAAACGTCAGTAACACAACCAACACTAGTCCCACCAAACCCAGCGTGCCCACACGAAATCGCAGCAACGTATACCTTCAGGGTGGATGGAGAA